AAAAAAAAAAAAATGAGAACGATACTGTAAAATAGATTTTTTCAATTGTGTTGTCTAGCAATGAGTCTTTTAAATGATATCCATGCGATAACAAGCATTTTGCCGCTATAGCCAAAGCTATTTCGTTAATTGTCACAATGTGATTTACAATTATAACAAAAATGATCAACGTGTATGTATACACTTTACAGGGTTAACCCCAAAAGAAAGAGCAAAGGAAAATGGCAAACAGATATATAAGAGATTGACAAAATCAGTGACTTCTATCCTAGTTTGATTGCGGTATACCGGAAGTACCATGTTGGTTAATGATGGCATGATAATTCTCAGAATTGCGTTGCAAGATATCAAGCACAGGCCCTAGAAGTCGTGTAAATGCTTTCTTGCCAAGGGTTGCACACTTTAAACGTCCATTCGCCCGTACAGTTGCAATGCGTGGTGCATCATTTAATAATGCAAGCTCTGCAAATGCCCAAGTTTTTTGTGTTTAAATTTCATGATAATAGACTCAATAAATTTGTGAGAATACTTATATCTCTGACTTACCTCCAAAATATCCACCTCGCATCAGATAGTTCACCTCTTGTTGACTACCATCAGCTCCTGTTCTAAATACTCGAGCTTCTCCTGATTCGATGATGTAAAAGCTATCTCCAACATCTCCTTCACGGACAATAATATTTTGATCTTCGTAGTAAACGGACTCCAAGGCATCCGCAATCTTATGTCTTTCGTATGGCTTGAGTGATCTTAGAAGTGGGACTTCTTCCAAAAACGCTTCATACATCCTCCTCTTGCGTGATGTATTTTCCATGAGAATGCGACGGAACGTCACACGGTCTAATGCCCACAAAACGGCATTTGAGGTCGCAACGATAGTTGCTGCACGTGGAGCATTGTACATGAGAGCCAATTCTCCAAAGCTTCCCCCTGCTTCATAGGAAATGACCTTGATTGGAGGTTCTCCGTCCTTAGAAATGAAGCAGTCAAAAGTACCGGACTCTACTACATAGAAGTAATCTCCTACACCTCCTTGTTCAATCACATTTGTTCCTGAAGCAACCTGCTTTTCAGCCATGGCATTTACGACATCGTTGTACTGATCTTCATCCAAGTTCTTGAATAAGAAATTGTTTCCAATGGATGTCTGAATCCTGGACTTTTGTGCATTGGATTTCGGAATGACAGTCTTCACATAGTCTTGATTCTGTGACGGTGCAATGGATTCTGCGCTCACAGATGTGCGACGGCCTCTATTGTATGCGGACGGCGGAGGCATAGACGGTATCGCTGCCGTTGAAAATTTATCATGCTCTTCATCATGATCCAGGTCATCTTCATCTTCGTCTTCGTCTTCGTCTAATTCACTTTGATCCATAGGGTAGTCAGAGCTGAATGATGATCGAGAAGGAGGGGCAAACTTGAATGTAGGTGAAGAGTGCCCATTTGAGACGGCATGTGGATGTTGGTCTGCTTGTGGTGATAAATCTAGAATCGTACATTGGCAAAACTAGGTTAGCAAACAAGCCTTACTCATAAAACATCTTTGTCTTTGATCGCTGTCTAAATAATATGTCATTTGTCGTATGTTTATTAGCCTTGGGGTGCTCCTCGGTGAGACTACTGGAAAGAGCCGGCGTGCATAAAATAAGCATGTTGGCGCAATAGAATGGGGTTGTACGATGCATTTTCGGCCGGCTGCTAGCAGCATCTTGAGACAGACAGCTTTTTCATCGAGGCAACAGTATTAGGATTAAAAGCAAAAAGCTCACTGTACCTGATGGGCCCAGATTGCTTTGGCACAAGAATTCCTCTCGCTGTTCAGCTAACTTGCCATTGAAATAGTTTGCGCAGAATTGCAAGACATCGGAAGGCCGCTCGCGTCTAATTTCTCGCTCCAAGTCGCCTAATATGTCGCTATAAGATGTTGATGTCTCAACCGGGGCAAACTTAAATTCGGATGCCATAGTACTTGTTACTTTATGGAACACAAGGGACACCGTGGCGCGAGATTTCAAAAGGGTGCAATTTTCGACCGGCTGAGAACGAAAGTTTTAACTGCAGCCACCATGGCCGATGCGGGTCATGCGGCGTCATTTGCATTGCTTTCAGTCATATCACCGCATCCTATTTTATATTCTTTCGATATCGTAATAGAGCAAAGGCATTTAAAAATAATCATTTCAAGAGATTTTGAATAATAAAAAATTATAAGGGAAAAGAGAATCCTCAATTTGGAAGGAAGTAGCTACTGGCATCGTGGGTGGGGTAGTTCGTGGGGTAGTGCAACGTTAATAAAATTCAGTGATATTCAAGTCATGCTCTCGTACATCCTTTATTACGCTTTGCTAGACACATTATTCAAATTTTTGATGACAATTGCACTTCTTTATAGAGAAAAGAAAGCTCCTCTAAATCCTTAGCAAATACATCGATGTGCGGTGAACCAGATGATATGTCATTTTCCGCATGGCCTTCCCCAGGGCGATATATAAATGCTGTTTTGAGGCCATTTTTCTTCGCGTATAGAAGGTCACGATCATGAGCAGCTACCATACATACTTCTTCCGGTTTCAATTTTAAAAGACGGGCAGCGCCTAAATACATGGCCGGGTTGGGTTTGAAGCTAAGAAACGTTTCGCCAGAAAATATTATATCAAAACGTAGAGAACCATATTTCGCCAAATCAGCCAGTAGCCGAACTGTTCCATTGCTAAGGGTTGCTGTTATAGCAGATTTCTGAAGACTGCTAATCCCTTCAGTTGAATCCTCCCAAGGGATTAATTCATGCCATGCAGAATTCAACTTGGATTTTTGATCCCTGTCTAATTCAGATTGTAGGCCGTGCGTGGTCAGTAGCTTTTCCAAAATTTCGTAGTGTATGTCGTCCAGATCTGGATAGTCGGCTTGACTAAACGACTTTTGTGACAACGTCGCCATAGCGTCCAGGTAACCTATAAAACTCCATTATTTTTCAGTCCACTCGCGCAATACAATGCATAAGGTGGCTAAGTTACCCTGTCTCCATTCATTGGCAAAGTCGGCTAGGTCAATATTCTGTTTCGCTTTTGTGGACAGGGCGTCATCCAGGGCCATAACAATCGATTTTCGCCAGTTGACGCAAGTGCCAAATACATCAAAACAAAACCTAACGGCTATATAAATTAACCTTTGAAATTTCTCTTGTATTAATACGTGCATCGCTAACATACGCTTTGACCTGCGACAGGGGATGGTGGTGGTCTGTCATATATGCCAGTGAGAAGAAGTATACAACATCAGTCATCCAAAAAATTGCGAATGTTGGCTTTGCACTGAGCACGTGACTAACACCACGGTTTTGCTTTTGTCCTGTTTTATTCTTTTTTATTTTGAAGTGCATATTTTTAATGCCTTCGGGGTCTGGTGAAAAAAGGTTTGAAAAATGGTTCTAGCAACCTTTATGTACACATTAAGACTATTAATGAAGGTCGTCGGTTTTGCGAAGCGGAGGTTGGATGGATATTATCTGTCTATGCCATGGTCCTAAAAACCACAGCGGAGAGTAAGATGGTTAGGCCTAAATTACCGCCTATTCACTTTATCACAAAATGACGTCGTGGCTATGTACTTACTTTGGAAGCTCAAAGCGCTTGCCTTGCAAGACTCTTGTCACATAGACATAAGCAAAGTCAGAGTAGATAGCAGTCTGTATTATTCCAGCTATCCAAACAATCCAGTCGACGTGACCTTCGGTATAATATCGATATATCCAATTAAGGAGATATAGAGCGCGATAAGCGCCTAAAGCGAACAAGTAATGTGAAGTAATTGTTTCTGCTTCACCAGTACGCTGGAGCATAAAAAGCTGAGGCAGGATAGCAACCGCTTCAAGCCAGATGGAAAATGCCCATAAAATCTATGTATTGTACGATGAGTATGCACTTCGGCGTTGTCAACCACAATCAAAAAGTTATAGAAAGTACCTCAGTAACATTCCATTTGTAGGGAAAGAGGATGCCCAGTACTGCAGCTCCACCGATCAAGAACTCGATTTTGAAGGTGTCAATGGAAGGGTCGTGTGTGGCCCTGAACTTATACTTGATCAGATAGACGATGTACAATGATGAGGTTATGAAAAAGATCTTCATGAGAGAGTTGTACAATGAAATAAAGGATGTCAACAGGTCGACATAACGAGTACAAAAGACAACAGCATATAGAAGCTGCGTTTTGAAGGAGATTCCTGCAAGCGGATTCAAAGGTTAGAGTATTTTTCTAATATACACCTAACCAGAGGAGAAGCAACATTGAGGCAGGCAGGGCAGGGAATATCGCGCAGTGAGCCAATTACAATCCGTATGGCGTTCAATGATTGCATACATCTGCGACAATCGCCATATCGCGCCAGTGGACTGTGCAGGAACAAGTAACTTACCGACACAAGAACGAGTTTTCTGTATTTTAAGCAGGAGGATTCCGATGGACGCCAAGTGCATCAAATCCGCAACCAATCGAAAAATATTCATTTTGCTGAAATGTGGTCAAAGAAGAAGCAGTTGATCTGTTCTTTGGGTCTTCAAGCCAACAAATGAATTTGTTACACACATTTTAATGAGAAAAGCAAATGATCAAGCAGCCAATCAGGGGCGCCACATTTCCATCGCCTAAAACCCAAAGCACTATCCATTTTTCCGTTCCAAAACATATCTTCCACAGTCCAGTTCTTCATTATATCAAGTATACCGCTGTTTATACAATATGGTTTTTACCAATCATTTGTGAAAGATGGCTTTGCAATGCCATGACTCTCACTTTGGCAACTTTTATCTCAAAACCCTCTGGCAAGAAGTCAAAAATACGAACGAGATGATTATAGTTTTAGTGGTTTTATTATTTAATGAATATACAACCCTCTACACTAACAATCCGTCTATTACAACCACCTGAAGTAGAGTCACTATAGAATATGGCTTCTGGATAACCAAAAAGCGGCAATAATAGCGCGTCTAACTGCAAACTGATAAAAATACGTTAGTGATTGAACTTTTGACGTAAGTTAATTGATTGTTTGCATCTTATAAAAGACACCAATGTACTGAGCAGTAGGTGTCAGGATTAACTGTGTTTCATCGCATGGGTTAACTCATAATGAGCTGGGTTTAATAGCAAGAAAAGTAATCATCATTTTCTTCTGCTCAGGATCATCGGCACCTTGCATGCCGTTGCATTTTGAAGAAAAGTGTCAACTTACTGTTTGTATATTGTGGGATAATGAATGTGTAGTGGAAGAAGAGGGAATGAGCGAACAAAAATTTGGGACGTGAGGAGCATTTTTATAGACAAAAAAATTTTTGACACCAGCCTGATTTTGAGGCTTGTTCGATAGTCACTGAGACGCGATTTTTACTTTGTCAAGGCTCCTGGCGGTTTCACCCCCCTCCCCATTGTTCGCGTTGCAGAAAGGTAGGCGGCAAATCAAATATATACTTGGTAAATTCATTATATATTATATATTCATAGTACAGAACAGCAGGGTTGTAAAAGTATCATCAGCTTTTTTGTACTCGTTTGCCGGGCGTTTCTTCCCTATGAAGACGTACAAATCCTCTTCCTGGCCGAATATTTCTTCTACAGTTTCATCGTCATCGCTATCAGAATCAGTGGACGGTGGAGAGATGTTCCTTACAGGTTCATATTCGAAATAGCGACCAAAAAAATCCTGCCAAAAGCCAGTCTCCTTTTCCAATGACCTGCTCTTGTATCCAATGACGACCTGGGTATTCTTGGAACACACTTGCAGTAGCGTTTCCGTCAACAAACCGAATAACTCTGGGAAATAGACGCAGTCGCTAATTATAACTAGGTCCAGTTCTCCCTCTTCGAGAATTTTGTTACCATGCTCAATATCACCCCAATGCAAAGGTTGTACAGCTACTTGCGCTGTCAGACTTTCTTGATAATCATTGACATTTTGCTGGATCAGGGGTGCAACGTCTGCGAGATCGGTTATATAGATTTTGCAATCCGGGCCAAGTTTGCGAGCGAGAGCGATACCGACATAGCCAGTTCCAGCGCCCAATTCTAATATACGGTATGGTTTTGAAGCTTGTCCGAGGTAATATTCTTCTGGTATAGGGTTGGATGGTTGCATATGCGGTTGAGTCCATTCTGAAAAAAATAAATCTAGAGCGTACGCACTGACGTTGCCCGAGTGAGAAACGGGTCTCAAAAGTGACAAGGGGCTGCAAAAGATGAGTTACCTATGCCAAATCTTGCCAGCAAGACCAAACTTACTGATGTCTTGGGTAAGTTGCAGTTCATTCTGCTTAATATTTTTGAATGCGTTCGGTGGTCCATCCGAGACGGTGACATTCAGGCCCTCAGGGAGATTGCCTATGCGAAAAGCATCGTGGTCCTGAGATGGCATACCCTTTGACGAAAGTCAAGATAAGGAGAACGTGGGTGGGAGAAATGTGACGAAGCTGAGAAACGGAGAAGAAAATTTGGTGGACAATACTTCCATGGCTTTCATCCGCATATAGTATCTTTGACCAAACTGCCATATAGCCAATCGTAACATCAAAAGATAAAAAGACATTATGTGACATTTCGATTCGATTTTTATTCAAGACGAAAAAACGTACAACACGTTGACCATCACGGCTAAGCCATGGTTACTTAAGCCTTGGGCTGAACCTTCTTACCATCCTAAAAACGAGTAACATGTGTTAGAGCACTGTAACCGCATATGCTACTGCCAAAACCTCAATTACATACCTTGCTGAATCTGAATCTCGGGGGAGGGGCGCGGTTGCGACGACCGACACGGGAGCGAACACGGACAACCTTGGAGTGGATAGCGCAAGAGACACAGTAGTGAAGCTTGATGTACAACTTGGGGATGGCATAGACTATAAAGAATTGAAATCGATCAGAAAACTGTTCAAACTATATTACCCAACAAGTTTTCAGTGTTGTGGACTTACCCTCATAGACGGAAGCATCCTCAAGATCACGAACGGCGGCAGCCTCGACCATGTTACGGACGGTGAAACGCTTGATGGCCTTGTCTTTGGGGACGCAGCGAGCGCAGTTGAGGCAGCGGACAGGCTTGACGTGGCCACGTCCGTGCTTGTTGCGGCCGTTGTTTCTTCTCTTGGTGGTCTATAAAGAAAGATACAAGATGTTCAGTATTCCGTAGTTTAATCTGATGCAGTCTACCAGTATTCGAGTTTATGGAAATTGCATGTGTGGGTATTGGAAAAGGTTGGGCATTTTTGAAAGTAATGTCGAAATTCGAAAATTAAGGTGAAAAAGTCAATCGGTGTTCGTCCCTTTGATGAACGGATATTTCAAGTCGTATCCAAACAGAAATTGATCATCCATCGTTTATGTGTTGCATCGATCTCTAATACAATGTAATCTGACAGATGGATGGGTTGGGTCTACTCACCATAGTGAAGGTAAAAGGGGGAATCACACTTTCGGCAGTGTATGGCTGACTTCAACAGTGGGCGAGAACTCGAAGTGGTCACGTGTATTTGAACGTCATGAAATTTTGACTTGCGAAAATTGAGGAAAACAAGCACATTAAAAAAGCTCATTTTTACTTTGGCAGAAGTGAGAATCATTCAAAGTTACAATGTCAGGCGTTAATAGACTACTCTCTACTGTTGCTCGCTGGGCTATTCCACTCTCACTTGGTGTAGCAGGTATGGGATTAACTTTCCATAGTCTTATTATTAGAATGTTCTTATACTAATTTACTGCGTAACTCTATCAAAGGTGCTCAAGCTGCTATGTACGATGGTAAGCACTCATTGTCTTTTTTCCCCAGTCATTCAGCTTTCTCACTGACATGTTTTACTCTACGATAGTTCAGGGTGGACACCGCGCCGTCCTCTTCGATCGTATTCAGGGTGTCAAGCCAGATTCCGCCGGAGAAGGTACTCACTTCCTCGTACCATGGCTTCAACGTGCCGTTACAGTAAGTACTTCATCGGTGCATTTTGTTGGTAGCGAATGTAGTCAATTGATTATTTTATTTCAAGTTCGATGTACGCACCAAGCCCCGAAATATCTCAACCACCACTGGTTCAAAGGATATGCAGATGGTTTCGTTAACCTTGCGTGTATTGCACCGTCCCGAAATTCAAGCCTTGCCTCAAATTTATCAAAACTTGGGTCTTGACTACGACGAGAGAGTTTTGCCTTCCATCGGTAATGAAGTCTTGAAGGCTATTGTTGCTCAATTCGATGCTTCAGAGCTCATCACACAGCGTGAGATTGTTTCATCCCGAATTCGTGAGGACCTCGTCAAGCGAGCACGAGAGTTCCACATTGAACTTGAAGATGTCTCCATTGTAAGTATTCCACACTTTGATTGAAGGAGGCACTATTAGATGCAACTGATGTACTGATATGTGCTCCATTTAGACCCACATGACTTTCGGTAAGGAGTTCACCAACGCCGTTGAACAGAAGCAAATTGCCCAGCAAGAAGCTGAACGTGCCAAGTTCATTGTTGAACGTGCTGAACAAGAAAGACAAGCCGCTATCATCCGTGCTGAGGGTGACTCTCAAGCCGCTGAACTTATTTCTGCTGCTTTGGAGAAGGCTGGTGAGGGCCTTGTTGAGTTCCGTCGTATCGAAGCTTCCAAGGAAATCGCCACCGTCCTTGCTCAAGCCCGCAACGTCACATATCTTCCTAGCTCTAGCCAAGGCGGTTCCAACGTCCTCTTGGGCATCAACGCCGCTTAGATGTGAGGTGAAATTCCGGCCCGCAAATAGACCTCTGTGGTAGAGCGTAAAATCAGCCTCATTGTAATTCACTGCTATAATTTTCATTCCAAAAATAAAAACAATCCACTTTTTCTGTCAATCACCCGTATGTTACTGCGACCTGATGCACTCTGCCTGTAGGCTTTTTATTAAATATACGAAAAATGGTGGTCATAACTATACAATGTGTAGATTGAAATTTTCTGCCACTATCAGACAGCTATCACTGCGAAAATTGGATGGTGAGAGCGTAAAAGTATTATCACTCCGCCTATTGTCTTCTCAACTGACTGTCTAAGGTACGTCTCTGCTGGCCTAACCAAGAAGACGGTGGGGCAGCTCGAGCGTGATTCATGCTTTCTTTCGGTCTTTGAAGCGACAGACCATACCAAGCAGATATGATCAATTGCTGCTCACGCCTTGACTGTAATCGAACTTCATGCAGTTTGCTCTATTATATTTGCAATAAAATTGGGAAAGGAAATGAGCGATTTTTAAGAGCTGAAATGATAATTCAATGAGGCTAACTGACCTGTAACTTCTCAATCTCATCCTCGCGCATTTGTAGCTCGGCTTTGAGAGAGGTAACTGCTTCATCAAAGTTTCCAGTGTTGTGACCAAGTCTGCTTTCTTTGAGCATCTTGTCTTGCTGCTTGATGAACTGTATAAAATTGAAAATTTAAGAATTTGGTTTGAGTTGCATACATTGATGAGATCAATTCTTCACCTCCTTAGCTTTCTGTATCTTGATTTGCAGTTCATTGATTTGCTCTTGGAGCTGCAGAATTTGCTGTTGCAAATGAGCATTTTGCTGCTTCAAAGGTTCGTCATCCTTGGCATTGATAGCCACAAGAGAAGCCTTGAGTTCGCTATTGGGATAACACTGTATTAGCATACATAGAAACATACGTGAATATACTCCTAAGATGGGTGTGTCTTTACCTGTTGACTCTCTCCTTCTCCAAAAGCAAGTCTTTATGCTCAATACTTTGGCTTTGAAGCATGTCCTTCTCCAGCAACAACTTATTGATATCATGGAGCTGCTTCTTGGTTTGCTCCTCAAGGTCGTTTGCACGAGATTCCAATTCGTGATATCTGCTTTTCAAATCACCTTGGTCTCCATCCAAATCAGAAAAGCCACCTTGAGCGATACGGGATTCCAATTTGGAATTGCGGTCCCTAAGGCTCTTAGATTCCTTCTCGATGTCGATGATATGAAGTCGTAAAGACATGGTGGCCTGACTCTGGTCCAATAGGGCGTCAGGAATACCTTCACGTATGCGTGCCATATCGCTGTTGAGAATGTCTCGTTCCTGAGATGCTTCAAGGTAGTCCTTTTCAAACTGCGCCTTCATACGGTTTGCGTCTTCCAAGAGGTGTTTGAGTACCACTGCCTTCTGGCCACCGCCTGATGTAGAATCCTCCTGCATGGTTTTGATTTGACGCTCCAGCCGTCGAATCTTCAGTCGCCTATATCCATAACGGGACATAAATATGATTTCCTTTTCTGCCCATACTACATACAATCAGACTTACAATTGGGTCACATTATTTTCCTTCAGAGAGTGTTCAAGATTTCCTTCTAATGATCCGTCAACATCCATTTCTTCGTCCACGTTTCCACTGTACGCATGGCCATCTTCTTCGCCTGTGAAGGTTCAATTTTAAGGTTAAGTGCGATTGGAAGATACGCACATTTGAAACAAATTACATACCGTTCATCTCGATTTCTTGCAATCGATCCTCCAGCAATTGAATTTGTTCAGTATCATTGGCTTTATCCTCTTCCAAGGATTGTACTCTTTTCGTCATGTGTTGCATTTCGTACTCCATCTTATTCTTCTCTCGTATCAGCTCGTTATTCTTTGTCTCGAGAGTAGCAACTTGGTCCTTGTACGAGTCCATCAAAGTTTTGAAAGCCAAAACCTTACGATATTCCTCTTCTATAGTTTGATTTCTTTCCATGAGCTGAACATTTTGATCCTCTAGAGCCTGTAATTTTAGATAAAGAATATCAGAATGTGGATTACTTGCGTTTAATCGCAAAATGATACATCATACCTTGATTTGACGGCGAAGGTCGGCACTTTCTTCAAGCTTTTTTTTGTATTTTTCAATGACATTTTCAGTCTTTTGAAGCTTTTCCGCTGCATGCTTGTACTCATCCAACTGGTCCTTAAGTCTTGTAGACTGTTCTGCCTTTTTGGTCAGGTCCTCTACCTATTACCATATCTCGGTGTCAAGACCAGCAACACGCCATTCACGAATCTAGTATTTAACTTACCCGCTTTGTCAAGTCCGATATTGTGATGCTCTGGCTATCCAAGAGCATCTCTGACTCTTGCCTGCGATCTTCGCTACGTTGGCTGAAGATAGTAGTGTTAAATGTAGGCTAAAGCATTTGATAGACGTGCAATGTATGACTTACAGATCCTGCTTCAAATGATCGATTTCTGTTCTCATGATGAAATCTGCCTTTCCAGTTTCATTGGCTTGCGCAACGGCTGAATCCATGTCGTGAAGGCGTGATTTGAGTTCGGCTTTCTCCGCTTCCAGTTCATCCTGCAACATGAATGATGTTAGATGGCGTTTTCAATCAAGGTCAAACCCCTGGAGTAATGTGTTGCGAAGCCTGGACTTACATATTTATAGCGAAGTTGGCCATGTTCTTCTATCAATTGCTGATGAGCATTTTCCAACTCTTCTTTCTCCAATGCCATGCGGTTGCTCTCAAACTGATGTCGAGAAACTGTTTCTCCTCTATAGAAGATCGCTTAGTGACTTGATAAAAAGCATTTGTGATATAAATAAATTACTAACTCGTTGAATGAGGCTTGTCGTTGAGTACCCATGCTTGGGAGGTTACCGCCAGGTTCTGCGGAACGGCCTTGAACAATGACCATGACCTACGAGTTTGTATTAGGACATGTCTATAACGATTTGAAGGATAAACGCAAAATAAAATACCTGCTCAATGCACACCATGAGAGCATGTTGACTTGATTGAGACAAGCTTTGCATCTTCTCAATATATATGGAGTTGTTGTCGTTGAGGACGGCGATAACAATCACCAACTGACACAATTTAAGAATTTCATCGGCATCCGCATCCTTAGCTATGGCTGTTAGATTAATATTTGGTATCTTGTCGGTGAAATCCTGTTGCCCTAGCACCTCCTCATAGTACCGAGTGACTAATTTGTATAGCTTTTTGAGATTATTAAACTTTAACACCCAGTTATCGCTGAGATCTGCAGATCGAATTAATTTGAACCACTTTGCGTCTCTGGGTAGATAGCGCGTGAGGTTAGCATTCAAATTTGGCAACACAAATGGTATACTTAGTAGGAAGGTAATTTACATGTGAGCTAGCACTTCAAATAATATAATGCCATCTGATAGATCCGTTATTTGAGTGCAAGAGTGAGACAAACGATCAAAGCTATTGACCTGAGGATGTATCGTCGTTAAACAGTGTATTCTTCTCTAGGGTTTATTTCTTTGTTACATACCCATTCGACAAAAGCCGATGCATTAGATTCTTGAGCTTTAGATAACTTCATTCTCGAAAAAGATGGTCGTCTTGGCTAATGTTCCTGCCAAGACTAAAGTTAGGTTGCTGAAAGTGGAGATCACCTGACTGTTGGAATTAGCATCATGCAATTTTATGGCGTAATGCCATTGGCACGCTCAGAAATGGTACATTACCTTGCAATTACAAGGCAGCTAAAGGAGTCGAGCAGTGCGTTTTGCAAACCTGAAGAAGAAAAAAATTAGAGCTCCACAGCTAGAGCTTTTACAGCGCGACGCGTTGAGTGAGTTTCACAATCCGCGAGGCGAAAGTCTGTTTATGGAAAGACAATCAGGTGTCAAGACCTGGGAAGATCTCTCGTATTAAGATATTAAATACAGCTTCTTGAAAAGAAGCTGTGAGAGAACTTTGTTGACTTGATGGTATCATTTTTAAATTATTACTGCTTTCAAATAATAGCTGCTTGCCCGAAGGCGTTCACAGCTGAGTAAACATTGGAGAAAAATCGAACCGGATTGACACCTTTTCCTAGCCTGTATATCATCATATCAAATTGCAATAATGAACTTAACAATTTGACAAGCATGATCCGACAAAAACCTATGCTCTATATCGCATCTCAAAAACACATGCTATTCCGTGTAGACAACATAAACCAACATAATATGTCGATGAGATTTATATTCCAGACCACTCCATATAGCCATAGTTATTTTCAAATCAGATATAGAACATCAGCGGTTATGAAAGCCTAAGCATTTCATGCTGACGTAGTAATCCACAAATAACATTATACTTTGACATGTACTTTTGATGGAATTCACCTGGATAATAAAGGGGCGTAAATGAAAACATGCCCTGTGCACATGTTATGGAGTTGATTCCGTAAAGTGCGTCCCTTTCTCACCCGAGCATCCTGACCACTCACTGCAGGAGATATTGCTTTAATCATTATTAACGCATGCATGTCAAAATGATGCTATCGAAAATACCTCGTCGTGATCGACTATTACACGTGAAGTTTAGCAACTTGAAATTATTAAGTGTATCTAATGTGATCCAACGGAAGTGCAAAAACGAACATTAATTTATATTTGTGCTTCTTTGCTATGATGTATACAGAGGTATTTCTACATTTATTTTACGTTTATTTCCTTTCTTGTAAGGTGCCACTAACGACGTTGCTGATAATAGTCTTCCGATCTTCTAACTGGTGGAATTGGTAGCGACTTGTAAGAAGTTGCGAAAGGGCTACCTTGATGACGAGGAGGGGACTGGGTCCACATCTGGTAACTTGGCATGAGATTCAAAGAAGTAGGTGAGGTGGACGGAACAGAATGATTTGGAGAGTTCTGCCATCCCTGAACATTATTCCACGTTCCATTGGGATATATATAACCTGGAGGAACACGATAGACAGGCGAAAGGGGTGATACTGGTCGATTACGTGCTCGAGCACTTGATATTGATGATAGAGGAGAGGTTGGGCGAGTACGAGTATGAAAACTAGCATGAGGAGAACCTGGTACGTCTGTAAGAGTTCGATGGTGTCGTACATCTGAAGCTACAGGCGGTATCACTTCTTTACCAAGTGCTTGCATTCTGGTCATTATTGGAGTAATGTCATCCTCATCTTCATTAGCGTCACCAAGATTTTCTTTCGATGAAACTCCATTCTGTTCATGTTGTTTTGATTTGGTACTAGATATCCATTCCTTAACATCATCAACATCTTTGGATATGGTCGCTTCTAATCGGGACATTGAGTGTCTGTTACCAGAAACCATGCTTGCTTGACTTTTGGTCGGTTTAGAGGTATATGTAGGGTAATGGATCTGTCTTTGACCATCTGCTGGCCTTTTAGATTGCTGGCATGAACATTGTAATTTTCCCTTGTAAGGACACTCCGGTGGTCGTTTGCCACTGGCAATAACTGGGAGCAAACCATCAACATTTCTTCCTTCAATGACTTCACCGGTAGTATTAAACTTGGTTGACCCTTTTTCTGAAGACTGTTTGGAACCCGGTTCAGAAATTTGGCTGCGAGTAGACGCTTGGGATCCGTCGGTCAATACACTTAGATTTGGGGGTTCTTTCTGCCTTTGTTCCAAAATTTTGGCTAGCACTTCAGTTTTGTTATCATCCAAGTGGTGAGCTGCGTTCGCTTCTAATTTCATTTCATCTCTACTAATATCGGATGCATCGAATACGTCTTTGCTCTTTGTGGGTAACTGATCATCAGAGCTAATGTCAACTTCCAATTTGCCGTTCTCGAGTGCTAAATCTTCGTTCTTCTCCTTATTTTTGTTCTTCCTACGTAGAATAACAACTAGATATGTGAGATATGTAAGTGAAATTACTAGCAATGACACTAGAACGGCCACAATAATGATTTCGGTATTGCTATTCATTTCTGAATGGCGTGCATATGAAGCAGCGAAACAAAGCCTTTTGTTGTTGTTGTCTAGAAATGCAACTTTCTATATAGACTACAAGTTATCAGAAGGAAGGACTGTAGTGTTTGAAAAAAGTAAAAGCGTATTAAAAGAAGCAAAATGAGAAGATTATTGAATTGCGTCTCTTTTGTATAATGAAAAGCTGAAATTGCTTTTTCGTTGAAATTCTAATGCCCGGCCACTTTTCTTTGAGGCTTGAAATGGACTCTCCTGACGAAAATCCACCACAGGCCTTTTTTTTTTTTTTTAATTATTACCGAATCATCTTCATAAAACGGATTATACTTTGACGATGATTTATTGAATGAACCAGATGACTGGATTGCCTTGGGTCATGAACCAATGAAATGACTACATGTTTTGCTTTATACGATTTGCGAGTTCAAATTTGCGGATGCAAGACAACCACCTTTAGTACCACTCGGAGTGGGTATATCATCCAGGATATGTTGTTGTGGTTCGTACAAAATCAAGTTTGGAATATTACGATAGATATACTGGTATAAATGAAAGCAATAAGCAAAGCATACCTTTTTTTAACCTCTAGTGTTTCAATGAACTACACTTACATCTCTATACAATTCATCGATCTTCATTTGCATAAGGCACTTGCCAGGAATTTCTGGCTTTTGAAGCCAAGCTGTATACATGGGGTGGCTATCAGGTATCATCTTGATCAATTGATGACGAAGCATAGCCCATCCTTTGCCATTATAGTGCATATCCAATACACGAATGAGGCGGTGAAGATGGCCAAAAATCAAGGTATGGTACAACAACTTGTAGACCTGTTTATTGATGGTGAGGGATGTCAGCTGCTTGTATGTTTTATGGTTTCAAGACCGGTGATTTTTGAAAAGGAAACATCTTACCTCGTCAAGCTCATTTGCTTCTACACAGCTATCTGGAATCACATCCAATTCGACGCCGCACGACTTTCTCAGCGTTTCCTGGTGGGCTTTGATACCTCCGAAATCGCGTACAATGAAACCAATCAACTTCTTGGTCTTGCTATCAAACCGGGCTAGGGTATTTTGACCATGTGCTTCAAAGGCGACTCCGTTGTGTAGACATGGCGGTAGAAAAGCCTCAAGAGACAATCGGATGTAGCTGAGAGTAGCCAGTGGAAAATCATTATTAGCGCAAAACATAGCATCAGGTATAATGGAACTGTTGCTTACCTCTCAAGAAATTCTTCCTTCTTTTCATCCGTATCTAACCCCCAAACATGCTCCACCAAAGACTTGTTCGATTCGGCGTTCTGACATTTCTCCACTAATGCCGCGCATACAACAACTTGTTCTCCTCTCTCCGCGCAATTATTCTCAAATGCTTCCCGAACAACGGCGCTACAATGCTTAGCTACGTTGAAGTCATCATGTTTGTAGCATGCACTGGCGAGTTCTCGTTCAATTTGAAGGACATTTTTGTCGATAGTAAGCTTAGGCACTACGTTTTTGGAAAAGCCAGGTCCGAAATATGTTGTGTAAGGTGTAATGGTACGCAGCGCAGAGGACACCTTCATACCTAGGCAGAGTTTAAGAGAATATTCAGGTAGGACGTCTTCAACCACGACAGATCGTAGAGAAGTCAAAGCTTTGGCTGGGACGGAGATATTTGGAGGCAGAACAATAACGTTGGAAAAGTAATGATGAATGTTCGGAAGCTGAAGCTCATGAATGGGCAGCAAAACGTATTCATTGGGATTGGGAAGGGAAATTTCGGTTGAATTATCGAACAAGGCTTTTACCAAGGGTTCAGTCAGTTTCTCAAAGTCGCCTCTAAGATTTACACTTGCTCTTGGAACAGCAACCGCTCGAATTCTGGGATTGGACAAGTCGTACTCATCCCCGGAGATAACAGGCATAGGTGGAACGGTGTAGCGAGCCTTGTGCATCTAAAATACAATAAGATATTATTACATGATGACAGGTAACGTTCAGACTGCTGATCAAGAAAGCTTACTGGATGCGTAGCATGGCCTTCGAGAATGAGTTGTTCCCATTCGATGGGCGGAGATTGAAATGTTGGTAGCGGCTTGGGGTGGTCGTATATGTACTCTGTGCAGCCGAAATGTAAATATTACAATAAACAAAATATATTGGCAATGGAAGTTGACATACTTTGATTGATGATAGAGCTAGTCAGTTCCATAGAAATTTGTTGCATCAAGTGCTTATCCACGTTGATCGTAACGGCAAAGGAAGTCCAAAGTTTGCTGCCATCGATACGGCCACAGAGTTCAGAATTTGACATTACAGAAACTTGTGCCTGCATAAGGTCATATGTAGTCTTCTTCCAGTTGACATGGTCTTGTCCAAGCCAGAGCAAGTTCTGAAATAGTTATGCATAAAATATCATAAATTACATGCAGCGTAATCTGAAAACTTTTTTTTTTGACTTACCTCAGAAACATCGTTAGGACAAAGGGTATATATAGCTGGAAGCATGTCCATGGGGTCAAGCAATTTGACTTTATGTAAGCCATTTTCTGAGCAGAAAGACTCAACTATTGGAAGATTTTTCAAAGGGACGATAGAATGTATATCTTTCAGACCGAAGCGTACAGCATGCTGGTATACGACGATACAAAGGGCTGTAACGTCACTGCTAAGGTGGCTTGGGGAGGGAAGGACATAGGCAGACATCAAACCTTCTGTGACCAGACATGCCAGTAATCTGGACGATGTAGCGAACTGGGCGAAGTGAGATGTTCTAGATACGCTTGGAATAGGCATCTTCTTGGTGGTGTAGGAGAAAAAGAAGTTTCTGGAGACGAACACACCGATCGACTGGATGTTGTTTCTCGACGGGGATGAGGTGGTGACTTCTCAGGCGATTTTTTAACTCCGTCACTTATCAGATTTGAAACTCGCCAAGAAATTATCAGATCGGAATTGCCATAAACATTCACCGGCAGAAGTTGAAGTCAGAAAGCTGAAGACTGTCAAAATAGGCGACGGACAGTCAGATAACTATTGTTTCGTAAGGGGGCAACTTTTATTTGTTGTGAAACGAAAAAAAACTCAAAACGTAGATCACAAAGTGCCAACTCCATTTGAGTGCTGTAATGAAGCACACCGTTTGCCGTTTAACCCAGTCCAGTCTCTCAAGAACTCAGACTTTTCAACACGTGCGCTGACTAGGCCACAGTCAAAAATTATGACGGAATATAATATAATATAAAATTCGACTTTAATGTAGAAAAAAATCTTTTGCTAATGTCAGGCAAACATGAACTGTACAAATGGAAGTGCCTATTATATGAGTATATGTTGTGAATGTTGGGGTTGAATAAGGGAAGGGGTATAATCAAAAGACAATCTTGTCAAAAAAATTCTTTTAAAGAAATTGTGAGATGTAATGGTGTAACTCGTCGCTAATGACCCATGCAGTGTGCTTTTCACTTCGTTCGCGTTCAATCTCTTCCCAGTCAATACCTTCATCGCCTTTAATTTGGCGCAAATGTTTAATGTTGCGCTTAACAGATTGGCCAGACAGAAAATTTGCAACTTCGGCACGATCGTTAGGCTCCAAATGAGACATGATCTCGATCAATATGACGTCCATAGCAACTGGTACGACAGGAGGGTGAACAGAAATATGAATAGGTGCCTGAGATTGCATGGCTTCCACAATGGGAGAATGAGATTGAGCCTCGTGTGCCTGGTCATTACGCATGACTCCCATCAATCTTATGACACTTTTCGCAGCCTCAGATGAAGACAAGTGCTGTTGCTGGCGCAATGTTAAAATAGAATCCATCGTGGCGCAGTACAGATTGGCATCAAACGGGAAACACGTGTCAAAGTGACGTTGGAGACATTGATGGAGATTGGAGTGAGAGACGCGCTCAAAGGTGTTAATGTGATGCTGCATAGTCGCTATTTTGGTTTCTGCAGGGGCAGTTGCGGAGGTAAGTTGTCGGTACAATTCTTGTGGGTTCATGGGGACCAGCGGAGCCGATGATTTTCTAGCATGTTGGGGAGGGATGGGTACACTAATAGTACGTAAGCTGGGTGAGCTTTTAGCTGAGCTAATGTCAGAGACGCCACTGTCCATTGAAGCATTTTCATGCGATTTATCACATGGGACTTGCAGAGGTTTTCTTGATGCAAATGAGAGCCATTCGTTAACGGAACGAATGCCCTCTTCGTATTCCAATTCAAGACATGCCGACAGGATACCCTGCGCGTTTTCCATATTGAGCTCCTGCTGCCACCCTTTAGTGTACATCAATTTGATAGCGGTGTAGAGATGAATCAAATCTTCCTTTGTCTTGCGAGGGCCCAAGACCAAGTTCTTCATGCTAGAAGGTGTTGCCAATAGTTTCTTAAAGTAATTGGATTGGTACAAGACCATGGAATGCAGCTGCAAGCTCTCAGGGATAGCGGTGTCTTTCAACAATTCTTGACTTTTACGTAATGAAATTTGAACATCGCTATAAGTGCGTCCATGTATCCATAGCATTTCTCCAATGGAATTGGTGAGATTGGTTGGTGGTTTAGGCAAATTACTAGACTGGTGAACGTATCCATAGGTGTTGTCGACTGGCTCATCCATGAAGCCCGACAATGATATATCACCGATGGTTAAACTCAAGAAGGACGTTTGATCTCCAGATGTTAATGCTGCCATTGAAAGATAAAGAGGAATTGAAAAAAGAAATGGAGGAAAGTTTGATGCTTGGTGGGCAAATATATGACTGACGTTTTATAGAAAAAGGGGCAAGGAAAAAAAAATATTTTGAAGTGCGATGGCCATGACAGCAAAATGTACGCAATTGGATTGCACAGCTATACGTAGGCCAAAAATAACCCGAGCCACGTTATTATGAGCTGCGGGCGGCTGAGTGAGTGTTGCGGAATTAGCCAGGTGGTGTCACACACTTAATATGGAGCAGACTGTATGAATGGCTGAGCGAACAAACCACACAGTATTACGCAGTAAAAGAAAGTAACGCAACACAATCGGTGTAGAACAGGCGTAACCATGAGATAGACTCTTAGATTCATCCTTTAGCGCTTCCATAAACATAGATCTACTCTGCTTTGCATTGCTTTGCTCATCCCCCTGTCATGTATTTAGTATGGAAACACAAGACAAGCAGAAATTCGGGAACACTGTTTTGAGCAACTCGTCAATCACAGCCTAAACTGAACGGAGATGGTAAAGAATAAACCGGCGGAGGCCGCGCAGAATTTTTTTTTTTACTAAGGGTCATATATCTTCCATTTCTAAGTTATGGATGTCATTACATAAAGTCATATTCCGTAATACAGTTCGTCTCTCTATGTATTTTTTAAAAAATCTTGGTTTCCACACGAGTTATTTGCGCGATGTTTGCTTAGATTGCCGATTTATTTGCATAAGCAAGCCAAGAGCCAACTGGAATCTGCACCACGGTTTTGGTGCGGGTGCTTCTACGGGGCAACTCAGCCGCTTTGATATTAGAGGCTTGTTGATCCTACATAATTATTAAAAAAAAAAAAAATTGGGCATTATCATAGATCGGGGTTAGCAAATCACTGTCGCCATTATGACCGATAAGATGGGGGTTCTTAAGCTGAGGCCCTTACATGAATACGCTTTTTCATTCCGGTCACTAAGCTGTGATATTGCTTCTCAAGTTCATTTTTGAGTCGGTACTCCCGCACACCTTGTGGATTCATCCATTTTAGTAGCGCATCAATCTGAAGGTAGAATTTGGAAGGGTGCGGTACGGTATGAGTAAAATGCGGGAAGGAATTTTTGCAATCGGATAAGTCTACTCACTTCCTCCGGCTCGGTGTAACAGTACCACCTATCTAAGTAACCATCCTGGTTGGTTTCCAAGTTTGGGCCAAGGGCTGTTGATTTGCATAGAAGCCATTCCGCCTCCTTTGATAATCCTTGTGCACGCATTAATTGTATCACAAAGTCCATTCCTCCTCCACGACCACAAGGTAATTCCCCAATATCGTTAGACTCCGGTCCATTACGCGATGTCAGAACGTCAATGTCAGCATCGCTTGGGGATTGGACATAGAGACGACCAGTTCCATGCATGCAAGAGCCTCCAATATTATCAAAGTAATAATACTTATTAAAGAATCGATCGCGGCCAAGGGGTCGTACACGTAATGCGGCATACTTTCTCATGTCCTTTTCAATTTGCTCCAGCTAACGTGAAATACAAGAAGTTAGTCCGCATTGGTACTCCACAAGTGTATGATTCTGATGCTAGTCACGTAGTCATTGCTCATCTTACCTTTCTATGATGCTGTCTTTCGCTTTCGTCTAGTTTCCTACGTTGTTCTGCCTTCAGTCGCATTTCTTGACTCTTGGCCCGCGCTTCCGCCCGCTGTTGTTGATACATTTTCAATCTCCGGTTCTCCAAAGCTTCTCGTTCTAGCTGCCGCTGCTTTAGCTTTGCTTGTCGCGATTTGTGACGTGACTCGTGCTCGGCTCGTCGCTGAACTTTACGACTATTTCAATTGAAGACAGTAAGGACATCTGCATGCTGGAAAAGAAGCATCAACAACATGTATCAAATACTTACATGTCGTCCTCTTCCTCTTCTTCCTCTTCTTCATCATCGTCACTGGGAGCTTCGGATTCACTTTGCATAGAATCGTTTGTTGTGTCTTCAGCTTCAATTCCCGCATTCTCATTCCTATCTAGCTCCAGCCTTTCCGCCATGCTACATAGACAAACATGATATGAGTCAAACAAATAACGACAAGGATTTACACACAACAAAAATAGATACAAACATCCTCTTTAGCTCTCGGTTGACTTCAATTCGTTCCTTCCGCAGCTCCGTCATTTGCTCCTGGCAGCCTTCCATGTATTCCCTTTTTTAAAATTAAATCACCTTATGTAAGTCTTTCTCTTTTTTTTTTGGCCATTAATGGGCCCATTTCATATCCACTTACTTGATTACTGCACATTCATTGACAACGTGCACCAGAAAGTCAAGAATGTGGATCTTTTGCACTACGCTCAAAGTAGCATAAGCTGCATAAGCATCTTCTTCTTCGTCATCTTCAGATGGTAACAAGTGACGTATGATGTTATCCAAGTCCGGAACCATGGCTGGATTGGCAAGCTGTTTCGAAAGGGGTGGTGGAGTTTATACACAATCTATGAATAACCTCTTCGTTTGTTTCAACATCAAACCATTGTGCGACTAACGCTTACCTCATTTAGACAGCCGATCAAGGCCAGTTCCCATCCTTCACGATCGTTGGCCAGGCTTATAGGGCGTAGAGACCAACCTTTTCCAACATCAAACGCTTCATTACTACCCCAGCCCTTCTCGGAAATGGTAGTTCGTTCAAGCTGTAACACAACTTCTCCATCAGAAGAAAAGGAGACTTCCTCATCCTTCATTTGCACGTCACCATTGGTCTCCAAATCTGGCGTGTTTGTTCTGGTTGTTACAGCACTATAATCAATGGCTGGAGAAGCGCTTCGTGACGAGCTCTGTCCAAGTCCAGGAACCATAAGACTTCCAGTCACCATTGATGCAGCACCTGTGTTCTTCTTTCGGCGCTCACGTATTATGGTATTGAGTAAAGCAACATGAGCTTCGATAATCAGGTGGGACGCTGGGGTTGCCGATGTATAATGTAATGCTTGTTCAAAATCATCAATGCTGAAGGGTGATAGATGTAAAGGTTTGGAAAAGGTTGTCAAAAAATTCCAGATCAACAGGAATGACGTAAATTGCTTTTCAGGTACCCCAAGTTCATCAGACGCTACGGGTCGTAAACCATGGTTGCCAAGTGGATCGGTTATCTTGCGTCCAGCCTTGGCCTGCAGTGTGACATCTGGTTTTTCGAGGTCAGGTCGGCGGTAAACAGGCAAATCCAAGTCTTCGATTGGGTATTTCAAAGACATTAATCGCTTTCGAGTCTCCAATTCTTCTTCTTTCGACTTTGTTTTGCTGTGAGCGTCTTCTTCCTTCTCAGCGCTACCCTGCGGCTTTCTTTTGCGTGTTTTGAGCATTACCTTGTCCTTGGCTTCTTGCAAATCAGCGGGAAGTTGACTATCGATATCGTATTTTTCAGCAAATGCAGGTTTGACGATCCACGGTGCTCCGATATAAGATTCCTTCGATGCGCACTCTCTGATAACCTTCTTCAGCATATTTTTGGAATACGCTAATCTGTCGCGTCTAGAGTCTTTGTATCAGCAACTTGACTTCTTTACCAATTAGACTTCAGTTTACATTGAAATCTTGACTTACTTCAATTCAGCAGAGGAGATGGTTCTGATACAATCTTCAATTCCCTCCAAATCTTGATCTATTAGTTGCACTTTGTATTGACGCTTTTCGACATTCTTATCGGATTCCATGTCGTGAACATCGCCGTTCATTCCATTTTCGTTTGGAGTGACAGGTGTTGCTTCAACAACATCGAGAATTCGTGCGTTATACCTAGTAATATTGTATAGAAGATATGAGCATATACATGGTATGATTTTTAAAATAGTGATCTAGAACGATCACTCACATTACGCCATCATCCCACTTGCAATGAACTATTTCTCCTGGTAAATATCGATCCAAGAAGTATGAATATACATCCTCAACAACGGCTTCCAGTCGATCCGTACCTGACATACGAAATATCAATAAGTGTTTGAAGCCTTATAGATCTTGTGAATAGCAGATGAGAGTGTTTCACTTACGAAATTGCAGCCTCTTGAGTACACACGCCTTCAATTGTTCTGGGAAGCGATCACCGACGCGTTCTTTTTCCTTTCGTTCACTGGCTACGGCTTCTGCGTAAGTCAAGTTTGATCGGCCAGTGGTTTCGCATTGCCAAATGGGTTGTCGATAAAGCATTAAGCGGTGTAGGTACAATCTGACGAAAGAAATCGCAAGTCAAGTATAGTGTGCACAAATAATAAATAATAATCAAAACAAAGAGGTTAAGTTGGATACATCAAACATAATGCGTCCATTATTCACGATGTAATGATATCTTTGGTCCACAACTGTATTTGCGCATCGTAAAAACAGCTTGCGATAAAAAGGATACTCATAGTCCATGAAGATTTCGTTGCTCATTGGCAAATACCAAACTTGCTTATTTTTCAATCCTTTTTCACCGGATTCTAAGCTCGGTACTTTGATCTCTGGTAGTCGCTTACGTTTAAGTAACGGCATATTGGCTAGTATTTAGAGGTGGGCAAATATTAAGACGGTATATGTTTGGTTTGTGTAGATGTTGAGGAAATGTTGGTATCGGAAGAAAAATAGTCGTGACGGTAAGGAGCTGGTCAGTCGCTTCAAATACTTCAACGGGTTTTCAGCGGGCTTGAGCAAACGTGTAGGATGAGGATGGAGTTCGATATGAGCTGGTAACGAAAGGTCATTTGTATGCAACTTACCAAGACTTGCTATTTGGATAAATTGCGAATTCAGGTGGGGGTTGGCACGCAGGTTCAAAGAAAACGACGTGCCTCAAGACCACCACTCCCAACACGGTATATTGGCCACGGCCAGTTTTTTGAAGAAGCAGTCCGACGAGCAGTCAAGTCCTGCCTCTGGTTTGTGTTTCGAGCCAGCCAGACGTCAGCCCGGGCGGAGATTAAACAAAACCAGCACCCGTCTTCTTGGCTGTAATCACCTTCATCCACAGCCATCTTACCAAAACATGTCCGGAGTGACGAGAAGACGTGTTGCTGGCGGTGGAACAAGCTCGACTACTGAAGGAAATGGAACAACTTCGGCAGACATCTCTTATGCACCCAGCACACCAAGCGAAGAAAGAAAGATTGCTTACGATCCCAAGGACCTCGAAGACGACAAGGACAGGAAAGAACCGAAATTAACCTTGATGGAGGAAGTCCTACTTCTGGGACTGAAAGATAGACAGGTTAGTGATACTCCGGTATCAGATTAAACTCTTCATGATGTTGCATTTCTTGCTCCCAGTTCAGTATAGCGGAGCGACTTATTAAACTGCTGCATTGACAACCTCTATAGGGATATCTATCTTTTTGGAACGATAATATTAGTTATGCTCTGCGTGGATGCATAGTAATGGAACTGGCTTTTCGTGGCCGAATAGCGATGGTGAAAGACAGCAATAGACGAAAATTTGAACTTTCAGATCGACATATCGAAGTTATAAGCGAACGTTTGACCGGCGAAGTTCTTCTAGATGAAGCTTTGAAAATGATGAAGATCAGTGAGCCCATGAGTGTGGCGAGCTGGATTGATCTCATGAGCGGTACGTCTCGATACAATTAATGTGGAAGGATAACTTTTTTTCGTCCTTCCAAATTTTGTGAAATCTCACAGTTTACTGCAATCATTCTGATCCATACACAATATTCTTGTAGGCGAAACGTGGAACGTTATGAAAATTGGATACCAACTCAAGCAAGTCCGAGAGCGCCTGGCAAAAGGACTAGTCGACAAAGGAATTTTACGAACAGAAAAGCGAAACTTCCTTCTTTTCGACATGGCAACACACCCAATTGCCGATATGGCTGTAAAAGACGAAATTATCAAGCGTGTTTGCACAACTTTGGTGTCAAGGACTACACCAGCATCATTTGATTCTCAATCCGGCCTTCGTAATGGATATTTGCGGACGGTCGCAATGATATGCTCTGCTTACGCTGCAAACGTTCTTGAAAACTCACTGTTTTCACTCAGTTACGATATGCGAGAAAAGGCGTTTGCCAAGGTCGACGAATATCTTGCAGACTTCTCCACATGGCCATTTACAGGAACTGGCAGTAAAGTTAATGTCCACTCAGGAACAGAGTTATCGATGGAGGTTGTATCTGCTGTCCTAAATGTGTTCACCAAAATGGACTCAATTGTAAGTGTAATGTTTATTAGTATTGTTGCTGTACTGACCAATGATACTTGTTCCTTTGAACTTCCCATCACTAATCTGTTTCATTTTCTTGATTCCATTGATAGCTTTGAGACAGTCCACAATGTAATCAGGGTGTATTTAGTGCAAAGAGATTGCTGATGGGTGTAAAAAACCGAATTAAATCATTGAATCGCTCTTTTTGAACCAGCTGTATTGTTTCTCCTACTTCATTATAGAAAAAATCATCCTCACTGGTAGACTTCTATCTTTCTACTACCAGATGAACCCATTTACGTTGACTCTTACATCAACCTTTTAACCCATAAATGTTAAATCTGTGCCATTAGATGTACGAGTCTACTTTTTTTATTTTGTATGTAGCCATAATACTCAATGAGCTACATAAGTTTAGACTACGGAAGGGGGGGGATTAAAATTGATAGATGAAATGTGTGATAAGAATTCAAGAGCACATAATCCAAGATACTATATCAGCTACATAATTCAGGATATCTATCCTAAAAATCTTGAGCATTGTCTGTATCTACTATAGTTCACTTCTTCCAATCGTCAATCCATTCTCGCTCATGGTAACCAATCTGTTCAATAAACTGATAACTTACAAATGGCACGTTTTCGATAGCAAGTGCGATTTTCGATAGTGTGACTTCCAAACGAAAGATGTTTTATATTTGGGGGAGGGGAATTTTTGAAGTGTCGAGATTCACTTATTCATCTACCATCTCCAGAATGTCAGATAAAGCTCCTAGCTATGCCATCCTTTGGGCATCGCAAACAGGAAACGCTGAATGGATCGCCAAAGCTATACACAAAGAAGCTCAATCCCGCGGATTTACTGGAGAGTGCTTCGTCATGAATGAATTTGAATTGGTTAGTCTTGAGACAGTTTAACACCGGTAAAAGACAGTAACCGGCGAAATAGTTTGATTTACACTTTCCAATTTCTAATACAGGCCAACATGGACAAGACCGGTGTGTTGATATTTGTCACCTCCAATACCGGCGATGGTGATCCGCCGGATAACTCTTCAAAGTTTTGGCGCTTCCTTCGCCGCCAGAAGCAAAAGGATTATCTTGCACAGGCTAAGATAACTGTGCTTGGACTTGGAGACACCAACTACACCAATTTCAATAACAGTGCAGTGAGATTAGAAAAGAAGGTTAAGGAATTGGGAGCCACGGTATTCTATGAAAAGGGTATGGCCGACGATGCCGAAGGGTAAGTTCATCGCCGGCTTTCTCGCCACAAGACATATATGTGACCCTGTTCATTTTTACAGCTTGGAAAATGTTGTTGATCCATGGATTGCCAACCTTTGGTCGGTCCTTGCTGAAATTTGTCAACAGAAAGTATCGGAAGGTGATCAAACGGCAGAAATCACAAAGGGGGTGTCCGAGGTGGAGATAGCACCAATGACGGCTGCCGAGAAAGCTGCGCAGGAACCGTTCTCTATGACTGAACGTCGATCCACCATCCCTGAAACAGTTGCACCTTACACCGGCCTTCCCAACTCTCTTGTAAAGGGTACCCAAATTAACGGCGATTCAAAACCAGCTGCACCATTGAGTCATAAAATTCATGTTGATACCAGTGCTTTGGAAAACGCAACACAGCTTACAGGTTTGCCTCGTGTGCCTGCTGCATATATTAAGCTTGTAAAGGTGGAGAAAAATGCAGAGAAGCCTCTGACAGAAAAGCTCCCTCGTTTCGTTTACACACCAACCCCCATCATTGAAGCAACCGTCAGTAAAGTCTCTTGCATTTCGAGAAAGGGTGCCTTGAAAAGAACTTTACACCTGGAGCTCGACCTTGGCGAACATACAGATTTCCAACCTGGTGATGCTTTCGGTGTCATTGCTCCTAACGATGAAGACCTTGTGCAAGCTATTTTGACACGATTGGGTATCAAGACAGCTGAAGAAGAAATGCAACAGTTTTCCGTGGAAGGCGATGGTAATTAAATATGAAGATGATGATCGAATCGCGAATGAATTATAGCTGACTAGCTGATATGTTGTACTAGATCTTCCATCACATCTCAAGCATGCGTCAGGTGTCACATTGATCGACTTGTTCAGATACGGTCTTGACCTCACAACTGCTCCAAGAAAGGCGTTATTGCGCATGCTTGGAGAATACACCAGCGATGCTCAAGAGAAGAACCTACTGATGTTCTTGTGCAGTAAGCAAGGTATGTTATAAAAATTCGAAACAATACTTGTGTGTATGGGGCCAAAATCATTTGCAGCGGTTAATCTTGTTGTACAGGTTTGGCACAGTTCAATTCTCTTCGCGATCAGCAGCCGACTTTGCTTGATCTTCTCGTCAGCTTCCCATCCTGCAATCCTCCCATCGAGCGTTTGCTCGATACTTTACCTGCTCATATGCCGCGCTATTACTCCATCGCCAATTCGCCACTCGCTCATCCACACGCCATCCGATTTGCTTTCAACATTGTGCAATACACCACTCCTGAACCCTATAATGTTGCTCGAAAGGGTGTTGCTACGACTTGGCTTGATAACCTCACCGGACTAGTAGAAGCTGCTACCAGCAGTGATAATACTGCCCCTGTTGTCGAGATCCCCGTATCTCAGAGAATTTCCGTTCCAATCTTCTTCAAGATTAACAACAATGGATTTGTACTGCCCACCGATACTACCAAACCTCTCCTATTGATCGGCCCTGGTACCGGTATTGCGCCCTTCATTGGTTTCCTGGAACACCGCGACAAACAACGCCAAATTAGACGCTCTCTTGGTGGCGTTGGTGCTTTCCCCGACCGCGATATTGCTACTGAATTTGGTGAAATTCGTGTGTATTATGGTTTCCGCGAGCGCTCAAAGGATTATCTATTCGATGCCGAATTGAAGGAATTTGTTGATCGAGATGTAATTACACATTTGGAGCTAGCTGTCAGTAGAGAATCAGAGAACAAAGTCTACGTGCAAGATTTGATTCGACGTGATCAGAAAGACCTGTACGACTTTATTGTCAACAAGGGTGCGTTGATTTACGTTTGCGGGTAAGTAGCATCCAATTCATTATGCTGACCGTTGTATCTGACTGAAATCTGACATAACTTGCACAGTGACGCAAAGGGAATGGCGACTGGTGTCCATGAAGCTTTGGCCAATATGTTGGTCGAAAATGAACAATTAGAGAAAATGGAAGCTATGAAGACGCTGACAAGATGGATCACCGAGAAAAAATACCTTAGAGATTTGGTAAGTTTTGCTCTTGTCGTATTAACTCCAACATTGTTGAATACTAACCTGTCACATTATAGTGGGCATAATATGTTTCTTTATAATATATCTTTTAACCCATGTTCACCTTCAAATATGGTATAGTGTTTGATACATTAAGCAAATGCGTGTCTATTGTCGATAATTTTTATTGTGTATACGCGGCCGCCTTTTGAAATTTTATGTAAATTTTACTTTTTTTACCATGCTGTTGTTCCAGCAACGAAACGAATGCAATGATATCACCTCTCCACCAAATATGAAATTATGCAAGGGTAGCTAATTGGGAGTCAATGACAGCCTTAACATCTGCATTAGCAGGGGGATTGGCAGAAACTAAAAGAGGTGATCATGGAAATGAATAAAGTATTAGTGAACGCACATATCTTGACAACAGTCTTTCCACGCCATATCCGAACACTACTACATACCTGCTTCCTTGAAACGAGCAATATTTTTGGCGACCTGAGGGTTGGTCTTGTCGATCGTCCAACTCTGAACAAGAGCCTTCAACGCCAAAAGCATGCTACCTTTACGCAGATAAATTTCGAATCCAAGCAGGTGAGTCTGAATATGCTTAGGTGCAACTTGCTCAAGTGGTCGTACCCACTCAAGAGCACTAGCTAATGCATCAGTGGTCTTGAGGTATTTTTCACCCTCTGGGTCCTCATCTGTTGGCTTCTTTACATCCACCTTCTTAGGAGCCTCCTCCTTGACTTGTTCTGCAAAAATTTCGCCGGGTTAATGTTCCTTCGTAGGCTAATGTTGTATGCTGTAGCAAAACTAACCTTTCTTTGGTGGTTTGTTCTCCTTTTGAGCCTTGAGCTCTGCCTTGCGTGCCTTATTACGTGCCTTTTTCTTCTCGGCTTCAGACATGTTTGCTTCGTCCATACCGTTGGCTCCGCTTGGCTTATCGGCAAGAGAAGTATATGCCTGAAATCATACAAGTTCACATTTTTTAATTTTCTACTTCCTCACACCGGTCAAACGCAAATCTGTGATAGTGTTCCATACCTTGACTGCTCCAACGGCCGCTCTAACGAAGTAGTGACTGCCTTTAAGGTTATCTTCGAAACGAATAGTACTATAGGATTGTTAATGAGTGAATCTATAACAAATTGGGACATTGATGCGGGAGGGTATACATACTCAACATAAGATCTCAAAGTTGTCTTTCTCAAGCAATAGGTATGGAAGTCAAATTGGTCATCAAATATATCGCTGAAGAATTTTTCCACAGTATGGTACCGCTTCAAGGCTTTGCCCTTCTGGCCTTGTCGAAGGTAGCTATCACCTTCCTCCAGAGTGAGCCACATACACTGCATATCAGTGAGATCTTGCAATGGCGAGGCGGCATCAGGCTAAGACGGAGGTATCATTAGTATGCTGAAGGCAATGGGTGGTCAACATATGAAGCAGGTGCACAACATACCCTTGTGAACAATCCCAGAATTTTCTCTGCTTCTTCAATTTTATCATTTCGAATATAGTACTTAGCGCACTTCGAGTTGATAAAACGATCTTGAAGATCCATTTCACGAGCTTCATTCATGACTCGTGCGGCAGCTTCCAAGTCCCCTCCGTGCTAACATTAAGTATGTTGAGTGAGATATTTTTGAAGCAAGGCATGGCTAATCTAACAAATATCACGTACCTTCAAAATTCTACCCTTGGTCATGTAGAGTTCCACAAGAGTAGGGGTATGCTCAATTGCTTTATCGATGGTCTTCAAAGCAAGTTCAGTCTTACGCTGCTTATCATAATGTTGGGCAAGGAAATACAATGTCCACAAGTATGCAGTTGGTGGTTCAACGACTGTAGTAGTAAAAAAATCCCACTTGTTAGAAGAAACCGAAATGTTGACGAGTTCAAATCATATATATATAGTGATACGCACCTTTCTCGTCCTGCTCTTCATTAAAATGGCCAGTTTTTTCCAGTGAAACTTCATATCCAGTAACAAGTTCCTCAACAATTTTCTCCTTTGCCGAATCAGAGTACAATCGCTTGATGTCAACGAATAGAGAAGGAACACCCTTTCTAAGAGCACTCTGTAAATACGCGTCGGCACGGTTTCTGAAGTTATCTCCAGAAGCATAGTTGAGAGGTAAGTTTCTAGCAGCAGTAGATCTTGGGAAGTCTGATTGGATATCGTCGAAAATCTTAAGCATAGCTGATTGTTGCTCGGATGTGAGATTATCTGACAAAAAAACAATCATCAATACCTTCAAGGCACTCTAGGCGCGAAATACGGTGGATGTTATGGCCTACCAGCATTCAAACCCTTTACTGCAATGAGGCCCTTGATATAAGAGTAATTATCAGGGTTCTCCGAGATCAATAGTCGATAAGCAGTTTCAGCTTCCTCTAATCTGTTAAGCTTCAACAAGAACTCGGCCTTTTTTACTTTCCAAGCTCGCTTGTCGCACACCTTTGGTTCAACTGTCTCCAGGTGTTCCAACGCTTTCTCAATATCGCCTGACTCTTCTAAAAGGGAGTTGTGATACATGAGAAGTTCGGATTGTTCGAAATTGACCGATTGTTCACGGAGAGCGCTTTCGTGTGCTTCAAGCACTTGGATAGCAATGTCGTACTTTCCGACCAGTTGATAAGCGAGAGCAACGCCGATCCAGAATGGAGGATTAGTAGGTTTGGCTTGGAGAAGCTGAGTGCGAGTCTCAATGAGTGCATCATAATGGCGCATTTGAGTCTGGAGGAGAGCGAAATCTCGCAGAATTTGCATGTCGCTTTTGTTATACTTGAGAGCGTGTGTGTAGCACTTAGCAGCCTCTTCGTAATTTTTATCCGATCGATAAAGCAATCCAAAGACGTGCCAGCCTAAAGAGATTGGATGGTCAGGGATGAGCCCACATTCTGCAAAAGCATTCCATATGTCATTCATACTTACAGATATGAGATGTGAGATCGAAACGTAAGCCCTTTTTGACAAACTCGTATCCTTCTTCCTTCTTTTCCAGATTGTTCAAGAAAAGACCTTTCATAGCAAGGGTTTCTAGATTTGCAAGTTAGTAACAGCGGGAGTGTAGCGATCTAACAGGATTGGTCAATCGCTAACGTACCACCATGCTCAGGAAACTTTTTCAGAATGGTATCGGCTAGCTTCAAGCCTTTTTTGTACTGCTTATGCTCATAGTTTCTCTGCGATTGAATGAGCTTGGTGAGCTGACTGGGAATTTGTGGCCGAGAATGTGGGAGCTGTTTTACTTACAAGTATATTTTTGAATATGGCGTTCTCCTTAGCAGGAAGCTCTCTCTTTGCGTTCATCTCTGAGGCTGGACGTGATTAAAATGCACAAAGGTACGGTAGGTTATTTTTTTGAAGCCCAACTCGCAAGACTTGGAAAAGCCACGAGAAATGCTTACGTCACGAGATGAATGTTGAATGGCAACACGGTGAAAGGGGCAATCGGTGCACTTTATTGACGGTATTGGTATTCTATCAACATGATGTCGTACTACGAAACGATATGGAAAGTCGAAAAATATTCAATTATAAACTATGCATTTTTGACCAATTTACTACCGTATCTTCTATACTGCATAGAAAATTTCGAAATTTTGAAAGTAGGACAATGGTTTTTTAAGCCGATGTCTGATTCTAGCCACTGAGAGTGATATCCACGCGTTGTATACCACGGTCTAATTCTACATGTCTTCTTGATGAGACAATAGTATATTCTTCTTTGCCGTCTTCCACACAGATGACATGGAGAAGACATGTGTTGCTCAACTTTTAAGTCCACTTGCTAGAGGCCGGATAACCAAATGTTTCTAGCAACATTTTATTTCGTCATGTAGTTTGAAATTTCCTACCTTTTTATACACAGTATAATAGCAGTAATAGACGTTTTTCCTTGTCAAATCTCATTAGATTGTTCAAAAGCATACCTCAGTGAAATCCAGCCTTACATAATATTGCTTGACATCGGCTAGGTCGCTGCTCGTCTTTTGGGGCCAATTGTTTAATGAAATAAGTCAATGATGTTGGATCAAACTTGACGTTGTACCTATTGTATATTCCTCATTCTTTTTCAATTCATATAGCGGCCAAACGCTAAGACCAATATCCATTCATAGCGTTGGAACAAGAAACCAAGCCGAAACCATTTTCGTACTCAGGAAGGATTTCGACCTGTGGCTTGAGTAAGCCTAAATTTGCAGGTCCGCGACGACACCTTCATTGGATTGATCACGATACTGCATGCAACCACCATTACCCTCGAGCTCACAGGGCTCTCTCACTAACGCCCTACAATCCGGATCTGGATCTGGAATGCGATACAATAATATGCTCCAGCAACAATTGCAACAAAACTCCATGCAAGCTCACGATTCCCGATATGAGTATACCAATTACCAAAATATCGTACTGGCCAATCAAAATCTAATGCAACAGCAACAACTTCAGCAAGCAAAGAAAATCAACTCGGATCAACTTGCGCAGAGATCCTTGCAAGCGGAAGAGAGGATTTATGCTCTAATTTTGGATTTGATGAACCCCAACCTTCGTGAACAGGCTCTTCTCGAGCTTAGCAAAAAGCGCGAGATGTATGACGACCTTGCTATCATCCTATGGCACTCATATGGTAAGAGTGGGCATTTTAAAATTGCCAAGAATTCATCCAGTGATAGCTTTCTTATTTTTGTTGGATATACTAGGTGTCGTGTCGATTCTTCTGCAAGAAATTATTTCAGTGTACCCCCTATTATCTCCACCCGCACTCACTGCCGTTGCATCCAACCGTGTTTGTAATGCTCTAGCTCTACTCCAATGTATTGCTAGCCATAGTGCCACCAGGCCACTTTTACTTAATGGTAAGTTTTTTTCCATGGCCATTTGTTTAGCATGAGATAAAATGGCTGATCCCATATGTATGATTCAGCCCACATTCCACTATTTCTATACCCTTTTTTGAACACCACAAGCAAAACAAGAGCGTTTGAATATTTGCGCTTGACCAGTCTTGGTGTCATTGGAGCTTTTGTGAAGGTAGGACTATGTTCTATGGTACAAACGTGCGACAGCTCGATGCTAAAAATTTTGAAAACATCTAGAATGACAATTCTGAAGTGATCAACTTTTTACTGTCGACTGAGATCATTCCCCTATGTCTTAGAACGATGGAAAATGGGAGCGAGCTGTCTAGAACGGTGGCAATCTTCATTGTACAGAAAATACTGATGGATGATGCTGGACTAGTCTACATTTGCCAAACATACGAAAGATTCTATGCGGTTACAACTGTTCTAAATGATATGGTTAGTCAGCTGGCCGAGACTCAGTCCATTCGACTTCTCAAGCACGTCATTCGATGTTATTTGAGGTTGAGTGAAAATCCAAGGTAATCCTCGTTGTTCTCAATGCATAGCTGTTTGCGATTTCCGTCATTGATAAAACTTCATATCCATAGAGCAAGAGAAGCACTTCGACAGTGTTTGCCTGACGAGCTAAGAGACGCTACTTTTGCCGGTATTTTAAGAGACGATATCACCAGCCAAAGATACTTAAATCAACTCTTGATCAACCTCTTGGGCAACTGAACTACTCATTGACTGTAGAACCTTACTATTATTTTTGTTCATATTTTCAATGTTAACAACATCTGTAAATGCTGTAATCATCTTTGATTCTCCCCCCTACAGTTTTGGATTATTTCTCCCCTCCGCCTTGGTACATACAAAATACACTCACACTGCACTGGGATAGATTCACAGTACATTTTTGTACATCAAATGTCAATATGGTACCGTAATATAAACAGTATATAAAAAAACTATATAAAACTTCTTTAAATGTTGAAAATAAACGAGTATACTGTCTCAAAATATTTCGCGAACCTCCAAGATATTTACAAACTGTTTGGAATTTGCATTCGCATTGGCTTGTTCTATTTTTGTCGGCTGGCTTCAGGCGCTAATTTGTAGAAAAGCATTGAGAAACACATTGCTTTTATAGAGGGTGAAAAAATGATACTTAGTGGATCTGGTCATTCTGCCTCTACAGAATATCAGCTTGTCATATATAGAAATCTTGTGGAAGGAGGTAAAGAAAAAAGACTAATGAGCATGCTAGATCATGCTGCCATCGAAGGATCTCATTTGGTACACTTGTAAATCTTTGATGGATTTTTGATATGGTACCACCTGCAGCAGCGATCGACAGATATTCTATGACCCACACTATGTTCTTGACGTCGACGCAAAAACACATTAATTCATGTCCAAACCCTGTTGAAAAGTAAAGCAAGCTACATTTGCTAACGACAAAGTATTGTTGGAATGGCCGAATAACAATCTCATCCCCTGTTTTAGAAGAACTTCATAGGATAAAGATACCCTTTCTCACAAATGATCGCCATCGACATAGTTCTTTAGGCGGCAATCATTTGTGACGCTGTTAAGGAAATGCAATTACGGATAAACGGATGCCCTCAGGCGCTTTGGTTTAGTGAGGGAGACAGGAATAATTATGGAGACATCCATGCTAAATATCATTACTGCAAGTTCTTCATTCATCCAAGCTCCTCCACAGTCTCCAAGTTCTAAGGTTCCGAGATTCCAAATTCCAGGGTCCTATCTCTCAAAGCGGTGGTCCAAGTGAGTCACGACAGAGGATGTATTGTGACACGAAAACCCAATGGCCATTAGTACACATGTTGCTCTTATAGGCTCTCCAAGCTACCATACATCGTGCGGTCGTCTGTTCTGAATTAGTTACCGCTATCTCAACCCCGGATACTTTCGGTACGGTTGATACGGACAATCGTAGCAGTGAGACTGTAGAACAGATGGAATTACTTGGAGGTCTGTTAATCATACATTAACGCACGTCATCCATTCAGCCAAGATTAAAAAAATTTTACCAGCTGTAATTTCACTCGGAAAGAAAGATTGTAGAAGTGATCCGATCCACCTCGCTTGGTGCCGGCCGTAAAATTTGCAATCTACTCAGTATGGATGCGTAACAGAAAAGGTTGGCTTACAGCAGCTTCACTGTATCCTGTCCGCTAGAAGATGCTCACGTAATTAGGCAGCTTGTGTAGCGACACTGGATCCCGCTTATCGTTTTTGTTTTTGTTGGGGTATCTATAGCGAACGGTAGAGCATCGTTCCATTTTCTAGGATCCCACGGTCAAAAAAAGAAGTAGCTCCGGATGAATCTTATCTCACAATCTATTACTACGGGTGGGATGAGCTATTTTAGAAATGACAAAAAACATAATGTAAATCATCTTGCCTTGCATCAAAGTAGGCCAAATGAAATATGTAAGGCTTTTTAGACTGGTTTGATCTGCCGTAACATCCTTTAGACGTCGGTACCAGTGAAATTTAGAGAACCCCTTCTTGCCATGACTGCGTTAATTTTTCACTCTCCTATTCGGATAGAGAATATTGATGAGAATGTTGCCTTTTTTTTCACAACGGTCTTGACAAAATGCATTAGTCTATTGCGGAGTTGACAGGGCAAAGAAGTAGAGCCATGCCTATTTGTGCTCGTGTGTTTGCCCTGGAGGTGAATGGATAGAAATGGTCAAATTATGATGCAAAATTATTACATGTAGCAATATGTCAATTTAATCAACTTTCTCCATTGCCATTTGGTATTTTTTTTTTTGAGTTTGTTTTGCCGGTTTGAAAGACCGAGAATTCCAGCCATACGGTAATCAATGGCGTCTCATCATTAATTATGCTCACTTGGAGACAAATGAAAGTGTACCAAGCGGCCCCTGAGACCAAGTAGTGTTCAGAAAACTCCGTAACTCAACAAAGGAAGGTGTCGGGGAAGATTACTGGAACCTCGCGAATCAATGACGTTCCATTATCTTCAAGTATGGTTGTGGCCACATAGCTGCATGTAACTGATCTATTGAGTGACACACCGCTTAACATTAATTATTTATATGAAACTTGTTGAAGATGTGTCAATTCCATAATCATATGCTTGTGTTTGAAGACGTCTTTAGGGATATTAAAAGATAAAATGATAAGAGATCCTCAACCCGCTGTCCCCCAAGGTTTCAAAATCTGGTGGCATCCTAAAATGGGGGTAATGCATGCACCTGGTGCAAGGTCATTTGGAATACAGACGCCTTTGCTGCTGCACTGCACTTTCTAGTTGAACGCAGTGTTTTTTATTTTTATATTTTATTTTCTTCTCTCCCCCTTCGTGTACGCCCTCTTCTACGGCTCGCAATCGCGCATTTTCCAATCTCTTTTGATCTTCATATTCCGTCGGTGTCGACATGAGCAATGGCTATTATCAGTCATTCTGCGCATCGTGTAGACAATGTTTGCGATGTAGATTGCGTCGTGGGTGCCGATGTACCCCCCTCCCGGTCCTAGATTGGTCCAGAGATCACACCCGAGATGGAGCGCTGGATTTTCGAAAGAAAAAAATATCAAGTCAAAATAACGCACGGGACCTACCTGCCATCAAACAGCATTTGGCACGTGAAAATCCACAGATAGATTGGAATAACATGGATGAATTTGTCGTCAACTTGTGTATGAACTGTGATAGGAAATGGCGAAAATTCAGAGACGGATACCTCCATGAACATGATCACAGTGAACCACCTCAACACTCAGCCACCACCGAGATGAGATCAACTGAGCCTCCACCGCCTCCGCACATTCGCCAACTACATCCTGAACCTACGTCGCTACACTTTGAATCCGACGAACACAACCGACCCTTGATAACGAGATCCATGGAATCTTCTCCTGAAGTGACTTACCAGCGAAAAAGACGACGGCGAGACACTGTAATGTCTGAACATCATCAACTCACAAGTTCTAATTTTGGCAAGTTGTAATCCCTTTGTTCGTTAAATTAAAAACCTTAAATTTGTTCCCTTCTTTTTTTATTTTTCTTAACTCGACTAACACGAGAATTCCCATACAGCCCTCAATCCGACAAGCCATCGTTTTTTCGAACAAGAACTTCATTTCCGCCGCACTATTTTCACACCCGATCACGCATTACAACTCGGCCTCGCTATCATTGATCTAGCAAAATCTCAACCTCAAAACCCATTGGTAGTTGACATTACCCTGAATGGCTATCAAGTTTTTAGATTTGCCATGCAAGGAACAGGTCCCGACGATGATGAATGGATACGGAGAAAGAGAAATGTTGTAGACAGATTTCGTCACTCAAGCGCCTTGGTACAGTCTCAAATTGATTATTTGGGATCAAACGCGGTTGAGCGATACCCGGTAAGTTTACCATTCATCAAACTTTACTACTCAAACTTTGATCGTTTACTAAATTAAAATATTTGTCAGATCCATGATCCACGTTACGGGTTCTATCCAGGGTCGTTCCCTATCATAGTGAGCGGAGTTGGAGTAGTAGGTTCTATTACCGTTGCGGGATCCAATTTGCGCGCTGACCACGACGTTATCATTGCCGCTCTGCAAAAACTTACCACCGAACAACCACCTCAAAACGATAAAGCGGGTCCAGAAGGATTCAGGCAACCGATCACTTAACATTGCCCATACCATATCCATACAACCTTCACGCTATGTACAGTTATTATATTCTACCAATCCCTCGCGAGCATATATAAATGTATGCATTCCTTGGTCATCAAAAGTTCGTCTTTACAACAAAATAAAGTAAAATAGCAAAAGAGTAATTTCTTTAACCTATACTTCATCCAGATAACATAAACTTTGTTGGTATCTTTGTACAACCAGAATCTAAATATTTGCATGCTGGGGGAAGACAATGGAGATATATCACTACGGTTCATGATACTTTGATCACATGCCACCATGATTTAAGACGTCAACGGTCCCTTGATGTCGACTTTAGAATGTTTACTACTACTTTCCAGCAAGCCGGGCAAAGCTGACCTGGTATCCAAGGATTTGCCGTCGCTCGATACAAAGTTGGCTTTATGCTCTGTCAGTAACCGACAAAGGGATGTTAATGATCCTAAAGCCAATTCCTGTATAATATAACCCGTCTCCACTGTTGGCCTAAACCTGTCATTGGATAAATGAGCCACGAGAAATCACGTATCACTTCAATAAGACGGAATGACTTACGCTTTACATATGGCTTTTAATGCCCCTATTCGTTCCCGTTCGACAAATTTGTCCATAAGGTAACCTCCCATATTCGGTGCATCCAGGTATAATTTGAAGAAACGATGGTAATTTCCCGTAGCCATAGAGGAGCGAACTTTTAATGCGTGACTAATTGCGGGGTCATTCTTTTGTATAAGTGTCAAATGCTTCAGGAGAGCGTTGATATCTGTTGCAAATCGGTATGAGAGATTTATACCATAGATCACGTACACCATCAAGTTACACCCACACACTTACCAGAATGGTTCTGAGCATATTGTAAATATAAAATACGATAGGCAATAAACTCATATTCTCGACCTGGTATTCCCAGCCTATATAATTCTCGTAATTGCGTTTGGCACTGATTGTACTCTCCAAGATCGCCCTGAAATACTGTCACGTTAGAAATACTTTGGTCCGCCAATTGAGTAAGCATATACAAAAAATACCTTTTCCAGCGCGATACGGGCGTGAATTTCGTACACCTGAACGGTAAATTCTGTCTGTATCCGTTGAACCTGTCAAATGAAGAAAAGTAAGAATTGGAATACGCTTTATAGTAGTACTTCAACTCTCACTAACCGTAAGGTCCTGTCGGATGGATTTGAATTGGTCACATATGTAAGAATAATTCTCTTCTGTTCGCCATTTTTTCTTCAATAAATTTAGCGTCTTCCTTAGAATTGGAACTGGCCGAACCATCGCAGGATCTGCTGCCTAAAACCAGATCAACATGTCAGCTAAAAATAATAGTAACCCAAAAAAACAACCACCACTAGCACAAGGAAAGACACATACCGACGTCAGCCGCAAGTACGGCTTTTCTAACACTGTACTCGTCCCTACTATCGCTTCGCCGCTGGTGTCAGGGCTCTAATTGAATGGTAAGCGCCTATATTGCTTTAAGATCAAAGATTTTGAGATAGTACTCACCGACGCTGAACGCTTTGTTCCTGCAAACTGCCTGGGAGGCGGACTAGATGAAGCGCTTGTTTGAAATCTGAGCTGACGACTCTCACGTTTGTACAGTTCCTGTTGAGTTTCTTTCATAGGTATGATGCCACCGGTTTTGAACTTTGGTCTATTGGATGTAACCTTTAGCATTGAGGACAAACGAACTTGGTGTGAAAAAAAATGAGTACTAACAACCCGGCCGCCAGCTGTATTTTCTTTTTGGAGGATTTTGGATTGACTTTTGTATTACAGCCGCTATCGTCAAGTGCAGTTAGTATTTTCGTAGACAAGATAAGATCGTTAAGGCAAGGTGAGGTATCGTACTTTGGTAACGGCATCTCGTTCCAATCGGTTGATTGTAAAGCACCGGCTTCGAAAGCTGTTTCAATCCTTTCCTTCAATTCTTCTTCAACTATACTTCGCTTTGCAGGCGGACAATTCTGATAACAGCTTTGCACGTACTCTCTTTTAAAGCCGAATGACAAAAATTAGGATCCATTGTCCGGAATATCGGTAATAATTATGATCTTACTTTAGTTGTGGTGGAAATTTCTTTTCATCAATGCTGCTTAATCCACTTGTCAATGTCCCTATACGTGCTCGCTTTGCTTTTTTTCCACCAACAGCGACATATGACGGCCCTGTTGAACATAAGCAATCAGTCTTTACTTCTGTATTTCTTTTGCAGTTCAGGTAAGAGGAACACGTACGAAAATCTGACATTTCGCAGAATTATTATAAGTTGGGTGACCTTGGTGTACTCTAAACTTGATTTGGCCGAAGAATGTGTGATCTCGATTGTTCTCGCTTATAAGTCGAAGGATGGCTGTCTGTAACTTTTTTTCAGTGAGAGAAAAAATACGTTGAGCAGACATGCCACGTGATCTGCGCATCAATGGATGAAATTCAGTTCTATGATACTCGGCTGCAGAATCAAAGCCCTGAACTTCTGTAGCTTTGGCATCATCTTTCTTTGTTCGATCGTTTTCTCAATTTGAACAAGGAATTAGTGCCCTTTATCCAGTGGCAAATCACACACTATCATGAGACAAAGAGTATAACACACACACCAGATGTGATTTCCTTTTTTTTTTGCGGTGTTTGCAGTTGATTCCTTCGATGTTCGTATGCGTTGATTACAATAGTTTCATTCTCACATGAGAAATGCAGAATTTGACAACGGTGAAGGTGAAATATATGAGAATGAAAGAGAAAGAAAAGAAAAAGAGAAGCGAGTAGAATAAGTAGGCGAATGAGAAAGAGAAAGGAAGATATAATAGGATGGAAAGCCATATGCTCTCTAAACACGAGGGAATAAAGTAGGCAAAGGCGTGTATCAATACACTGAACAAACGAAGATCCATTGCTCATCGCAAGAAAACATCAGCTCTCTCCAATTGTCTTGCTTATTTTTTTTGTCTTATTGGCTCTGTATAGAGTAGGTGGTATTAAAGGTTTTGTTTGTCCACCAAGTCTTCTATAAATTGAAACAGAATACTTACCAAAGTATGGGTGATCCATAGCTTCCAGAGGCGTCAATCTCTCCTGGTGATCATACCGAAGCAGCTTGTCCAAGAAATCAAGAGCTTCGTTTGAAACAAACCGTTGGTTGTCGCTTGTGATAAATTTGGACCACGGTTTGCGTGGATATCTAATAGAATGACTGCGTTAACGTACTGTGATATTTGCTTTGACCTCGTTCACAATAACATACCTTCCCAAAATCTCGTCGTACTGTTGGTCGAGCACTAGTTCATACTTCTCCACATAGGCAAACAATTCATCGGTACCTAGGACCTTTGCAATTTTAACCAATTGGTCATAATTGTCATGACCGTGGAAGAAAGGCTCCTTGCGGAAGATCTGTGACAGTGGCATTTAGTAAATTTTAAGTTGATGAAGTACCATCCAAATGATGTCAACTTACCATACTGGCATACATGCAGCCATAACTCCACATATCAAGGCTGTAGTCGTATTCTTGGAAATCGACGAGAAGTTCAGGGCCCTTGAAATACCGAGAAGCGACACGCACATTGTATTCTGTGCCTGGGTGGTAGAATTCAGCAAGACCCCAATCAATCAAGCGAAGCTGTATAATACGGATCTTAGTGATCAAAGAACTGTGAAGATTTTCGCTTTGAGTGAACCCGCCTTTACCTGTCGTTTTTCATGGTCGATCATGACATTGTGGGGCTTAACATCGCGGTGCATAATTCCTTTTGAATGGCAAAAGTCCAAAGCCTAAATTTGTCGTGAAAAGTAAGCATCATCAGCTAAAGAACAAACATAACTTGCTATCAACACAAATATACGCACCTTTAGGAGTTCATACATATAAAATCGAATATCGTAGTCTTGGAATTTTGGGTAAAGTATTTTAAAGTCGGTATTATTCACGTTTTCAAATATGAGAGATGGTGTCTTGGACTAAAGCGTAGGCGATAAAAAGTGTGAGAAGTCGCAAGAATCCAGAAAGAAAACGTGATACATAGTGTTCATGACTTGGCTTACCTGTGGGTCTCTAACGACATCCAATAGACCAATGACATTGGGGCCACCAGTGAGATTTTGAAGGATCTTGATCTCTCGCTTAATCTTCTTCTTCTTGACAGGCTTGAGAACCTTGATCACGCACTTTTCGCCGTTGACAACGTTGATACCTTCGAATACCTCAGAGTATTTGCCTCGACCGACTTTTCGAACGATCTCGTAATTGTCTTGGGACCTGTAATATAAATCGCGACCAGAGAAACAATCATGAGTTACATGTATCGAGTATTTCGGTATATAAGGGATAGTGATTCAACATGAAGATGTCTAAAGGCTTTTCCGATAACATGTCCCTCGTTGGATAACCATTCCGCTTGGAGAGATTGAGAGAATCGCTTACCCCCACTGAACTTGCAGATTGTCATAATCATAGTAATCTCGTGGCTGCTGCTGATTGACGTTAGCATAGCTCCGTGCTATACTTTGGTACGGCATGGTATTTGACAAGCAAGATGAACAGCGTACTGGAGCCGAAAAAGAGTCTCAACTTTGTGTACAACTCTTTGTCATGTGACTTATAGCACTGCACACCGCCCAAAACGAAAGAAAAAAAAATTGGTCACATCATCTCAGACCACTGTACCGCCTTACAGCCTTCTTATGCTTATAGATAATGTTACAGGCATCGGTTTTTCATGATGCTGCTGTAAGAATATTACCAATATGATGAATAAGATCTATAACCTTTGTCGGGACTCCTTTCCATCGATAATAGCCTCTTGTTCCGTTTAATGCTTGGGTACAAAAGGACCATTTTGATGAAAATATACTAGGCAAGCCCTCTTCTTTAATCGATTGCCATTTACATTGCATATTACCTTCTCGAAGATCTACTTTGTATGATCAGATCCATGTGGTAGTATTCATGGCATGCGCACAAACCCGTTATCATAAATTTTTTTGGTAGTTGTCTCAGAAAATTTAAAAAAAAAAAAAAAAAAACTTTAACTTATAATCGCTAGACGTAAATCTTTGCTAAACATGCCTTCATTACGGCAACTGAAGCGAGCATCGTCAAGCGAAAGCTCCCATAAAGATCTGAAAAAGCCAAGACGGGAGAGTTCTCGTAGCAAACTCAAAATTCCTGAACCAAAGGCGGTCATTCAACCATCGCTATCACCAGGTAAAGATGTCACTCTACGCGTGCATTATTCCTGGTAAACTCATCTCCTCACCCCTCTAAACACGTAGAGCAAATACTACAGTCGTCATGGAAGTTCCTTGAATTTGCGCAGTTTTGCCTGACTTTCAAAATCCACCTTGGATTACCACCGTTAACGATAGACTCATTAGAGTCAATGTTACTGAACAATGAGGCAACTCAAAATTCAGAAGACGGAGACTCCGTAAACTCAGAAAACACTCCAGATAACAATGATGGCCTCTCTTCAATATACTCAAATGAGCACACCAGCAAGCTAGAGGATCTAGTCCTACCATTGTTTCAAAACCTCTCGCATCCCAAGAGGTTACCTTCGTAAGTGAAGTGCAACATGATAGTCACCACTACGTATTATCCTTCAATTAACTTGCGTTTTCTGAAGAATATTTGATATAGGGGATAGTCTTCTTCGACTGCACAAATGGCATAATCTGTCTCTCGATGGAGTCAAAAGTAGTAAACCGACGGCAAACAATTTTTATCAACTGACGATGGATGAAAAAGTTGACATATTATATACGTTGATGGAGAATGTAATGGATAATCCTGGCTCAGAAATTGGCGAGCTTTGTAGGAGCGGTGATTTAGAATTCAAGGTGGGTTTCCGAACATTGCAGCACTCATGTCACCTGTTATGTCAATTGATGTCTCACACAATATATTCAGCGATACGAGTCCATAGGCACCGACACTGAAGGAAGGTCGTACTGGATGTTTGGTAGTGAACGACTTTATAGAGAGGCTCCTTTAAGTTCGGTCAAACGAAAGGTCCCAACGTTACCAAATCGACCCCACACCTACGAATTAGTAAGTCATCTTTCAATTCGCCTACAAAATTAGATTGGTGACTCATGGTCCTTATCGTTTTTCAGGTTTGCCAATATCCAGATGATTGGCGAACATTCTTAAAAGAAATAAGTTCGAAACGAAAAGGTGGCAAAGTATTTCCTCCAGACTTAGTTGAAGAGCTCAAGGTTAGAGGAGAAGGCGTCATTGAAAACCACGAGCAGAAGGAACGGGCAATCTTACGGCGAGAAGAAAAACTACATAGAGCAATTATGAGAGCCAAGGCATTTGAAAATATGCCACGGAAACGAAGCAGCCGACTGGAACAAAAAGTATATAATCCTAATCTAAATTATGGAAACACGCTCGTCGCTAATTTACCTGTGACTTTTAGAAACAAGAACGTGAAGAGATAACAAAATTAGAGGAGGAGATAGATTCACTTGAAGATATTGAAGCTGTACGGCAATATGTAGCGCAAGAACAATCGCCGCTTGAGGACTCGAAAATTGATACTGCTGACGAAATTGAAACGGTTTAACATGAAACTACTCTGGAGCTGAAAGAACAACGCAATATAGATTGTGCGGCACCTGGCGCTGTTGATTCCGTATCCCGGTTTGATGCAACTGAACTCACACCACATAAAATTATAGAACATGCATCATCTGAAATCACAGAATCTTTCCGCCAATCCGACCAGGATAAATATAATCAGATTGAAAGCTTGGGGCGCGAGACAACCACAAAATAAGAATACAGTTCCGTGGATATCCAAAGTACCTAAGTGGAAGCATCCCATTAATATCATGGATGATAGAAGAATATTCGACGATCATTTAGATAACTGTAATATATTCTATAAAGTAATACATCAACTAACAGGCGTTTAATGTATAATAAGCAGCAATTGCCAGCTGTTTACAAACAATTGACCGTGTGTTCAAGGGAGGGCGTTTAAGGTTATTTGGTGGCTATGGTGTTGAAGTGAATATTACGAAACTAACATGATTCTCAATAGTGGGCATTGGAGCGGGTAATCTATCTCCATAACAATGTCTCGAAATTCTATGGGATTCAATCACCAAGCTAAAAATATCGAATGATACGGACACTCAGACATTCGAACGTCTTTTGAAAATCAAATGGAAAGTGGATCGCTGGTACCATAGGGAACTTTATGACAAGCCTTTAGCCGTTTAACCAGTTTAAAACTTTGATAAGGCCCTGCTCACCACCTTCATCTTCAGCATTTCAGCTTCTCCTGATGGCCATTGTCCATTTTGTGTCTTGTTTATCTATAGCAGGTACATGATCATATCTGACAATCTGAACTGTGATGCGGACCACGCGCCATCTGGCTTTCAAACTCACGGTGCCGTATTCAATTCTACTCAGTATGCGCTGACTGATCACGGACCTCAATGTTCCTGATTATTCTTTACACTGTCAGCCAAAAAAAAAAAAAGCGTTCTTATTGTATGGCAGGGCAGCGCTCAGCATATTCGCCTTTTTAGTCATTGTCAGTTTTCCATCTCAGCGTCTCATTTGTTTCAGATTGTGCAAGCAGTTTGCCGTAACACATACCTACTGCTAACTCTCTTAGCTCTAGGAACTCAGAATAACGCGAACTTTGATGTTATATGAAACCAAACGGTCAAAGTCAAAATATCACGTATACGATTGGACGAAAATTTACGTCTCTAAATACTGTTTCGAAAAATTAAAAAAAAAAAATTTTTGATAGAGATAACATCCCACTCTATCGGAGCCGAGTACAGATGACGAAGCTCTGGGATATACAACGTTGTCATATCGCCGCCAGAAAGTCTGCTTCGTAATTGCTGCTGACAAGCATCAATGGTATTGCGAGAAAGTCATTTTAATGTAGGTACCACAATTACACTTCAAAATGGAAAGGTACGTACGCAAACTGGCCTACATTTAGGACGTAGCTGAATATTTCGTCTCATTTCAATAGACATATCACAATGTCTCGGGTAGCTGGTTACCGTTGCCGCTGACATGCGCCGAAATAAATTTAAGGACCAGATGAAGTACGTCTAAAGACGATCATCCAACTGAAACCTCTTCGTTTGTGTCGCTTTATCCTTTTTCCACACTAGCTGTCAGAAATAAGCGTTCACGTCAAATGTTTCATGACGCCTTGGTAATTTATGGGCAAAATCAGGATGTAATAGGAATAAAGTGAACGAAAAATTCAATTGTACAATTTTGATGCCAGTCAAATGGTTTTACAATCAAAACTTTGGTGCAATGGATGCTTTGCGAAGGATATTTTGCTGAAATGGTTTATCGCTCAAGATGTGCATGGCCTCTACATATGTAAACTGTTCAGATATTATTGATAGCATTAGTATGGAGAATAATGACAACGCATAATGTAAGGGACTTACCCATCTGCGACCACGACTTTCTTTGCATTGGTATTCACTCAATATGTTCATGACCTGGAATTCATAAGCATTGACATATGCTTTGACTCGCTTCTTTCCTGATTGTGTGAATTCTCCAATGTGGTTCGTCAAACGACCTTCAACGCCAACAATATTGGCCGCAATAGCATGAGCTGTTGCTTCAGGCTGTGGTACTTCTGCATCATCTGTCTTGGGCTTATTACAAGCGTGAGTGATTTAATTGAATGGCATGGCATGTAATGTAGAATTGTTGATTCATCACTTACCAAGACCCAATTATTGGAATTTTCGCTTTTGTTGACTAGTAGTACCCGACCTGATCGAGTATCCAGAGGTAAACAGACGATCTTGTAAGCTGGAGTCTTTTCTTTCTTATCTGTAGCCTTATCCTTCTTGTCTGAGTCCTTTTTCTTCTTATCTGAAGACTCTTCTTGTCCATTAGACTGTGTTGCTTGAGAAGGATCGTAAGATGCCAGTGCCTTATTCGTTTGATTTGGTAAACAAGCATTTGATACCGCTGGCATATTACGGCCTGATATGTACTGAGGCTCGTCGGCCTTGGAGCTGCTTTTATTGCGTGAAAAAATAGTCATTGCCTCTCAGAGTGAATTTGTACAGAGTAATTCGCTGTTACACCCTCGGTACTGAAGACCTTTTCTGCTTTTTATATACTATTTTAAGTGCAACGAAATTCCAAACCCATCGACAAAAACTTTTTAACTCCGATGCGGGTCCAAACAGCGCATCATTTCTATCACCCGATTTGCTCATTTACAGAGCATGAGCACACGCGACCTCATGTGCTTTCTTATCTAAATGGAAAAATTTATATGTAATATACAACCCCTCCTTGCGTACCTGTTACCTACGCTATCGCTGTATTTTGACAATTGAATGACATCAAATACCTTTTTTAATATGAGAAGGTAATTTTACTACTTTTGTGACACCGATCATCATCGAAATGGAAACAACGTGTGAAGTCAAGATGACAGTGGAGGCGGGTAAAGGTTGTAGAACTGCCAAGCAAAAAGACGTAACCTTGCTTTAAGAACAATGTTGCCAGCACCATTCATTCCATTTTGGGGTCGAGAGGCAAGCGTGGGGAGGTTTTGGGCAGCAGGAGGCTGAAATATTTCCTATGAGCTTACGTGAAGATGGGCAGCGTAAGGTAAAACCGGCCGGGAGTCCAACGCCATCCACCTTTTTTTTTTCTTAGAGCGGAGGTATGCGTCCAACTCCATTCTGGAACAGAGTGTATGATCCCTCTTCGGAGTCTACACGCCGTTGAATTTTCGCTGGCAAAAAAAAAAAAATTAGAAACAGCTCCTCAAAAGTGAATAAATACCGCTTGGTCAGACTTGGTGCGATTCTTCTCGCATTTCTTTTATCCTTCGCTTCTTCCTTCATTTCAGAATGACAACCGTTCATAAGGCCGCTGCACTGCCTGTTCCTCCAGCAGCACAACTTACTACAGAAGCTCAAAAGCCCAAGAAGACTTTGAAACATGTACGTATCTGGTTGTCAATTGTGTGATGATACTTGAGCCTAACCAAATCATTCTATGTAACAGTCCGCAGGTATTCTTGCCATTGACAAAGAGCATCGTACTATCCTTTTGGTTTCAAGCTTGAAGCGAGAAGGAGCCTGGGTTCTCCCCAAGGGAACTTGCATGACTGAGCCTCAGGTTGAAGCTCCAGAATCAGCGGCACGCCGTATAGCATGGGAAGTTGCAGGTGTCCGTGGTGAGCTCAGAAAGAAGGTCGGAACTTTCACGGAAGCAGGAAAGAAAGGAAAGATTAACGCTTACAATTGGATGTACGAAATGGAAGTCTATAAGATGGAAGACATATGGCCAGAACAGGACCGTAAGAGAGTTTGGGTAAGTTCGACTTCATTCAAATCGAATGACTATAGGATGATCGTCAGTTGCTTGTTGAGCATCGTTTAACATCGCTTATATCAGGTATCCTACGAGGACGCTATGCGTGCTACAGCTGACAGACCTATCGCTCAATTGGCCATCAAGCACTGCTCATTATCAAACTAAACGACCGTCCACTGTCACTTCATATCCATTCCGACTGATATTTGTACATGTCTACGTCGTATGCCCTTAGATCGGAATAGTTTCCTATATCGTAATACCTTTAATAGTAATCGATATATAATGTATGTAGCACTCTCTCAGTGTAGGGGCATGCTGAGAGCTAACGAAACAATAAATGCAATAAACAACAAAAAATGAAATATGCTAGTGCATTGGAGAAAAAATGTAGATGTGGTCGTCGTCGTTTGGTGCTTTCCTAGATAGCGGTTGCAATGTGATATGATGTGACATTTGATCGTAGTGAATGCTCAATGATGCACCGCCGCTGGATTCAAAGAAGACGACCGAAGAGCTTCTTGCATATAAGGCTTTGAAGCGGTGACAACCAGAGCCTCATCGAAGGTAAACTACGAAAGCAAATTGGCATTCAATTTACTCGTTATCACCATGCCCATTACCAACAAGAATTCACTCAAAGAGCACACTTACCCATCGTCTTTCCCTCTTCTTTTTCTCAGGCCATTTCTTCATTATTTCATTAATGTGCATTTCGAATATACAATGGTGCGCTTTAGCGCTTCCTTTTTTGGTGGTTTCCACGAAAGTTCCAATTTGCCTGGTAATAGTACCACGAACTCCGGCTTGAGAAAACGCAAGGTTGAGTAGACGACAACGGTAGAGGTTCATTAAAATAAATAATCACCTTCTTCCCATGTTTCTCTGGCTGCCGCTTGAGCTTGAGTTTCATCATTCTCCCATCCGCCTTTGGGCTGTTTGCAAAAACAGTACAAATGCTTAAATTTTGCCGCTATCACCTTTTTCAGACAGAAAGTAGCATCATCCAATCGTACTTACCAGTACCCAAACTCCTTCATGTTTGCTGCTTGTGATGAGTAGTACACGGTTTGTTCTTGGGTCTATAGGTATGCAGCCGGCAACCTTATATTGTTGAAATGGTTAATGTGAAATAATGGTTACCATTTAATACCAATTGCTGGAGTAGTATGCCAACCATTCATAATGATCACGATAGCATACCTGCCGAACGTTGTCTTCATCATAAACTTGGTTTTGTCTACCTTCTCTGGCTTCTTCGGCGTACTGCATAGGGTATTTCTTTCGATAGAATGGTAGTAGGCGAGTGATTACGTTTCAAATTCCTACCGATCAGCGCTTCTGGTATTTCCAGGTTGCCTTCCAATCGAACATCGGAGATTGAATTGAGCTGGAAAATTTCAAAAAAATATCCCGCAAGCAACAACGAGTTCGCTGTCATTTGAAGGCTAATCGCAGACTAAGGTGATATTACTCCAACAAAAATTCCTTCCTTCGCTTTGAAAACGTTCATATTATCTACTGTTATCTTTGTAGAGGCTGTTGAATGTGATTCCATTGTTTCACAAACTCTCAAACCTTATGAATCTCACAAACAATCAAAAAGTTACAACAAGCCACTTCCCGATGACACTTGATATGGAACGATTTTTGGGTGAACAAAAAAAGCAATATATTTTGATAGGTAGCAACATCTGTTGAAGGTATTTGCACCAGGCACTCCCTCTTAACGCAAATTTACATATATTCACATAATCTCCCACAAATCTTCCAAGGCACAGCACACTTTACCGCAAGCCACAGAAGCTGAGAGTGCGTAGTCGGAGACACCTGTTGCATGGAAGTAGAACGATGTTAGTATATGGTCTTCCCCGTCAGTTAAGCCTTATAGTCACGTACCAATCTTTTCATCTACATAGGTATCGGCAAAATCGTCTTGTCCTTTAGCCATAGCTCCAATAGCAACGCATACGGGTACATCCTCTGGTATTTGCTTAAAGTAAGGATACAAGCGAACCTTGGGCGCATCCCAAGACATGGCTACAAACAACATTAGTGCGCTGAAACTATATGATGTTGCGTCTCATTGACACGTCGTAAAGCTTACCAATTTTTTTGGTGTTTTCGGGCAGGTACTTTGTAATGGGTCCTTGGACCACCTCTAACAACTTTTCGGCTCCAGTCATGCTTACAATGCTCTGCTTCTGCAGAAGTTGGACTATGAAGGTACAGATTTACCGTTAGTGTGAACGCGAAATTGACAGGAAGTTCAGGGCATAGTGCCAAGCTTACCCATTAAACCCGAAAAGCGCTTGAACGTTCTTGGTATGCGACATTCAGGGTTGATTCGGATCAAAACATCCTTGGCGGTATGGATGTACACCTATGATAATACACCGTCAAACAAACGCCTAGAGAAACAAAAATGACGTGAAACATACCTGAAGGTGTCCAGATTTGTTCAATGGACTATCCATCAAAGTCAACAGGCACTAAATTACAAAAGAACTTTCCTATTAGCTCGTTACACATAATGCAGTTGGTCTGCTTCTCGATTGTATCGATTGACACCGCAGACACTATGGACGACTCATAATGGTAGCTGGGTCCCGGTCCCGCGTGGCTGTTCGAGTTACATACCTGATGTACGATATCAGGTCTAGCCTCAGCAATGTCTCTATTGAGACGCTTGAGAAGAGCTTGATGATCGTCGCAATTCAAAAGTTGGATCTTGTCTTGCTTGTATGGATGGACCTGAGATGCTTCGAGCGACGCATTCTCGAGGACAACAATAAGTCTTCGCGAAGTGGAGGACGACGACTTTGAAGCTTGGTTTTTCATGATAGCTTCATTCTCGTCAATGTCGATTCCATCATCCATAAGTTGATCGTGATTGTCTGCCACCTTGTCCGCCATTCTATTGTAATCTTCCAAACAGTTCCGGAATACAACTTCCAAAAAGGATTATACAGCCTCACAAAAAAAAAATTGATCGGTGTTCAGTGCACGTGACTTTGGGTCTTCTTTCCTGGCAAGTTCCATATGCTTCTTGATAACCTCATGTCTACGGACTTTGGCTATTGGAGGATGCATTTGAGATACATTTATATCTCAAGGGACAGCGGTATGATTGCTGGAAAACGCATGCGATAGTAGATAGCGGATGTACGAGAATATGCAATTTCAATAGCCCATGAACAGTGCCTCAAAAGACTTTTTGCACAACCTGCGCCTTCTCATATCGCTGGCAGCACAGCCATGTTATGGAATGTTTTTTTAGCCGGTATTCTCAATCAAGAACATGGTTAGGATTTCCCTTGTTGTGACTAAAAAATTTTACCCGCGCCGAAAGATCTGATAAGGAGTCGCGCGCGAAACATTTTTATGACCTGCACTAACACGAATTCAATTATTCCAATATGAAGCATGTCTAAGCAAGAAAGTATATCCGAAAGGCGGTAAATCTTCATGGGCTTGTGAAATCGTCAATGGTTTCGCTGTTTAAAGTGGAATAGGCAAGAAACATTCACGGCTCTTTCTATTCCGTCAAACGCACACTGCAAGAGCCTCTACATGCAAGAAAGTTGATTTGAATATTCTAATTCTTGTTGTCCAATTGTATAACTGAGCATCTTGACAGTGTTAATTAATGTCTACCATTGACAGTATAGTCAGTCGGATAAGTTCATTTTGGTATTCGAAGAAGCGCGGCATATCGGTCCGATGAGCTGCATCTGGCCATTTCATATTTTTCAGTTCTAACTGTATTGCAAAAACGAAAGGAATACTAGAATTAACAATGTTTTTTACTCTCGCCCATTCAATCAGCACGCGAGAGAGAACTTCAACTTTTCAAGTGCAACTATTTGACATTCTGTCTATACAAATACCAAATCTATAAGTGGTGGGAAGTTTTTTGAGAAAAAAAAAAAGGTTCGAACGGAGGAAATAGTAGTTGCTTATAATAAAATAATTAATGGTGCGTTGGCTTTGATCCATCAACTCTCATATTTCGGGTTGCTGAAGGCATCTTGACAGTTAGGCCATCCAAATCTTTGTTCATGGCAATCTGACATCCGAGTCTGGAACTAAAGAACACAACATTAACATTCTTTGCTTAATTCACACAACAAAAAAGAATTCCTACTAACGTGTCAGTCAATCCAAAAGCAAGATCCAGCATGTCGTTCTCTTCGTCAGTGGGCTCTTCCATCTTGTCATAATATTCTTGCTCACAAATAACGTGACAAGTCGAGCAAGCCAAAGAGCCTTCACACGCACATTCGAGCTCAATATCATAGCGCTGGGCAAGATCCAGCATGGTATCTCCTTCTGTAGCCTTCACATCAATCTTTTCTCCCTCAGGTGTGATGAAATGAACGGTATATGGTCTATACAAGTCAAAAAACATCAGTAAGTCTCCAGTATACAGTCAGAATTTTTCATTTATATGTCATACCCATCTCCTCGAGCAACACCTTCTTTGCCGTGTCGAAGAGCTGGGAGCACACTTGTGTTTTAGTTGAATCGTTAAAGCATCTGTAAAAAGCATATATCCAATTCTTACCTCCAAAAGTGGAGAAGGACATGGCAGGAAGCGTTGAGGGTATTCTTCTCGCAGAAAGTGTTCTGCTTGGTCGAGCTGGGGATAGAATTTGACACACAGCGGCTGATCGCAACACTTTGGCGTAGTTGCCGAGCATGGTGAAGATTAGAGAAAGGTGCACTGGTCTTTGCTGTGGCTTGTTAAAGATGAAATTTAACCGTTTCCCGGGTGTGTCAGATTTCTGAACTCAGACAAAATACCCCAAAGCGATAGATGAGGGACGAGGGCTATAATCATGTACAAATCGATGCCAAACTTTTCATACTTGATATCTATAATTCATGTACATTCATTAAAGTTGTTACTCTTTCGACACGCCGTAGCCAGGATACGTCCCAACTCCTCCACCAATGCCTCTCTGGGCAGGCAGAGTCAAACCTTTCCAATTTGGTCATTGTTGAATGGGAGCAATCAACAAGTCAACCGACCACGTGGATCAACTTTGGCACTTTTGAAGCTTGCGAAAGAAAGATTCTGGTCAGCGAAGGTACCAGAAAGCGAGCTATGAATAATAATCCAATGATATTTCCTGGCGCAATATCAATAACCAGAAGTCGAAAACTGGTGCCTGCCTTAAACCCATTCTGCTTTGGAAGATGTGGAAACTCCGATCAGGCGCTTGGAAACCACAAACGGCCTCCCAGTCACATATGAAATGTTTCATTCGTCACTGTCAACTCACTTGCTCCTTCTTCTTCTACCCTTCACCGACGCCATATCATGAAGTTTGGAAAGACTTTATTGAAAAACCAGATCCCAGAGTGGTCCAGGAATTACATCAACTACAAAGCTCTGAAGAAGCGCGTTAACCGCGCTGCTGAAGAATACAGAGTTGGTCAACAACAAGCATGTGATGACAGTGTGGCAGGTACGGAAACATATTAGTGATCGTCATGCGTAGGTTCTTGTCTGCGTTCATGGAATATCGTCTGAACCTTCTCTAGCCATATTCTTTGCACTGGATAGAGAACTGGAAAAAGTGAACGGTTTCTATACCTATAAGCGTGGGGAGATTGACCGTCGACTGTGGGTATTGAGCGAAAAGTTCAAGCACCATGATTCAGCCAACGTGCACTCAATACAGACACCAGTGTACCAATCTGAATTTCTACTGGCTCCCCAAGATCAAAGCCCGCTGGATGATCCACATGCTAATTCTCAGTTCGTTAGTGCCCTGAAGGAAACTCTCGATCAGTTGAACAAGTTGATGTGGTTCGCGGAACTCAATAACAAGGGCTTTGGGAAGATTTTGAAAAAGTAAATCTTTATTTCCATAACAACCATCATATGGAGCTGGCAATGTTGAAATGCATATTACAGGTTGGACAAGCGGCTGAAACTGGTAACTCGCAGCGCTTATTTAGAAACCAAGGTTAGCTGTCGACAAATGCTGTCATTCTTACAAAAAATATCGCTAACCCCATTTCGAACTTCTTAGGTTGATGTATTACCATTTGCGACATACATAGAGCTGAAGGACAAGATGGATACAATTTTGCTGTGGATAAATGTGTTCACTAAAAATGTTGACGGGACGGGACAGCAAGTTGAGAGAGCGGGTATTACCGGCGCGTTTGCCGACAATTCTCTGACTAGCCGCAATAAAGAAGAACTACTCAACAAGACCGAGATGGAACAGTTAAATGCGGCTATTGGAGACGATGATACCAAAAAAGTCCAATCGATACTTGCTGGATGCCAATTTCAGGAGACCGATAGCCGATATCGCCGACAGGTATGGACAGGGGTGTGGCTTATATCTCGCGATGCTCGAGCTCACGCTGCAAATTTATGAATGTAGCTGCTCAACAAGCTTCTGGAGGTTGCTTGCAAATGTATGTCGCTGGACGTTGTAAGCTTTCTACTTGATTTAGGAGCTAGTCCAGCGAGTCATGACGATGTGAACGAGCGCAACTTACTTCATAAGCTTTGTATCCAAGGAGGACAGCTGATTGAGCAGGTACCTACCGTTGCTAGAACATCACCTGTTGATCCTAGCTTGGAGACAATCACTCTCATTGAGATTTTGCTCAGGCATAATGGTAGCTTGACCAGTCAATCGGATATATTGCATAGGAAACCGTTGCACTATGCTGCAATGTATGGATTTGCTCGTATCGCGGACGTCCTTTTACAACATTCGGTTGCCAATGGAGAATACAGCGAAAATCAAAACTTTACCAGTCGCTTCTGGGTGGACCACGAAGGCTACAGCCCATTGTTCTATGCTATCTTGAATGGAAGGACTGAAGCCACCCGAGTCCTCATTGCGCGGGGAGATATCAAGGATATCGATAATGCCCTTAATCGTGAGTATTTGTACGTCTTTGAAAAATAAGCTGGCGTTGCAAGATTCTTAAACATCCTCCAAGCTTCCTCAACATTTGAAGAGTTCAACATTACGAATCAAGAGCTTCCTCGTAGTACCAACTTCCCTCATGATTCCTGGTGCCAATCCCCTCTTGCCATTGCATGCAAAATAGGGAACGCGAGATTGACCAAATTGCTTATTGAAGTTGGCGCGAACTTGGAAATGAAAGATGAAGATGGAGAAACACCGCTCTATTTCGCTGCACGTAATGGTCATGTCGACTGCATTGAAGCTCTTCTGAGGGAACCTCTGACGAAAGCTGACATCAATGTTCAAGATACTGTGAATGGATATACACCACTGATGGTAGCTGGTAAATATATTCATCAACTCGATTGTGCCGTATCTATACAGCAACTAACAGTTGTGATTTTTGGTGATAGCTATCGAAGGAAATGCGAGTGTTGTGGAAAAACTTGTTGCTTATGGTGCAGATATCAACCTTGTGGATTTTGAAGGATGGAATGCTCATGAACATGCCATTTTCCGAGGATTTACGACTCTATCAGAATTGCTGAAACCCGCCAGTGTAGCGACGAATGGAGATTCGAACCATGCTGGATCAAAGTATATTCCCGTGCCTGAAAAGAGGCAGCGTAAGGACTCTGCCACAAATGCAGTAAGGGTGTACGGCCACAAATATCTCAAAGGTCAAACCATGGTCATTGTTACTCTTGGCTCCAATGACGTTAGAAACCAACTTTGTACCAAGTTTGTAAATTTGGAGCAATCTCTTTTGCAAACCGGCGAAGCTCTGTCCATCGTCGTCTCAGCCACCAACGCAACTGGCGAGTTCCCTATCATCGATTTGCCGCCTCCGGATAGCCAGAATTACGGTATATCTGAACGTCCGGAACCTATTGTGTTGTTTACTACAGAGCCTCACAAGGTTGTATTGAAGTTTGACGTTGTCCCTACTCTTGGAGCGTATAAACGGGAGCTGGTTGCCAGAGGAACAGCTTTACTCGCCAGCGACCAAATCACATCCCAAAGACCGGGCCAAAACCGATACGGCGAAACTAGCTTGCCCCTGAGAGGTCAACTTACAGTTCCTCTCATTGACACCAAATCGCTCGAGTTTGTCGGTTCCTTGGGTGCTGAATACCTAGTTGTGACTCCATTTGAGCATCCACACATGAAGATTGGCAGCCGACAAACTTATTACAAATCTGTTGATACTAAGGTATGCTCTATCCAAATTTTATGTTTCCAATGTATTTTCTGTGCGTGTGTGTTAATATGCTGTTTAAAGGTTATTGGTCATCGTGGTTTGGGAATGAATAAGCGAGCATCCCGGCTTCAGGTTGGAGAAAACACAGTACTATCCTTTGTAACAGCCGCTTCTCTCGGTGCAGAGTATGTCGAATTTGGTATGTGTGTCTTACAGTCATGTACCTTTCATTATGTTTGGAACTTGAAATAACATTCCTTCTAATTCGGTAGATGTACAGCTTACTAAGGATCTAGTACCGGTCATTTACCATGACTGGACACTCACTGAATCTGGATTTGACATTCCTATAAATGCTGTCAGCGCTGAGCAATTTCTCAATTTGCGTCCATCTGGACATATTAAAGAATACCATCAAGGCGTCACGAGCGATAGAAAAGGAAGTATTGTACCCACTGCCAATGCAGCCAGCAATACTGATGAAAATATTTTGGATACTATGTCAGCATTACCTGATAATCCTATTGCCAAGAGCAGAATCAACCGATCAAACAGTTTGAGTGCACTTCCAGGAGGCAAAAGTGACCGTTCCTCGGCTTCCAAGAGATTGGACCTGACAAAGACCAACAAAACAGGCAAGGTGAAAGGCAACGGTCCGGAGAGTATTCAAGCACCATTCACGACATTGGCAGAAATTTTTCGTGTAAGTCATATTGTTTTTATTTAGAACATTGTTAGAATTGATTAGTAGTAGGATGAAGACTAAACTTTCCTACCATTTGACAGCAAGTGCCAAAAGACATTGGTTTCAATATTGAGGTCAAATACCCTATGGTGGATGAAGCCGAACAGGATGATCTACAATACGTCCAGGAACTAAACTTGTTTGTGGATACTATTCTAGAATGCGTCTACGAACATACACATGCAGATCGAAAAATTATCTTTTCATCCTTTCACCCTGATATTGCGCTCCTTGTCAACATGAAGCAGCCAAATTATCCAGTATTCTTCCTTACCGACGCCGGAACACTTCCTATGGCAGATGTGCGTTGCAACTCCATTCAAGAGGCCATTCGATTCGCAAAAGGTGCTGACCTATTGGGTATCGTCACGGCTAGCGAGCCTATTTTGGCTGCACCAAGGATGGCCAAGGTTATCAAACAGACTGGATTACTGTTGTTTACGTATGGTGTTTTGAATAACGAGGTGGTTAATGCGAAGGCTCAGCAGTCATATGGTGTGGATGCTGTCATTGTCGTAAGTTTACATCCGTGTGATACTACTTTTTATTTTTATTTTTCCAATAGAACTGCGGTATTAATTTGTTGTCATAGGATTCGGTGCTGGCCGTACGCAAAGGACTACAGGAGATTTCAGAATAGACTTTTTAGATATAAGCATACCCGTTCCCCTTCAACATGTAGTAACTATTGGCAAATATGTCTACATAACGTGAAATAAATAATTACATCCCACTACATCAGGCCAGTGGAGATGGGCGATTTATGATTATATTGCTTTACAGGTGCGCTATACACACCACGTCTGATGGTAATCTGTTAAACTATGGTACATTTGTTATGACTAAAATTACTGCCACTGGTATATGCCAAGGGATTTTCCCATCACACATTTAAGTACTAGCTTTCGATTAGAGTTGGTTTTCGGCGAGCTCTTGATGTCCTTGGCTACGTGTCTGTCGTCCATTTGAGCCTCGGCGTTGTCTGCTAATAAGGTAGTTCGGAGCATTGCCGTATTTACTCGAACTCCGGGAAACCGAGCTTGAATTTCTTGCAGTTGATGCGAGTTGTTATGTACATTTTCCCCAATCCATTCTCCTATCTCTCCTTTCAGTGGGATGAGACACCAAAGCATTTTGAAAAGACCTCCTTGAGTTTTGATACCAGTGTCACCATGTGACTTGAATTGAATGGTGGTTCGGCTGTCGGGTTGGATGATTCCCCAGCTATTATGTACAGAAAATAAAGGACGCTGTTTGCCGTACACGAGGATTTTGTAAACTAAGATTGAGTCCTTTGCCACATTCCGCAGCGAAAGTATTGATGTCTTTCCGGAAGGTCTGGTGGTGGAAAATAAAATTGGCAAAGCAGCATTTAATTCGACATTCCTGGACGCTGACTGCGGTACTGCTTTTAGCTGGTATCGACGCACGGACGATGCTGAGGACGCTTGCTTTAGGTATTCATCTTTGATATTAGTCGACAGATTTACACATAGCAATCGTTCCTGAATCATGGACTCTTCGTGAAGATCCTGCGCCAACAAAATACTCAGCAGATTGCTGGGAGTTCGTTCAAGGCTGAATTGTTGCTTATTCTTCTCCACGTAGTTGGCAATCAATCCAGTACGCTTGACTTCAATCCACTGCAGTTTGAACTGGTACGTTCTATTGGAGAACTTGGTGAGGTTTTTAATCTTGATTTCAATGGTTGCGTTGGCTGTTGGTTCGATGATTCCTGAGGAGGGAAAGACCGTCCATGATTGTTCATTCAAAGACCTGAAGCTAAACGCCAAGTAACCGTTGGTTGGATTCATTATTTGTAGGCGCTCGACTCCTGAACGGATATCAATGATATGCCGTCTGTATCGCGGAAATGCTGCCATGGAGTCGCTTGTCATAGTGTAAGGGTATGTTGAAAAGTAAATCTATCAAAAAGTGAAAAATGACTCAGTAGACGGTTGATATTACCTTTATAAATGGTAATTTTCCAATATTGGACTACGCCACTTGGAAGTGGCACATGATTTCCCGCTTTGCCACACAGTCCCACTAGAGCCCAATAAGGTGACTCATTGTGACCTGGTCGCTTGGCAACCGGCTTTTTTATTATTTTACATCGTTTAGCTATACTGCATCTCCTTGAGCTAACATTGAAATTCTATGGGGGTTTACAGCAACACTCTTGGTGCAGTTATCCGTCTTGTAAATGCCCACCAGGCGGTCAGCCAATTCGAACATATTGTTTCGTAAACTAATGATGACGAACTGTGCGTTTTTGGTTCTTTCCTTAATATAGTTGGCAACAATAGATACGTTTCGGAAATCGAGTGCTGCATCAATTTCATCCATAACATAAAGTGGAGTTGGCTTGAAGTGATGAAGTGCAAATACGAGGGCGAGAGAGCTCAAAGTCTATGGACATTGAAGAGAAATAGTATGAATAGCTGTCGCAACCTTCCGCAAAGTATGGGCATCACTCACCTTCTCTCCTCCAGAAAGATTTGCGATGTTCTTCCAGCTTTTCTTTGGAGGCATCACACTGAAAACAATTCCTTCCGAGAATGGATCCAGACTGTCGACAAGTTCTAGTTCGGCATTGCCGCCGAGTGTGATCATCTAAGGTACCAATTGGCATAAATATTTGAATTTACCTTTTATGACTCAACCGTTCTACCGCCTTACCTGATACATTTCCTTCAATTTCTGGGTAATGATGTTAAATCCTTGCATGAATTCATCCAAGCGCGCTTTCATCAAATTATCCTGTTCAGCTTTAACCGTATCTCTTAGACGTGTAACTTCCGCAAGGTCATGTGCACGTTCACTGTACTCCTGTTCTCGTCGTCGGTACTCTTCTAACACCGATAAGTTTGGCTTAGCGGCTTGTACAAAGGCTATGTGTTCCAAGTAGAAAGATAGATTTTAGTCACTGCCATATCATGAACCGAAGACAGCCAAAGGACAAACCTTCTAGTTCCGCTACATCAGCCTTCAGCCTTTGTTTGGCATCCTGCATAGCTTTCAATTCTTCTCGGCTATAATCGGGTAAAATAAGCTCCTCGTCGCTTTCATTCCTTTGAATTACACTGTTAGCTGGCACTCCATATACATTATGATCACTTTCATAATCTTACCAAATTCTCTGTAGTGTCAACTTGGAAATTTGATCTTGCCAATGTTCCGCTTTTCGCTTATTATCTCCAAGTGCCTTTTGATAATCTTCGGTTTGGTTCTTTATTTCAATTTCTACTGCCCTGATTTTGCTGATGATATCTGTCTTGGTGTCCAGTTCTTCCTTCAGCTCTTCAAGGTTGGCTTTTTTGCTGTCCATAATCTGGAATGACATTATGTTATCTCCTTGTCTCAAATGCTGACGAGTTCAGTATACCATAAAATGCACTTACGTTCTGAGATTCTTCAGCATTTGTTCGAATTTCGTTAGCTACCTTGGAATTCTCGTCGATTTGCTTGGTCAAATCCTCTAGCTGAGCATCCATCTCCTCAACTTGCTGCTGCTGTCTAATGATACTTTTGGCAAACCTGGTGGCATCTTTTTCAGCTTTTGACTTTGAGACAATGGACTTTGTGATTCTGTCGTTTAACAAATCTATTTGTTCCTTTACACCGTCGACTTTGGCTTTTTGGAATCGCAGTTTGATACCTCCAGCTTCCATGATTTTTCGATGCAGCTCTTTGATGGTATCCTCCAATTGCGCAGTCTGCTCTTTCAGGTGGTCAACTTCTGCCGTGAGTTCCTCTATTTCACCTTGGATCTGCTCGTGCCGTTTGACGTTAGCTGGATCTGGTTTAGCATTTGCCCTGCAAAATGTTTGGTGAGACTTTGACGAATACACATGATGGTAAGAGATTTTTGCAATAGGTATACCTCAGTTCGACTAATCGCTTCCTTGTGTCATTTTTTCGCTTATCTAAACTTTTCAATTCCATATCCAATTTCTCCATATCCATTTGCATCCTTGGGAGATTTTCCTTTTTCTCATTTAGGTTGCTTTCTGTAGTTCGTCGCTTATCCAACAGTGAACGGAGTTCTTTGTCTAGTTTGTCTCGCTCTCGCTCGAGATTGGCAACCATTTCTGGCGTGATATCGTCTCGCTTGAAAGTTGAGCTCATAGCACCCCGTTGAGGGCGTGAACCTCCACCGGTCATTGCACCTGATTTCTCAATCAATTTGCCATCCAAAGTGACAACTCGCCATCGCTTCCTGCCATAAGCGATTCGGTTCGCCTGCTGAACGTTGTCAGCAACAAGTGTGTCTTGCATGACACTGTAGAATGCTGCGGCAAATCTTGCTTCTTTAGGCCGAACAAGGTCAAATAGTCGAGGCACGTTCTCTGGCGTTTGTATTCTACCCATATCCTTGTTTCCAGTCTGATCGAGCAGAGTAAACACAGCTCTTCCAAGATTGTTCTTACGCAGATGCTCGATGCACTTTTGTCCTGTCTCCACATTGTCAACCACAATGTTTTCCAACGCGGGGCAAGCCGTCGAGATAGCGATATCGTACTTGTCATCAATGACACCTAGGTTGCCAAGTCGATCCTAATATACAAGATGAATACATGTTCTAAACCTTAAAAAGTCTAAGACTTATTACCAGTCATTACCTGAATCCCCTTCACATCTCCTGAATCCCTCAACCGGATCAAACCATCTAAAACTTTGCCTCTAGATTGTGATTGCTGCATTACTGCTCGAGCTTCATCAGCCTTTTGCCTTGCCCCACTCAAAGAATGTCGAATAGTACGTTCTTGTGGCTCAAAAGTCTATATTGGACATAGATTAAATATTGCTGTAAATCGCCCATAATAGCTCCAATCCACCGTTGCATACCTGTATTTTCTTTTCGAGCTTTCCCAAGTCTTGCTGCATATCCTGTATGCTAACTTTTAGCTCTTTGAACTCAGATAGCTGATATGAGATGTTAGTAAAGAGGATCAGTACACTTGTTAAATGTGACTATTATATAACACTATACATACCTTGGATTTATGGGATTCTTCAATGGACGCCAATTCCTGCTCACCACTTTCGACTGCCTTTTTACCAGCTGTAATTCTTTCACTGAAGATGTCTCGTTCGGATTTTTTGACATCAATGATATGCTTCTTTTCGTTAATTTTTTCGGTCCATGGAGCAAGTGCCAGCTGATGTTCTTCAATCTGTTGAACAAAGACGTCGGTTTTACCCTTCAACTCTTGATTAATGATATCGAGTTCTTTTTCTTCGACTTGCAGTTGTTCTTCGAGATCCTCCAACTCTTTCTTTCGATTCTCTATCTCATCAGTACTGTTTTTCATTCGATTTTCTGCATCAGCTTGCGAATGTTTATCCTATAGCGTCGATATTCAATTTATATTAGCGTCAAGGTGGACGAAATCTTTTTTTAAAAGAAAAAAAACCTCTTACCGTTGCTAGCGCAGTGTTCACCTTCTTCTGTTTATTTGTTAGATGCTTCTTGCGCTCTTGCAGCTGCACGTCGTCTCGCTCAAACTTTGCCAGTTTACTGTTGATCGCACTTGTTTCTTTCTCGGCAAGCTTCAAAATAAACCCTGATTAGCGTGTGCTCATTGCCATACCCAACAATGCTGTGCGTACTTCATATTCTTTCTTTGTCTTCTGATACTTTTTGTCAAGAACTTCAACTTCCTCCTTGATACTTGAATGCTTTTGTTCTTCTGCAGCCATACGCTCCAACAAATCGTTCTGTAATATTGTTTGGTTAAGATTTACAACAATGATCTACTCCTAGATACCTTCCACTTACCACAGCTCTCTTCGAGATTTCGACATTCTCGTTTGCTTCCATAAGATGCATTTGATATAACTGATTCTTTTTACGAGCCAGTTCATTTTCGTTCCTCAAGTAATTCTCAGCTTCGATTTTTTTAGCCTGTGAGGAATGAAACCTAGTTAATCGAGAATATCACGCCATCATGTGGGAAGAAATGTAAGTACCTCCAAGCTGTTCTTCTCCTTCTCAACATACTTCACACGATTCAGCTTCTCTGTTCGCTCGTCGTTCAACCGGTCCAATTCGATATTGCTTTTTTCAATAGCGTCCTTGTACTTTGTGGTTCCAACAATATCCTCTAGATACTCTAGCAATCCTTCATCATGGTCGTCTTTTGCTTTTGGTTTCATCAACGCAATAGATTCAACTTCACCCTACGTTGAAAATATTAATAATCCAATCCCTTTACTTTTCACTCAGATGTCTTGAATCATTTACCTGGAGAATCAAGAATCGCTTATGATCCAAGTCGATGCCACGTGCCTTGAGAAGAGTAGTAACCTCAGTGAATGAACTGGTTTTAGAGTTGATGTAATATTTGCTGCTATTATTTCGAAAAGCCTGGCGGGACACTATCAATTGGGAATTGTCGACCACGGTGTATTCTTCAGATCCAGGCTACGGAGCGGGCTGTGAGTGGCACATCCAGAAATTTATCACAAGATGAAAGGAACATACCTTATCATAAATCTCTTGAAAATGTACTTCCACAGAGCACATATCAAGGTCTGGATAAGAAGCCGAGTTATGAATCAGTTCTGACAATTTGCCTTGACGCATTTTGTTTGCTCTATAACCAAAGACAAACAGCAGTGCGTCTATAACATTAGATTTTCCTGATCCGTTCGGTCCAACAACAGCACTGAAAGACTTTATGTTCCACTCATGTTAGTTTTCGGTATATATATCGCTGTATAGCACAAGTCGTTTGTCTTACTTTATGAAATGGTCCAATATTTTGACGGCCGGCATAAGATTTAAAGTTATTGAGCACCATACGTGTCATGACCATTCGAGGCTTTACCTCTTCTTCAGGAGTAGGAGATTTCTGAGGTTCACTCCTGTTGGAGAAATCGCTCACCATTCTCTGACTACGCTGAGAGCGAGGTGTTGCAGGCGGTTGGCTAGATATTTGCCTTTGCGGTGTTTTTGGAGGCTCTGGTATGTTGTCTTGAACAGCTAGGAACTGCGAATTGGTTTGCGAATCTGTTTCAACCTTGCTGACTGTGATGGATATCTTCGCATCCGTGCTTACTTCGGCTGCCATAGTACTTTGTAATTCTGGCAGCTGACTACCGTTCTGTTCATGGACGCAATGGGAGTCAGGTACGGCGACTTCTTTATTTGCTTCTACGATCTCCAACCCTTCCAGTTGCTGAAAATCAGACTCGGGACTATCGTCGATTGCCCTCCTTTTGTAGGCAGGTTGCACCATGTAGAGCTTGGGGTGGTAATCGAGTATCGCGCAGACCAGCTGTTCGCGTGTATGGAATTTGAATTGGCGGCTTTTGAATAAATTTTTTGGTTTAATGTGGACGTGACGAGCTGGGAAGAATCTCGTTGCAAGAGTCCATATTGGACAGCTATCACTTATAAATGATTTGCATTACAGCTATCTGTGAAAAAGGCAAAGAGAAGAGCTGAGCGCAATTTTCAAGCTATCGCCTTGCGATAGACGGCGGTAGTCGCTTTTTGAGTGTTTTATTCAAAGCGCGTGAGGTCAGTAAGTCGAGCGCGTGGGATGGCAAAAGGTAGCTCTCGAAAATTATTTTGTCTCGTAGCGAGGAGTACCAGTTAGCCCAAGCACTGGTAATGTACTAAACATCCTGCACTATCTTTCAAGCTATCTCTCCACTATTCGCGTCTATAACATGCTGTCTCAATTATATCAGACGCAAGGTTTTATATAGATTGAAAAGTTATCTGCACAATATAAGCAGCGCGTAAATTTGCTTTATAAATATCTAATTGAAGGGTATGCGAAGTAATGCTCTTGAACTACTATGTTAACACCAGGATCGCCTGCTTTCCACAACGGACAACATGCTTCACGCAAGGAAGTGACATATTGAAAAATATAATGGCAAAGATGAAGATAGTATTTTAGAAAGTCTATAGCTTCGATGGCAACGATTTGTCAATCTTATTCTGACGCGCCTATAGATCGAGCACACATTGCAAAGATAGCTTCTTGCAATAGGCTTCAGTATGATTCAAAAGAGTTCAGCTAATTTCTCACTAATTCTTTTGTCTGTTTCCCTTATTCGAATGATATATGACGCTATTATATTATGATGAGAACGATGCTGCTTCGCTAGAAAAGTCAACAAAAAAATTACCTGATCAGGCAGTTGAAAACATACGAATTTGCCGTTGATGACGTCGGTGTTTGAATATTGTTCCTGAGCAAACCCTTTTGCATTCACTCACAATCCAGCACTCACCAACCGTATCAAATGGTGGTAATTACAGCAAAGAGTTTTGCCAATAGCTTTTGGGTAAATTTCATTCCAGTATACATTTTGATATCACTCTGCACTCGACGAACTGACGCTTCATTTCAGGGTAGAGACGATGTTGGCTTTGAGGTGCTCACAAGCAAAATGAGCAATGGAAAGAAAACTTGCGAAGAGCTAAGAGCTTTTTATAATGTGAAGTATGTGACCTTTGGTTGCCCCTCTAAAGGATCATTTGTTTGTTTGCATCAGTGTCTACATTTTTTCAGTATGAAGAGCTGCATTGACATGATTTCTATGCTCCGACAGAGCAACCTTACATGACGATCTGGGTCGGAAGTTACTGAAGCATGTACGCATGGGCATAGGTAGAGATGAGACAGGGTAAAGTGTTATCTTCTTTTACACAACTTTTGTCTCGTACGGTTCGGAGTTTACTGACGGCTTTACGCGGCACGATTCAGCAGTACCCTCAAAGACCTATTGGAGACATCCCGGAAAGAAATCGAACTAAACGCACAGGCCAACATCGATATGGCAACCAAGATACGGAACAGCCTAGAAGTTCCTTTAGAGAATTTTATGCTCGAGCAAAAGGACAAAAGAAAGTTGGTAAGTGACGTATAGAAGCTGTTTAAATGGCCTCTCCTCCAGATCTGATGCATGGATATGAATCAGGTACAAACCACGGTGGATAAAGCACACCGAAATAAGCAGTTACACGCCGCATACGTTATGAAGGTACGAGAGGTGACTTTGTATGTCGTCGATCTACTTTGGGACGTTTTTTAATTAACAATACGAAAAGGCTAAAGAAAAATATGATTCTGAATGTGGTAAACATGCCAATCTTGAGTCTCAGTTGGCTTCGACTTCATCGCGGGATGCTGACAGGCTCAGGCTGAAGATAGAGCGTTGCAAGGCTGAAGTCGACACATTGGGTATGAGTCAAATTTGAGACAACCATTATAACAAGCAAGTTACTAAGCTTTATCATAGACAACGAATATCAATCAGCCTGCCTTAAATTGACTGAAGCCACAGCTATATGGAATGCTGAATGGAAAATAGCATGCGATGTACGTAATCTCTCCTCAACTCTGTAGCTATAATACCATTCACTAACCATCTGAGCTCTGTAGAGATATCAGGAGATGGAAGAAATGCGAATAGAGTTTCTTCGTGAAAGCTTTATGACTTATGTCAACATCGTATCAGGTTTATCTGTGGATGAAAGAGAGGTTTGCCTTCATGAAGATAACAGACTCGTTTAAATACCGTTGATATGATACCCTAACCATAATTTTTTGCTACAGTCTCTAGAGCGAATTACGAACTGTGTTGGAAGAACAGATATCACACAAGATATTGATGCATTCATAGACGAACAAGGAACGGGACCAATGATTCCTGGTAAGCTAGAATGTTGACCGTTCACCTTTCAATTTCCGCATAGCTAACACTGATGCTGCTTTAGAACCTCCCGTATATACAAACTTCTTCGCTGATAAACCAGAGCCAATACCAAAATACCAAATCGCTAAGTTTGCACCAATAACAGTGCCCGACAATACCAAGTTCAATGATACCAGAAATAGTTTTTCTCAGTACTCCGAGCAAGTTCCTGCCGTGCCGCCTAAGTCACCACGAGAGCCTGCAATCAAATCTCCCATTGCTAAGATGATCAAGGATGATAAAGCAACTGAGAAATTACTTCAACGACGAGCCAACCTTTACTCAAGTACGGACAAAACTATGCCAAAGACTACGCCTACACCTCCACCTCCACCTTCAAAGTCAAAATCAAAATCAAAAAAGTCGATACCTATCATCAATCTTCCCGGGGACGAAAGTTTAAGTGATGATAACGATGATCATAATGTCGATCCGAGAGCGAATATCTTGGTCAACTTAGGAGGCAATGTTTTTGAGATCGATAACACAGAAGGTGACGATTCATCATTGGATACTTTAACAGCAGCTCAAGAGAGGCGGACAAAACGGCGTGCACCTCAAAGCCAAAAATTGGATGAAGCCTTTGACGCCTCAATCAGTGACTTACTTCAAGAACTAGGAGTTCATGAAAAGAAACGTACCTCGCCTGACCATGAAAAGAACGTGACAGCTTTGTCCGAAGCTCATGACCCTGTACAGTATGAGGCAGAGCATCAATCCCACCAAATAGGGTATGAACAATATCAGCCCGGCCCGGTGCCATCACACACTACTTCAAATATTTATCACCCAGAACAGCACTATTCTCAAGGATATGAACCTCATCAAACTGCATACTACACTAATTATTCGCAGGAAGTCCCATATACAAATTATGAACAAATGTATTCGCAACAAGCTAATAACTTCAACTACTATGACACTGGCACCATACAAGATCCTTCATACTATCCTTCATCGACACATTACACCACCACCACCACCACCACCGTTGATCCTCATGTTGCCTACGCCTACCCCCAATCACCCTACACAAATGAAACAGCGGAACATCAGACACCGAGGCATTACTCGGCACAGCAGTGGACCACCCAACCGGATTATAATACATCTCCATACTATCATGGATAGAAAAATGCAGAGTTTGCGATAAATAACTGTTTTTCGTATGTAATATTTCTATTGTAGATGATCGATTACAAAGAGAATGAAATGGTGAAAGATGAGCAACTTGGAAAAAAAATATCTCTATACAACAAATGTAAAATGAGTGCAATATGGTGTTTGAGGAAAAAATGTATGCACCTCTTTCTAGTCAGAAGCGACCGCTGACTTGGCTTGTTGTGCTGCTGTGGGCATGGGACAACCAAGCTTGACACGCAGAGCGTCATAGTGCCGTTTATCTTGTTTAGATACACTTGGCGACACTTTTTCGAATGCGGTATTGAAGTCTTCCAAAGTGATGAAGATCTCTATTTGAGAGTTTTTATGTTCCTCTGAAAGAGTGGTGCTGTGGAGATAGAAGGTCTTGCGCAATGCGGCAACAGCTGCTTCTCTGACCAGAGATGCCAAATCGGCACCGCTGAAGCCTTCACATCTGTGATCATTGGCAAGTGCAGCCAGTGAAAGCCCTTCTATCAATGGCGATTTCTTGGTGAGCTTCTTGAGGATATCGTGGCGTTCACCAGCGGTTGGTAATTCAACGTAAAGTAGCTTGTCAAGACGCCCTGGACGCAACATGGCGGGATCGATCATATCTGGAAGTGACTGTCAGAACCTAGCTACAATTCATATGACATTGGTTGACGTGTGCTTACCTGGACGATTAGTGGCAGCAATTACGTAGACTTGACTACGGTTTTCAGCACCATCCAGCTCCGTAAGTAGGGTATTTACAACTCGTGCAGAAGCATCCGATTGCTGATCGTCACGTCTAGAGCACAAGGCATCCAATTCATCAAAGAAGATAACACAAGGAGCCGAGGCACGAGCACGCGCAAAGACTTGTCGAACGCCTCTCTCACTTTCTCCAACGTACTATTGCAAAACGATCGCGCCGTTAGAATGTCTCGAAGCAACATCATAGTTGAACGCAATGATCGCTTACCTTGTTAAGTAACTCTGGCCCTTTTACTGAAATAAAGTTTGTGTTGCTCTCGTTGGCAACAGCTTTGGCCAGCAAAGTCTTACCACATCCAGGAGGTCCCCATAAAAGAACGCCAGCTGGTGCTGTAATTCCTACTCGCTCAAAGAATTCCGGGTGGTTGATGGGTTCAACAACTGCCATACGAAGTTCATCACGAACAAACCCGAGAGCTCCAATATCATCCCAGTTGACATCGGGAACGGTGGCAAAACCTTCACGCTTAGAAGAAGGCTGTACTTTAAGCAAAGCGAGGTTGAAGTCGTCGTTGGTTATGGCCAGCGATTCCAATTGCTCTGGTGTCAATGGCGTTTTGTGTGACTTGATGAACTCTGATATGTTTCTAAGCTGTTCTAAGGGAGTTTGTGACTCGAACTCTTCCACTGAAGTGGTTTGCACTGGAATTTTGCTCGTTTCTTCCACGACTTCAGCTTGATCAATGGTTGAGTCCACATCCATATTTTCGGTTGCTGGTTCTGTGCTTTCAGTTTCTGAGATAAGCTTAGGTACCACAACAGGAATAGTTTGAAGATGTTTGAATATACGCTTCACAGCAATGATACCAGCAGCAGTAATCAGAGCTTGCAAGTCAGCACCAACGTAACCCGGGGTCGCTTTTGCTAAAGCTGCAAAATCAAATTCGCCTTCGAGACGTAATTTCTCAGATAGCACTGATAGAATCCTATTGGACGGGATGTTAGCAGTGTTGGTACCATGCTGTACATATGAAAATGAAAAGATACAATACTTTTCTCTGGCTCTCTCATCAGGAACACCTAAACTGATTTCCTTGTCGAATCTTCCAGCCCTTCGCAATGCAGGATCCAGCGAATCGGGCCGGTTAGTTGCTCCGATGATCATGACAGGTTTATTACCTGTCTTGTCCCATGATAAATCTGAAAAAGACAGTTTAGAGCATTATTCTGTTTTTATATGTCGTCGATCGCTTACTTACCATCCATGCAAGTTAACAATTGAGCCACAATTCTTCTTTCCATTTCTCGCTGGGCGGTTTCTCGCTTTGGTGTAATAGCGTCAATTTCATCAATGAACAAAAGGCATGGAGCATTATCCTATTGAACGTTACAATCAGAAAAAGAAATGAAAACACGAGACAAATATGCAGACATGTCAAAGTAGAAATACCTTTGCCTCTTCAAATACATCTCTTATTTTCTTTTCGGATTCACCGGACATTCCGGAGACGATTGAGGGAGCAGATATATTATAGAATGGAACACCCATTTCCTTGATGAAAGTGTGTTAGCTTGCCAGTTCTGAAGCTTTCACTAACGACCCAATCCCATAAATTCAACTTACTCCAGCAATTGCATGAGCTAACATGGTCTTACCGCATCCCGGAGGTCCATGAAGTAAAATACCACGAGGTGGTTGGACACCAGTATGAATATAGACTTCGGGATGCGCCAAAGGCATGGCAATCAGCTCCATGACTTCTTCAATACATGTCTCAATTCCTCCCAAATCCGATAGTCGCTTCGAAGGTGGCGGAGGAGGTCCAGATGATTTGCTCTCAGCTTAATCAAAACAGTAGATAATTGGCGTTAGTTCCAGCTGTATTTACAAACGAAAACATATTACAACAATCAACATACTTCGAACTCGCTTAGAGGATCCGCTAAGCGACGACTTGCTTCTTTTTTTCACTTTGACTTCCTGGTCTACCGTGGTTGCCGAAGCTGCTGTGTCTACATTCTCATTCTCCTGTACTGCCTCCGGTACATTGGAAGACTCTGGTGCCGATTGAGCTTGTGCTTTCGATAAGTTCCATAAGTTTGTGAGATTCTTATTCATTGCGTTCGTCTCCTGTGCGGGCTATCAGTGATGTTAATAAGCCAATGGCTTTGGTTTTTCTACAACACTTTGTCATCTTTAAAACATACTGCGGCATATTCTCCTTCATCATCACTTGAAAGAGGCTGTTCGCTGCTAGTAGTTGCTGCCTTAGTAAGGTGACTGTGTTAATCATGTTTGTACCCAACACTCACCTCTCCTGGTCAACTTTAACGTTTTGAAAGTCTGGCAATACTATAGAAACTCAACATGGTCAGATTTTCCCGCCGTTATTCAAGCATTTAAGATTTTGAACAGATTTGTGGTCCTTACGCTTTTCAATCGTCTTTTCCAACTGAAGCTTCTTCATCCTTCGCATACTTATGTCGGAAACCTGAATGTATTCGTACAAGTTGGAGGTGCTCAAATTTTCATTTCCTTCTTGTTGATATTGATCAATCAGTCTAGAGACCTTGTGATCTAATGACTTTGATAGTCTTCCACCCGCGGGTTTCTTCATGACAGAAAGGTGAATTGACGGCTCAAAAAAAAAAATTCATTCCCCTCTCAACATCTTTTTGCCCGGTTGTGACTGTGCTCTTGCTGGTTAATCTGTTGCAGAAATTATATGCTTAAATTTGTTGGGTTTGGTTTAGACTTTGACGTTTTCAGGATCCCTCGATTTTTACCTGCTTATACGCTCAGTATATAAGCTTTGCCTTGCTATGCTATTAAGATGTTCAGGACGGAAAGTCTACCTTTATTTGATTGGCATCAATATTGAATTTATAGGTACTCGAGAGACTCGCCTTTTGTCTTTTTCGACTCGAAATTCAACATTATGTGACCGGTTCACATCCTCCCGACAAGCAATCAGGGACCAATTGCTTTCCCGGAACTCTTCTTTCTGGATAGTTACTTCGTGATTGGCTAGCACATACGTTGGATTTTGTAGGCCAGCCAATACATGGTAGGGTTGCTCGTGATACCTTGACTGCAACTTATTATTCCTCGTCATCCGTTGTTTGAAGTGGATCAACTTAGATAGGCTATCGTTAGCCATCTTCTTGGATCCTCTGAACTCGCTGAGAAATAACTCCTTCAGAGTCTCCAATCACCGGACTCTTTGATCCATCAACCACTCTCTGCCCCCATCCTTGAGGTGCAGTTTCAGGCCGATCACCTTGGCTGCGTCTGTTGTCCATTCGTTCAACTCGTAACAGTCCTCCGGACCGAAAGTAGTAAATGTTTAAACAATGCAAAGTATGTACGGTAATAAATCCATTTCTGCTTCGTTTGCACCATCTCTCTGTCTTTTAGCATCGCTGGGAACTCAGTAGTATGTATAGCTATAACTGCTGATATGTGTATAATCTCTTTAAAGCCGACAAGGTTGCTTCTCAAATCAAGTTTGTGCAAGAAATAATACGGTTGGGAGTATTTTTCAAATTTGAAGAGTTTTCGTCTCGCACTTCATTCATTCGCCTGATCAGTCTAATTTCACGACAAATATCACGTTTCGCTGGACCGGCTTAAATAAAAGTGTAAACACACAAGGGGGCAGAATAGTGCATTTCAGGAAAACTGTTAGGTCGTTTAGGTGTGTACGGAGAGGGGCAAGTAATTCCGCTCGGGAAGCAAGTGAGTCAAAGAAATAAAAAATTGGAGACTGAAATACTCTGCAATCCAGACATCAACTTTGGTTTCCCCTTACATTCCTTTATTACAATGAGTACGCTGAAACTCGGCGCACTTCTGGTCCGGTATGGCGAGAACTCTTTATCCTACATGTGAAATATTGTGAATCAGCGCAAATTGATAGTTACCCTTAATAGAACATTAGCAAAGCCGGTGGCAAATTCCATCAAAACCCAAGCTAAACAACATGCAACTTTCCGCGACTTTTGTATAAACGTTGCACAGGTATGACATAAGCTTTGTGTTAAAGACTGTAGGCTGGATAAGTATGTGGATGTCTGACAATCTTCGGCTCTGGGTAGATCTCACATAGAATGGAGATGAATATGAAAATGAAGTTCTTGGGCTATAGAAAAGAAGTCATTCGTCCCTTGAACGATACAAAGTAAGTTGCCATCATTGATGAAAATATTTGTTGACCTGAACGCTAATGCTGGGGAAAGGGCTATAGAAGCTGGAGCGAACTTCCTAAGTGAATCTTTCATCTTTGGTGTAGCAGCATCTATTATTTTAGCTGAAAATTGGCGGTAAGTATTTAGAGAGGAGGTCGGCGAGATTCCCCCACATCGTAAACCAAACTGACTGATCCGCATACCAGCTCGCGAGTCTCTGCGAGAGATAGACGAAACCTAGTAGATGATTCATTGGAGAAATTAGAAACGGAAACCAACAATCTTCGTGAATCAATACAAACGATGCAATCCGGGCAAGCATCGCTGCAAAGTAGACTTGAAGAAGCTACTCAGGAAAACGAACAGCTGAGGAAAATGTTGGATGAGGTAAGTCCTTGAATGTGTGATGAGCGGTTGAGTGCGTAACTAACCATCCGCACTTTGTACAGATATTGTCGGTCAGCTTAGGTTTACGGAAACATACAGGCTACGATCAACCCTCGGTTGTTCAGCTTCCTGGATTTGAGAAGTAAACAATGATGGTGAAACCTAATAATCTCCATCTGTAGCTATACCCCAGCACTTTTGTGATGGCTTCATGTAACGATTTACTTGACACGCGAACATCAGCATTAGGCTCCTTGATCGCTTACAGTAGTTTCATATTGCACAAGAATCATCCCATTGGCAAAATAGATGCCTTTTTCATTCACTATTGTTGAAGAAATGTATCATACACTCTGCCTATGCTACGTTTGCGACTCAATCAATTAATAAAGCAAGCTTTCAAGCACCCATACTTTCGATTTTCACCCTGGACGAAATATGGATAACGCTCCATAATGACAGCTGAACGATAGGCGTTTATTAGATAAAAAGGGAAACGATATTGAATGACATGATGTAGCGAGCAGTGCAGGTGTATGCAAGGTATATACAAATCAATCATCAATTTGTTGTACAATGTTACAATCTAAGAATGGAGTACTTCGGTTTGCTACCTGGGCAATTTTAATCTTTGGGTAATCCTTGTTGTAATTGCTCAGGTGAGGGGAACTTGGATTCGAATTCGGTAATAGATGGTTCTCGAGATATTCTTTGTGTCGGCCGCTGCAACCCTTGGTTAGCGTTTTTTGAGGGATTGGTTGCAACATTGGATGCTTTGGCAGCGCTGGAAGGTGTCAACACAGGCGCCATGGCGGCAGACATACGGAATCGTGCGGGTTTGGGCGGCGGTGCAGGCCGATAAGGACCACTTTGGCTTGGGGGCATAGGTACAGCTTCTGCTGGTGGAGATGACGATTCGGAAATAGGACTTTGACGAGCGCCTACAGGCTTAATAGCATTCTCTTCTTGAGAAGTTTCCTTTTTACTCTGGCCACTGTCGGGAATGCCGAATGTTGGGGAAGCAGTTTTTGAACTTGGCGACTTCTGGGAGACAATGCTTGAGGTATCTTTCTCTGACTGCGTTTGTTCAAAGTTAAATTGTACTCCATCATCGGTAGGTGATGGCGAAGGTGATTGCAACATCTGGCGGAAGCTCTGGATACTCCTGTTCATCTGCGCGATTTCAGACCGTTTTGCGCTCTGTGCTGGATGTTGTGGGGATTCGACTCCTTCCTGACTGATGGAGCGTCGCCATTTCGACACAATAGGAGCTTCGGTACTTGGAGAGGTTGCAGCTTGACTACCACTTTCCCTTCGGTCTACTTTTTGCGCGCTGGGTGAGGACAACTTGGTGGAGTTTCGTCGGGGTTGACTATCATTACGCCTCTCATTAGTTGCATGCTCAAATCGCTGGAGCTGCTCCATGACTTTCGATTGGATATAGTTGCCTTTGTTGCTCGTTCCTTGGGAACTGATAGAAGATCTCTTGGAGACTTGATCGGCATGTTCACCTTGAGGTTGATATCTGTCTAGAACAGATTGACGCGCGGGTGGTGTACTGTTTCTAGGTCCTTTACTCTCTTTCTGATATGTCTGATCCAGAGCCCGGAAGACTGCAGAACCATCTGATTTCTTATTAGACTCATAACCACCAGATAATTGCTCGTCAAGAGATGACAAGTCTGGGAATTTTCGATTAAAGGATTCAACAGTGTCTTCCTTATGGGAGGCGTATTGAGGTACGAGATCCGAGAATGTTGAAGACTTCGAGTTGTTCAATCTGCTATCCTGATAATTTGAGCTCTTGGATGTACTTCTAGCAGTAGAATCCGGATTCCTTTTGGCGGTGGAGGCATATTGACTAACTTGAGCTGCTGAAGACTTAGAATCTGAATTGTCTCGTGAATGATCTAATACCAAACCATCTGACATCTGTTCTGCTTTCTGGAGATTTCCATGTCGCGCCTTACTGGTTGGATGGCCATACTGCTTTGATGATAGTTCCAGTTCCTCAGAACCAGCAAGCGTATGAGAGGAAAGTGGAGATTTTGCAGTGGTGGCAGTGGTAATTGGCGTGCCCGGAGCGGATTTAGTATCTCTGATGTTATCACTGCCAGACCTAACAGGAGAGACAGTACGGTTTCCTAGAGAGGATTGTCGGGGTATGTTAAGTTGTCCACCACTGCGAGATGACTTTACTAATTCGTTGTCATCAATAAATGGCTGGGTTTGCGTTTCCAATTTTGGCGATTTGAAAGAATCAGGCGTTGAAGGGGATGCAGCACGTTGATAGCGGCCAACCTTGGTGCTGTTCTCTTGAGACGGGTCCAAACCTGGAGTGGAAGGTTGTGGAGCACTGGATTGAGTTGGTATGGTATTTAGCACGCGGCTCATTGATGGGCTCTTCTTGGAGTCGGTGTCGGAGTTATCTGCTTTCGATGTGAACGAGGTATTCTCATTCAGTGAGAAAATCTTGGCTGGATCAAAATCGGGAGCTGACTGCTTGTGAGTGGTGGACGATGAAAAGGATTTGGGATCGAATGGATCAAAGTTCTCGCTGGACTTGCTGTCATCAGTAGATATCCTTTCTGGGGTATCTTTTTCTTTCCTTTCAGGTCTGCCGCGTCTCATGGGAGTTATGTTTGGCGTTTCTTGCTTGGGCAATACTCGCTGCTCAAAAATAGAGTCACTTCCGCGCTTAGAAACTTCGCTAGTTTGAGATTGGGGGGATGATGTCGAGGAGACATTGGTATAGATCTAATACAAGTCAAATGAGTGAACAGTACAAACAGACAGCATCAATGTTTGCACCAACATACATTTCGGATAGGACAGTCCTTTCCTCTTAATTTACAAACTGTCTCCACAACTTGATAGATATTGGGTCGTCTATCTTGATCTTCGCTCAGTAGCCAAGAGATCAAATTCCTTGTGTTGTCAGAGAACTGAGGACGCGGTGGGAATGTGAATTTAGCACTTAAAATGGCAAGAGGCCCTTGCTCCTCAAATGGTGTTGTATAGTAGCATAGCTTATACAAGAATACGCCCAAAGCCTAGTCGATACACGAAATGGAAATAGTTAGAGACGAGATGTCTTATTCACATCATAGGCACATAACTTCGCATTACCCAGATATCTGCTTTCTCATTGATAGGTCGTTTTTGGTATATGTCGATCATTTCCGGAGCTCTATACTGTAATGTAGTATGTCTTTGAATATCATCTTCCAACTTTTGAATCTCTGGTAATGTTTGTGGAACATAGGTGCCTTTTGATAGACATGCTGATCCAAAATCGCACAATTTGTATCTTCCAGATGCCGAAATCAAGATATTTTCGACCTAAAAGCACTATTAGTATTCATCTTTTACAGATCTATTTTGTTGTCGTAAGGAATACCTTCAAATCTCTATGTAACGCTGGTGGATTGCAGTAGTGCATATATGCAAGCGCCTGGAAACGAGCCAATTTAAAGTCAATTTCCTATTATATCCCTCATGTCATCATCCCAAAAAGAGGTTACCTCGCTAACATCCCCAAATATCTTCAGAATCTCAGGTTCAGTAAGCCGCTGTTGAAGTCGCCTATTCATTAAATCGATAACGCCTCCGCCTACATGTAGAGATCAGTACACTGTTCGTACGTTTACTGAAAGTATAAGGGTGTTACCTGGGCAGTATTCCATCAGGATGAGGGCCTCGAATCCTCCAGTGGGCAAAGGTGATACCTGTGAATCAAAGTATCTGACGATATTCTTATGACTTCCTAGCCGTCTCTGAAAAAACGCACGTAGATCAGCCCAGCAACTTTTAGTACCGAGGACGATGGCCACAGAATACGTACCATGAAGACGATCTCTTTTTCGACTGATTTCAACCTCTCTGTATCAGGTACAGCTATTCGTTTCAATACAATAGGATCTGGAAATTCCTTCATTCGTACAAGATAGACATGGGCGAATCCACCTTATATGTTGTGAGAACCACATGTCAGATCAACTCGATTGATCGTTTATTACCATATAGCAATGTGACGTACCTTCAGCCAGGAAAACCTGAATGGCGACCGTATGACGACCTACAACTACCTGAGTTCCAGGAGACATAGCACCAGGAGGAGGCGGAGGAGTATTATGTGGTTCCGAGCCAATTGGCATTGAAGGAAGCGTCTGGCCTACGCCTTGCTGCTGTGGGATGCGTTGCCGATAATCCTGCTGATAATGGCCTGCACCAGGAGCAGGTGAATACTTATTGAAAGCAGAGCTCATGTGTGTTTGGGCTTGAGAAGACTTCGCTTTTTTTGCTCGTTCGAGTAGATCGAGCTAAATGTTGGAGCACTTGGAGAAGGAGATGGAGAGTAACCTTGAATGGCGCTGAGATAGAATTTTTTAGAAAGCGGGTGCCAGGTCTGACTGTCATTCACGTTTCGAGTGACCGAATTCTGAGCACGTATTAAAAACGATTTATTACAAGCTTTAATATACAAAGTGGAAATATAAAAGTATATACAGGGTATCCAGTTTATAAAGTAGCCTCTATCGAATCAAGTCCAGAACTGTCAACAGTACCAGTAAAATCAACATGCAAAATGGAAGGCAAAGGATTCCGTAACCCCAAAATAGGGTCCGAACCAGTAAATTTTCACAATGGCCACCTTGTGCGATCTGGGTCAAGCTAATAGCTGTTGGCATCGCTGATAATAAACCAAGAACCACATAAAAGGCTGGATCTGCAGCAATTCCAATATAATCTTGGCAGTAGTAATGTATCGCGGTTACGAGTGTTATAGATATCAGTGGACTGAAAACCATTCTAGCAATGACTGCCAAAGTAACTACGTTTTTGGATTCGTATTCATTCTGTACAAATGACATCGTAGAAAGCTGAGCTCCTAGACAAACCAGCACAAGGGGAACTGATGCAGAGCCGCAGTTCTCAAGACCTACGATGATCGAACCATATACAAAGGAATCTTTCGCAAATAGAAGCTGTTGAAGTGATGGGATGAATCCCACAACCAAGGCTAATAGAGCTGCTGATAACGGCCTTGTCATACTATTTGCAATTTTTGCTCCCATCTGACGAAGTTGACTGGACCATTTTATTTTCGCATGATGCGCCTGTTTAGTACCAAGCAAATATGTCGCTTCTGTTGGCTTTGTAAAATTCGCTTCTGTGGCAAGTGTATCAGTATTGCCGAGTGTTATCGCGACATCGTCCTTGGTGAGCTGCTGATTTATTGAACTAGACTTGTCGACACTATAAGGAATTTCTTCTCCTCTTAAAAGCGAATATCCGTATGACCATCGAAGAATGTTACTGAAAAGACCGAACAGAACGATGTAAGATACGCTCCTGGTAAAATGTTAGATGGTTTCACATCCAAAGCCTTGGACAGATTGTTATAGAGAGTTCTCTTACCTAGCCATCACATTTTCTTTGGTATCTGCTCCGTCTAAGTATAGATATTGAACGGCTTGACTAGAGACGATTCCTGTTATGACAGCGATTGGCATCGAGTTTGTGTTGCTGAAAATGGTGCTGGCAACCAGGAAGTTTCTCTCCATCCTGCGGAGCCCCGCCACCTTTGCAAAGGCAACAGCTACTCCATATGATATGATGGCAAAACTCAAATACAGTACTGGTATTATCCATAGTTCCAATACCTTTGCCGGGTTTACAGACGGCGCCATTCTAGTGAACAGAAGGCATGGTGTAAAGAAGTTCATGTTCAAGCGAGCAAGCCACTAATTTACCATAAAAATGTGAGTGTGATGTATGTCATTCATTATCTGAAACATCTGACATTCTTTGACTTACCTTTTGCTTTTTATCTGTGATATATCCCTGACGAGATAGTATCCAGCCGAGGAAGACAACTATCATTACTTGTGAGATAGACTACGACGGCAAGATGGTTAGGTTCATGAAATTTGCTTGATATACAGATCAAAACGCATAGACGTTCTTACTTGGAACGAAGCTAGAAGTAGCTCCTGAAATTCCAACAACATTTCTAGCTGGCGTTTAGTAATAAGAAGAAGAGCTCTCTAGGGACTGGTAAAATCAGATCACGGAACAAAGTAGTGCCTGAACTCACTCATTTCAGGGCAGAATGATGCAATTGCTATTCAAGCTCCGGTGTAGATTAGGTATAACAATGACCGCCTCCACAGAATTGGCAAAATGTTGGAAACTGGCTTCCTACGAGCCAGTTTTCTATGTCTTTGTCATGATTCTCTTTTGCATATTTTGCTATATGCATTGATATTCTAAATTAGCTTTTTTGAGAGAAGATACGTTTGAGAGCATGGCGCTGATGACTTTTCCTACACATCAAAGTGACCGTCGGTGTTTCAATCCAGGTTCAGCACACAATTGAACCCTACTGCGGTCTGAAATGCCCATTGACATGAATGGTAATTGATATGAAACCAGCTATTTTGCAACGCTCGGCGAAAATCCCTCGTAATAGCTTCTTTTCTATGCACCAAAATATCTTTATAGATCAGTTACTTGAAAGTGCTTCGTTTTCAAAAAAGTCATTCGTCCAACTATCTATGAAATAAGCGTGCGTCTGGCATAGAAAAAGGGGATGCAACCGGGAATAGTTAAAATGAACGACAATGGACATTATGACAGCAAGCACTATTGCGAAGTAAAGGCGCCAATTCTGGTGCTTTTATTTACTGATAAAATTATTGTAAATCTGCTTAACAGCATTCTACTACCTTGGCACTAGACGTTAACCAAACTAAAGTGAATATTTAAAGACACTGTGAGTAGTAAGGGTTTTGCAGAGAACAAGTGCTTCCTGATACACAGCAAGTTGCGCCAGTCCAGTTAGAACCACCGCATTGACCATACTTAGCTATGCATGACGCAGTTGAAGTAGGTGTAGCGGACGTTGTGGTGGTTGTAGTTGTCTTTGATGTTGTTGTTTTGGAAACAGTAGTGGTTGATGTGGTCGTAGTCGTGGTTGATGTTGATGACACGGGAGTTGTGGAAGTCTTTGACACCGTAGTAGTACTGTAATGTTGATAGAACTATTAGTATGGTAACATGGAACTATACAGTTCTTAAAATTGAACTTACGTTGGAGTACTGGTGCTATTTGTCACAGCGCCAGCGATGTCACCGTAGACAGCACCTAAACCATTTGTTCCAATGTAAACTCTTCCATAAATACGTGGGTCACCGGTCAATGCTTGATTGGCGGTTCCATATTGATGTTGGTCGTCGTTGATTCTAACCCATGTCACACCAGTGTCATCTGATCTAAAGAAACCATTCACACCGTTGACCTTTCCAACAATGTAAATGGCTGGATAGGTCAAACCAGGAGCAGCTTTACCGAAACCAACAGAAACAGCAGATGTAACAACTGTCATGTTTGTAAATGATGTGCCGTTATTGACAGAATGGAAGAGGCCACCTGTTCCTCCAGCGATCCAAACATCACCTTCAATGCCAGGAACAGCCTTGATTGCTTTATCGGTTCCAGCCGTCAAACTAGGAAGCCCAGTAGCTGCGGTTTTGGTAAAGGTTGCTCCACCGTTAGTGCTGATGTAGACAGTAGAGCCAGAATATCCGTAGTATCTATGAAAATGTAAATGTTTCTTTAGTTACAGTAGTCGACTAAACGTTATCAGGTATGCATAGGATTGTGACAAAACTTACTTCTTTCCATTAACACGATCTGATGCTATTCTTGAACCAGAAGGAATTCCAGAAGCCGCTGTCCAAGAAGATCCAGTTGTAGTGCTATAATAGACGACATCGCCAGTTGGACTCCATACTACAGAGCTACCATCTGCTGCAGCTGCAATCATACCGCCACCTGTGACAGCACTTGGGACACTGCTGGCAGCATACCAGCTGCTACCAGAAGAATAAGTGAATGCGACATAAGGAGAAGGTGTACCAACGCGGGCCATGAATGCGGGTGAACTTTCAGCATAATCCATACCAGTGGTTGAAGTGAAAGATGGACTGCTGTATGCAGCAGTTGGGCATTTTGTGAGATCAGTGTGGACAAAACCACCAATGTCGCCCACCGCAGAGTAAAGATTAGCAGTGCCAGTAGGAGGGCTGAGCAAATCCAAAACGGAGGTCTCTTCAATACCATTTGCCATGACTGATATGTTGATAGTGGATCCCGAATCCCAGTTTTTCAGATTATTGGAACCCCACAGGGTAGCACCTGTGCCCCAGAAGATACGATTAGAGTTGAAAGGATCAATTTCAAGAGCTTCAATCATCCAACCAAGTTTGATGGTAGGCTCAGGCGCGACTGCATCGGGAGCAGTCAACCAAGGTGAAGCAGAATCATCAATGCTGTATCGGTAGCTTCGACTGGGATAACTTGTCCAATCCCATATTTGCGTCCAGTTAGCTCCGCCATTGGTACTGCGGAAGATAATGGCATCAGGCCACCATGAATTCAAGGATACTGTCATGATTGTTTGAGGATTGGTAGCATCGATAGCCAAACCACCATAGCCAAAATAAGGGCTGGGATAAGGATTGATATCGGTCCAAGCTCCTGTAGCAGTGTTGTACTTGGCAAGTGTACCATTGGAACCGTCGTACGGGCCAACGCCGTTTGAGTAAGAGATGTAAAGGTAGCCATCAGAGCTTATTCTACCTTTATGCGGGAAGAATCCATTAATAGGTTGACCAGAAACAGCACTCCAGGTAGTACCTCCATTCTTGGTGACATCTGAGCAATGAATGAAAGAACCAGTGAATTAATTCTCGGTGATGCTAAAAGTTCATTTCAAACTGGATCACGTCACTTACAGATATTGCTGGTTGTATTGTCGGCGACTCCTACGTATACAGTAGGTGTAGCTGAACCAGATGTACCACTGCTCTTATCGAATGTGACGAATGTAATACCGACAGGGTCGGTGAAGTAAACGGGATCGAAAACCTGTGAAAATTGGCTCAGCTAATATCCAAGGGATGATGGTAATAAGCTATATTGAAGAAAATATAATCTTACATATGGTCCCGTGTTAGGCAAAGAGGTAACATTTGTCCAGGTTGCGCCATAGTTAGTACTCTTCCAAAGACCATGACCACTACGAGCTCCGAAAAATAGAGTGCTTCCCAAATTGGGATCAATGGCAAGTCGCTCACCAGTGCCACGACCGGGATCATTGCCACCGACCTTGAAAGGCAAAGGGTTGACTTGCCAGCTATTTCCTTGATTGGTTGAAGACAAGATGGCGCCGTTATTTGTATCCCATGAATTGGTATACATTCCAGCAGCTACATAGACACGGGATGCATCATTTGGATCAGCAGCAAGCGCATCGGAACCCAATAGATTCCAATTATCAGAGCCAACCCATTGGGACAAACTGTTCCATCTGCTTGTTGTAGTATTCCATCGGTAGACACCACCGATATCTGTACGAAGATATATAAGATCTTTTTGAGCTTGACTGAAGACGACACTTGGGATAAAGCCACCGCCTACAATTTGTGCGTTGTTCCAAGAATATTGATAGGATTGAGTAGCTGCTGCAGCTGTGGAGACCAAGATGGTATAGGCCCAAGTCTTAATTGAAACCATGCTGGGATTTGCTATTCAGGATAATGCTAGAATATGGTAGTTCACCAAGCCTGAAATAGAGTAGACTTCAATCTTCAATCACAATGTCTTTGAGTGTGATAAGTGGCAATCCCATTATATATACGTAACCGAATGTTACAGCTTCAACAGCCAGGACGCATGGCAAATGCCACAATATCCATTTGTAACATAACAGCGTTCTCACTCCCACACGACTTATTTCCATATATCATCAGTTCACGAGCACAGCATAGAAAGGGTATCATGCACTGTGTCATCCAGTGTTATATTATCTAATACAGCGGAGTCATCACGCTGTGGGGAGAAGCAACGATCAGGCCGTTCCACGGGTGGCACACCTCAGTTTCACGAAATTAAATGTGTCTGGCGTTCATTAATTTCACAAATGTTCGGGAAATTTTCCAAAATGGATGCAGCATGGATATATTCCGGCTGCATTGCCCCACTATCGTATCACATTAACACAAAGTACCGAAATTCTAGTCTTTCGCATGATCGAGAGGGTGCTACTTTCTATATATGCAATGAGTTTTAATTCACAATTCATTGCTACACGGCTGCTTTGAGAAACATGCCGCCTTACAAGAGATTGTCTATACAAACGTAAAACAAATAATGGATTAGTGATGCTTATTTACCAGTGAAATCATATCTTGTGCAGGCCGCGCTGTAGAAACTGCTTCTCGGAGAACTCTCGTGTTACCGACATACTACTGAGAAAGTGGACAAACATGCTGGAGGTGCTACACAGCACAGCGGCGCTCTTTCAAGTTCTAGCGACATATGATCCAAGCTTTTGCAGAAACCGACCATTTGAAAGAAACAATACAAAGTGAAGCTATGAATTTTAGTACTCGGAAAGCAGCCCTGAGAAGCATGCCATATGGTGTTTTCCATATACACCTAAAAGACAGTGCTACCATCACACCATTTAAGCGTCACGAGGAAGTTTTTAACTTAGTGTATTGGTCGGAGGTTTTCAGTATGGTTGGTAGTGACCTTGACCATAGTAGCACTTGGTTTTAAGACTGTTCGGGACATTGGCAGCTGAAATCCTCCGTAACGCATTCACAATCAGATTCGTTAAATCCTAACCGCTGAGGTTATGTAGGCTACTAATGACATAAAAGCGACTGCCAGCTTTGGCCATTGCGCAATTTTGCAATACCACCTTTGATGCTGTTATGGTGTCCCATCATTGATATTACCTCGCGTAATTCCAGGCTTGCTACTTGCAATTAGATTACCTTGCTTTCGACTAGATTTTATGTTATAAACCACATTCAATCATGGTTTCATCATAAAGTTGCAGAATTTAAAGACAGAACCGAATATTATTTACCAAGGTTTAGTCTTAGAAGTTATGTCTCGCATCCAATTCTTTCATAATGCTTCTTCTTCTAGGCTTTCTTTTCATATCCTGAGAGCTGCTATCGCTGTCAGTAGGTTTCCTAAACACATTTGGATATATTGTTATATATTGTTATATATATCTTCCAAATTATCACGCCTGCTATTTTGCTCGCCGGGTATGATCGATTTGGTCCGGGTTCAGTTCACTTCTTCTTGCCATTGGGATCCGACGTATAATTTTGTTAACCATCCATCAGCGGAGTTTGACTACATTAGAGGCGATGCGAAAGTGCCATTGTCGGTTGAGTAAAGTTGGGGTTTGAAAAAGCGGCGGTTTGCTATTTACTGTAGTATTTACAGTGGAGGCTTGATTTCCCGCGTTTTCATATTCTGTTTCCAAGTTTGTTTGGCTAGTGGAATACACCAGTTGGCCAATCTCTCTTCCTTCTAATAACACTTGATGTAATGACCGCATTCGCTTCTCAAAAGCAAGCTACCAACCCTTTAGCAAGTTAAAGATTGGAAAAAAAAAATAGACTAAGCGCTATGAGCGAAAACACTCTCCATAACTAACTATGATGATTTTTTTCCGGCTTGTGCTCATTTCGGACATGAAGTGCAAGATCGTCTAATTCGTTTTGCAATGCTCATGGCGGTGCCGATTCCTCTGCAAACATGACATTGCGTAGATCTTTGAGATGAATGTGATTAATATTGGGAGTGATTTGATAGCTTGTAGTTCATTAGTTTAAACTGCTTTATTAGCATTTGTAGCTTTCTACAAAGTAGGTCTATGTCTCCACAACTTGCGCGTAGGCTACATCCGGGATTCCGATGTCCGTCTTTTGTCTGCCGTATTGGAGTTGCCTTTCGCATTATCTTGTGTATTCGAGCAGGAATACAATTATTGTCCTGTCTTATGTGTCCTTTATGTAGTTTACATCGCTTAGTAACCAGCAGGGAAGTACAAAGCTTCTATCTTTTTCAGCTCGGTTTCAGCTTTCAATGGGTGCGTAATTGCCAATAGTAGGTTTGTGACCATTCGTCGGGCGAAATGTAAACAGAGATACTCCCAAGAATCTATGCAGTTTGATTAGAGCCTGCTTCAAAGCAATAGATAATTAAAATCTATTGATCTATAAGTCTAAAGAGAAAATACGACTTTCCTTTTAGGTGAAAGGAGAAAAATATGCTGCGCATATCGGTAAACAGCAACATCAGCTGTTGTATATTGGGGACAATCCTCATATTTCGTGTTGACCAACGAATATTATTGACACATATATGAAAATTTTATTGAAATATTAAAAGAAATGAGAACCACCAGGAGAAGGTTTCATGACTCATATGTTGCTACAGTGAGATGCAGGACAACAAACTAAATTATTACGTTTTACTTTTGAATTGAATAAAAGTATCTGGTCCAAATTTTAAAATACGATTTCTTGGTGTAGTCGGTTATCACGTCTGTCTAACACACAGACGGTCGCCGGTTCGAATCCGGCAGAAATCACTTTTTTGATTTTTGTACGTATCTCTAATACAAATTCCATTGCGGCTGTCTCAGAGCTGTCGTTTTAAAATATGGAACGACGGATTGTCATTCTAACAATCATTAGTAGCTTTTTTGGATTTTGCAGTGTGAGTAGCTCATTTTACTTTTTACAGCGAAATGTGGCTTTGGTGTGCTAGGTGAACTCTCAGTATTGGTGTCCCGTTATGCTACTCCTCTTTGCTCACCAACACAAATATTGATTGGACAGTCAAACTTGAAGAAAATTAGTACTTAAGAGTTAGAGAGCGCATGACATCTATATTAAACTTAGTCAGACGCAGTCTCAAATATACTCGAGCTTTCCAGATTGGAGGTAAAGGCAACCTGGTGGAAGCGCTACCGTTACGAGTAATACACTTGAGATCGTTGCTCTTTGCCTACAATTTAAATATAGATAGTCTATATCTTTTGGAAACGCGCTCTGATTATGCTCGAATGACAATGTTACCAAAGGTAGCAATGAAATAATTGTATATTAGTGGGGAAAATTTATCTTCTTCTATAAAAAAATCTTCCCTGGTGTATTATACTACTGGCCACTCATTTTATAAGAAATAAAAAAAAAATGTTATTAAAAGAAAGAAGAATCCGCCATAGTTTACATGGTTACAAATATACAAATACTCTGAAGATTTGAAAGGTCAGCTAAAAGTCGAAGACTTTATGTTCAGGTTCAAAATAACAAGGACGATGTGTATTGAGAAGATGTATCGCTGAAGGCTTTGTCAATATACAATTCTTAGAAATAAATATTTCCACCATGACAGCAGAATTTTATTCTTCTCTGGCATATCCTTTCCCCATTCTGGCATTGTAGCCTGTTGTTGCATCGATAAAAAAATGAAATAAATTTGCAAAATCCATTGCTATACCAGATTGCCCAAGCCTATTGTAAGAAAAAGTTGCTCATTTAGAGAATGCAAAAGATGAAAGATAATCTGATGTTTACGCTGCGCTTTGGTATCGTCAGAGCCATGAATATGCTGACCTGAGATCAGATCATTGGTGGATTATTAATCGTAGCAAAATGTGTGACAATGAAAACTTCAAGAATACTTGAAAGTTTGATGGTGTCAATATCAGATAAAGAGGATATTCAAGAGGAAGCTACTCTAAAAAACAAACAAAGGATGCGTCTTACACTCTGCCTCGCATCGGTTGGGCAGCAACAAATTTCAAATGATGACAGCAAATGGCTGGCTTTAAAAAATAGCGTATAAAACTGGCAAACGCCAATTCTAAGTGCAGTGCTTCTTTTTTCACCTCTCACACCAAATATGACTGCTGTACTCTATTATAAACCTGCGTCTCTATACTCCTCCATGGTTCGCATGGTGATTGCAGAAAAGGGAATCAAGGATATCAAGTTCAACGAGGTGGACTTGGAGCATTTTCAGAACCTTTCACCTGACTATATCAAGATCAATCCTAAAGGCCAAGTACCTGCTTATGTATCTCAAGACGAGACACTTACAGAATCATTGGATATCAGCATGTATTTGGAGTCTCATTACTCTTCACCATCACTTTTGCCTGGAGAATCATCTGCTCGTTCACGTGTCATCGCAGATCTCGCGTCCTTGTACGATATCAGCTATTTCGCAATTTGCTTTGGTGTGAGCACTCCTGAACAGGCGGAGAAAGAGAGATCGGCTAAAGAAGCGGTCGTGAAGAAGAATGTCGATGAAGTCAAGCGACAGATGGAGCTCCATCCAGAATTACGGGAGCAGTATGAAACCCGTATTCAAATATATGGTAACAAGTCAAAGTATATCTTGGATCCTGCAGCCGTACAAGCCAACTGGGTTAAACTTCGTGCACTTTTGGACGCCTTTGAAGATAACTTGACGTACGGAAAATTCCTCAGCAAGGAAAATGACTACTCCTTGTTGGATGCCCATGCAACGCCAGTGTTAGCACGGCTCGTGAAGATTGGGCATGAACAAGAAATTCAAAGTCGATCACGATTGGCGGAATACTGGGCGCGTCTCCAAGAAAGAGACAGCTTCAAAACTGTGTATGATCGTCCCGTAAGTCTGTGGTAATGCATATTTACTGTGGTGCAGTATGATTATAGATATGGAATGAAGTGTCATCCGTAGTTCTGTCTGATTATTCAAATGTGTCAAGAATTATATGAATGCTACATTTCCATTTAATAAATCATTTGCTTTAGTGTTTAAGTATCTACAGTCAGTCTATACGGCCATATTCTCGTCGGCCCAGAATTTGAACGTCCGATCGTAACCAGAAGAGACAACGTATTTTCCATCTAGTCAAGAGCAAAATGGGTGTCAGTGATCATCGATATCAGGAAGTTTCAGCAATCATGTTCTACCACGTACCGTTTGAGACATCAACGCCCATAACTTTGCCTTCATGTCCTTCCAAGCTTTTGATTAACTTATAATCATCGGCGCTCCATATCTTGACGCTTCCGTCATAGCCGCCTGTAACAAGGTATTGTCCTGCATGATTGGCGAGGTCTGTATCCATAGCTCCTGAGACTGGAGGCTGACCACGATAGAATTTGACATCGGAGACAAGAGAGCGATGAGCTGCAATGGTGTAGATACTGCGCAAATTTCGCATATCCCATATCCGAACTGTATTGTCAGCACTTCCGGACGCAAGTTGGTAACCGTTTGGAGACCAGCTTAGAGCCAGAATATCTTTCACATGGCCTTGTAAAGTCATGGACGATCTTCCTGTTCGCATATCCCATACTCTTCCAATAGCATCCAAGCCGCTATTGATAAATTTCAAGGTGTGAGAATATCGTTTTAAACGTGACGGATCCATGAGAATCACTTACCCGCTGGCAACCAGTGATCCATCTCCTTGGAAAGATAGAGCATAAACTTCACGAGAATGACCCTCTTGCATTAACAATTCTTGAGTGGTGTCGACATCCCACAGACGCCAGGTCCCATCAAAGCTAGCACTACCAACAAACCGTCCAGAAGGATGGAAATCTATCCTAGCAATTCGACCGGCATGTCCACTCATAGTTGCCATTGGCGTTTCACTGAAAAATGGTGGTTAGTACAAATCTTCAAAAACTGAAAGGGCAAAGCAAGATCTTACCTTTCCAAGTTCCATAAGTGAATATTCGAGTCAGCACCACCAGTAGCAATGTTCAAGCTGGCTTTGTCTTGCGATATCGTTGATTGCGGATGGAATACAACTCCACCAATACGATCTGTATGTCCCCTCAACGTTTTTATACATTCGCTGTTAGATACAGACCATAGTTTACACAAGCCTGACCAAGCTCCAGTGATGACCATGGATGAGTCGGGACTGAATGCACATTGAGCAAGTGGTCGGTCGTCTGCAAGTTGGGATGACCAATTTGTGTAGTTCTATAAGGACGTGGTTAGGCACATTTAAGATTAATGTAAATTTTTCGGAAATATGGGCCATCCTTATTACCTTTAAACGATCATGTAGTTCCTTCCTAGATTTTCTGAGTGAAGGTATAGGGGTGTCTTGTTCTGCCTTATGCTGTATAATCCTGGTTTTCGCTCTATAGAGAATGTAAGTCATAAAAAAATGTAATGAAGTCCACGTAGCATCGCACTATACCTTGGAATGGAATACTTTGCTATCCATTGCCTAGCCTCCAATAATTCTTGTGATCCGGGAGTGAAAAACTCTTCTTCAGCCTACATTAAAGTCATTATTTAACATCTCTGATCTTTACACAAAACCATAAGGCCAGATCTACTCACTTCCTCTTCATTAGATTTGACGCTCTCCATTTCCTCATCTTCGGCTTCTCCTGCACCTTCCCGTTGCGAGAGTAAATAGCGAAGACGATCACGTCTGTCGCCAGGCTGCATTTTAAAAAAATATTTAGCTTGATTTGGTTCCGAGTTATAGTAAAAGTGAACAAAAGGATGCTTACGCCTTCAGCGAAGAGGCACTGGGGTTCGCCTAGTTCGCGCAGCCGTGCGCGAACACGTCCATCGTCAGTTGGGACTGCGAGCTGACGAGCGCGAGCACGACGCTCAAATTCCTCAACAACGGCGTCTTGTTCTTCTCGAACAACCTGGGATGATCCTGATAGTTCATAGTGTGTTTCGTCGGCTATTATGGGTAGGTAAATGGGGATGATCAGTTATTAGGTATAGTCAGAATATGTACGAAATATACAAGAATAGTAATGGTCGCCACTCCTTGTTCACTGTTGTTGTGAAAGCAAGGAGTAGCTTCTTCAGGTGGGCAAATATATGGCGCTCTTGTAGCCGGAAGAAGTCAGCATTCTAACACTCAATTTAACTTACATAGATCTTCCAGATTGATTCCGGTGGAATCGTCTTGATCAACAGCCATTCGGGTTTGATTACGACGTCGTTCCTCCGCCTCTATGGATCCGAAATGCACACGGTCGGTTTGCGATTGTTCCATAGTGACAGTCTCTAGGAGGTGTCGCGAAAGGGGATAGGGTTATTATGTGGTATGCGCTGGCAGCCCTTGACCGGCTTTTTTTTATTTTATTTTGTCTAAATTTCAGACGGAGATCGATGTGGCGAATTCAAGGAGGAGAGGGGCTTCAGAGACTAGAAAACGCGAGTCCTCCCAGACACAAACTCATTTCTTACTGTCTGTCAATCCTATAATGACTGACACTGCTGTCAGAAAGCGCCATACTGGCCCAGCACAGTCGAAGAAACCTGTAGCGGTAAAAGAGGAGGAAGACCTCAAAAAGGTAAATGCAGACCAACACTCGCTTGCTTTAAACTTTGGAATTCGGACAAACTCATCTAACTGTTTTACCTACAGGCTAGCCAGCACGCTCAGAGCATCAAAGGAGTCAGATTGGGCGATTCCCGCGACAAGATATCATTGCTTGTTTTTACCGCACTAGCCTTGCTTATGCGTTGGATCTACATAGGATTTCCCTCGGAAGTTGTGTAAGGATATCATTGGACAACGGGTTCACAGTAGGCAAATCTACACGCAATTAATATGGCTGTTTTCTTTTTACAGCTTTGATGAGGTACATTTCGGAAAGTTCCTTGGTCATTATCTCAAGCATGCGTACTTCTTTGATGTCCATCCACCGCTGGCCAAACTCACTTTGACAGCTGCTGGTAAATTGATCGGTTATGACGGGCATTTTGATTTTGCCAGTATTGGCGACAACTACATCGAGAACAGAGTTCCACACGTCTTTCTTCGTTCAGTACCGGCTACTTTTGGCGCGCTTTGCGTTCCTATTGTCTACCTCATTATGAGAGACTCTGGTTACAATTATCTTACCTGTCTGTTCACAACCACTATGTATCTTTTCGGTAATGCTTTCAAATCACGGACTGGTATTTTCTGTTATATGCCACACTAACAACCTAAACTCATCAAAGATAATGCTCTTGTTGGCCAGTCCAGATTGATTCTTCTAGACAGCCAGTTGATCTTTTACATGCTCTGCACCATATACAGCTATGTCCGTTTCTCTAAAGCCAGGCACCAGTAAGTTCTGTTCTTGTATTTTTTTTTTTAATAGATAGAGAGGAGAAAGATTTAATTGCTGTTGGCATTTTCACAGAGAGTTTTCTGCCGAATGGTACACGTGGCTATTGGCGACAGGTGTTTCAATGGCTATGACACTTAGTGTTAAAATGGTTGGTCTCTTCATAGTAGCCGCCGTTGGCTTGGCGACTATTTCCGATCTTTGGAGTTTGATGGATGTTCGACGCGGTTTGGAACTGGTAAGATAGACTTGACTGTGTGCTACCAGACGGCTCTTGTGCTTTTCAAGTTCATATTCCTAGCCTTGACACGTTTTCGTTTTGTTAGACCCATGTTGCGAAACATTTTTATGCTCGTGCGGTTGCCCTGATCATTGTCCCTACCTTTGTTTACCTGTTTTGGTTTTGGATACATTTCAGTATTCTGGATACTTCCGGCCCTGGAGATAACTTCATGTCCGCGGCATTCCAGGCGACTCTCAAAGGCAACCCGTTGACAGAACAGGCCATCAGTAAGTTCACGCAACTATTTTGGTAGTTCATGTGACAAAGGGTAGCTAATCCTGCTTTTCATTTTTTAGAGGTCTATTACAACGATAGTATCACTATTCAACATCGTGACACTGAGAATTTCCTCTTTTCTTGGGATAAAACCTATCCGCTACGATATGACGATGGTAGAATCAGTAGCAAAGGTATTGCCATACAGCGTACGTTGAAGCAAAAATAGTGACTAGTACTAAATGCCAACTTTGTTATAGGTCATCAAGTTTCAGCTAACAGTGATCCGAATGATGAGGGCAACATTTGGCAAGTTTTGCAAACTGGAGACGATATTTCTGGCCAATTAACACCTGTTCGCCATGGTGATATCATTCAGCTCCGTCACGTCAAGACTGACAGATTGCTAATGACACATGATGTTGCCAGCCCGTTGCTTCCTACCAACACGGAATTTACCACTGCCGAGGAGGGTGACGAGGAAAAGTACGAAGATACCCTTTTCGAACTTCGGTTCGATGTTCTTGATTTAGGTCGACAGTTGCAATCTCAAATGATTCATTTTCAATTGATTCATGTACCAACTGGCGTCAGCATGTTCTCGCAAACCAAAAAATGGCCAGAGTGGGGTGTCTTTAAACATGATGTCAACGGCAATAAGAAGATTATCGATCGTGCAAACCGATGGATCGTGAAAGATGTCATTGGAAGAGAACGTAAGTTACCCTCTCATCAAGATGTTTCGTCGGTTATCACTTGCTAACTTTGCATAATATCATCAGCCGGTGAAGACAAGGATGAAGAGGGAACTAAAGTTGACTCCATGAGTTTCTTACACAAGTTCCTTGAGCTACAAAGCAAAATGCTTTCTGAGAACAACAAGCTTGTCGCCGAGCATCCCTACATGTCCACACCCATCTCTTGGCTCGTCCCAACCAAAGGAATTTCATACTGGCATAACCCAGTTTCAAAAGGACAGATCTATTTAGCAGGAAACGTAGTTGGATGGGTGCTGGGTCTTGCTAGTATTGCAATTTACTGTGGTATCGGTCTCGCTGATATTGTAGCTCAAAGGAGAGGTTTCGACCTTATTGACGAACGTAAGTTGACGGCTACCTCATCAGACAGCACAACATGATCATGGTACTAATCTATCCTGAAATCCCAGCTGTTCGAAGACGATTTCAATACTCTGGAGGCTTCCTCGCCTTGTTGTATGCCCTTCATTATCTACCGTTTTATGTGATGGGCCGTGCTCTTTTCCTTCACCACTACTTACCAGCAGTCACTGTCTTGTACATGTTGATGGGAGCAGTTTTTGAGTTCATGTTTATTGAAGGTACCACCTCACCAGCATCCAACCTTGTTCGCAACGAAAGCGAAATGAAGAACCACAGACCCAAGGTCGCTGCTAACATCTCTACCATGAGATCTATGCTTACCAAGACCAGCTACATCGCTGCTGCCATCATTGTCATCGCTCAGATTGGCTTTTTCATGTGGATGGTACCTTTGACTTACGGTACCAACATGGGTAGTGAGATGGTTAAGCTGCACCAAATTTTCGGTTGGGAATTGCATTTTGGTAAGCGCACGTTTTTGGTCAAATGACCCCTTGTCTCAATATATTTTAACATCTGATTCATTTGCAGCAAAATAAAATGCAGCATTATCCGAAGCCAAAGTTTATCCTTCTAGCAATTCCATTTTTCTTCTCTCCATTGTCTCAAATTAAAAATAAAAAGTGAAGCAGGGTATCAGTGTTCATAAGGAATCGATAAAGGCAAGATATACACATCATGATGGCAGACTGACCCCTGAAAGGTGTTAGCTGGTAGGGCTCAAAATTTTCCCGTTTATACCCATTTTTTCAAAGCAGTTCAGATGTACCTAAAGCCCTTTACGCCACATATGATACGGTTGGTGCCTGCAAAAATGCATTGTTAACAGTTTCAGTCATTACGAAACGTCTTTAACAAGCAAACTGTGCAAAAACCCTTAATGGACGTAAGATGGCGTGTTGACTGGCATGGATTAAGTCTAACAGCCAAAGTGACTAACGCAATCGATAGTCGCAGTTACACATCATTGACTGTACCCGGTTATCTAGGACGAATAATAGCAATATTGCCTACCTCGAATGCCGAGAACAAATGTTGTTTCTTGCTTTCCAAATATAGGGTCAGTGTTATTTTTCGTACCTTCGAGCAGAACTCAGCTTATACTGACATTTTTTGTATTTTGCCAACAAATATTACATAGAAGGTATAATCTTGTGATTCGAATGAATGGGACCTCATTTCGATTGCTTACACATCGTCGCTAAATGTAAGTTTACCAAGCAGTGTACGATATTGTCTCTCCGTGTTTACCGCCTGTTTGGGTAAGCCGCCACCGTCAATTATACTGTAGCTTACAATCGGCGCTCGAATAACGGCTATGGTGTTGAAAGATACACTTTCAACTTACTTTTGCTCCATTACGACATACTATACAATTTTCCAATGTTCATGACACGCGACGAGTCACGATGAATTTATTATTGCTAACTCTACAAAGCTCTTGATTATGTAACCACTAGGATTCAGGGTCAATCATCTCCTAGTTACTACATATAGCAGCAGCACAAACAATGGCCGGCATATTCAAAAGTCCATATCAAACGCACTTTGGAACGTTATGGCCTTCCCCTTTGTCGTTCTTGATTGGCGATCTATTTCAAAGCCACCCCCAAAAATGCAATGCGGGTTCTCATACACTATTCCCTATGCAGAATGTTATTCCTGCGGCTCCCCTCATCCGTATATAAATCGTACTAACCGCCTCCATGAACAGATGCTTCGTATAGCAGCAATGAAACTTTTATTTTCTGCTGTCTTCACTTCTTTTACCTGCTTAGCCGCAGCATATCCTATTATTGCCAGAGATGATACCACTCCCAGAGTCACTAGCAAGTTGGGAACATTCGTAGGAAAGCATCTACCTGACTTCAATCAAGACGTTTTCTTGGGGATGCCATACGCACAACCTCCAGTCGGCCAGCTGCGATTCAAGAACCCACAGCCGTATAATCAATCGTGGGAAGGTGACCGAATTGCTACGGATTATGGATACTCCTGCTACGAATGGAGTAAGTCATCACAGTCCCACGGAGTCAGCTACAGCGAAGACTGTCTCACAATTAACGTCATTCGGCCAAGTGGCTATACCAATGAATCTCTACCTGTTGGATTATGGATATATGGTGGTTCATTCCAGTTGGGTTCCTCCGCCTTAGATACATATAACCTCTCATACCCTGTTCAGCAATCCGTCAACGTTCAGACACCCATAATCGCCATATCCGTGAACTATCGAATAGGGCCATTGGGATTCTTAGCGTCTTCTGAAATACAGCAATCTGGAAATCTGAACGTTGGACTAAAGGATCTTGTCCTCGCTTTACAATGGATACAGGACAATATTGGTGCCTTTGGTGGGGATCCAACTAAAGTTTCACTTTGGGGTCAGTCAGCTGGAGCTGAGGCTGTTGCGAACCTTCTGACCGCTTACGGTGGAACCCTGAATGGCCTATTCCGAGGTGCTATCATGGAATCTGGCTCTAGTGTTCGACTTCCTCATAATTATCTCCCTATCGACACCTGGCAGTCACAATTCAGTGATTTCTTATCATATACTGGCTGTACTGGTGATGGTGAACCGTTGGAGTGCATTCGATCGCTGGATATAAGCAAGATTAAGAATTTTTTCAACATTTCTAGTCACTTGACAGCGCACGAGTATTATCCAGTGATCGATGGGGATTTCATTCAAGACTGGCCAAAGAATTTGTTAGCTGATGGAAAATTTGTCAAGGTTCCCATCCTTACTGGCGCCAATATGGATGAAGGTGCCAGCTTTGGACCGGGTAAAATCGATACTACTGATGAATTGCGGAATTGGCTGAAAACTTCATATCCAGCCCTTGAGGAGACTACCATCGACCAACTCCTAGAGTTTTATCCTGACGACCCGACACTTGGAAGTCCCTTTGGAACTGGTGATATGTATAGCAGTTCTCGCTACGGCCTTCAGTACAAGCGTGGAAATGCGTTAGCAGGAGATTTGGCTATGGCGGGACCAAGAAGATTGACATGCGAAACCTGGGCGCAAGCTGGTCTAGATGTGTACTCATACAACTGGAATCAAAGTGACTATAAAAATCCTCCTGAAGACGGCGCTGATCATGCTCAAGAAGTGGTGTATGTCTTTGATAATCCCTCGGACAGTTTTCCAAACAGTGGAAGTAAGTGACTAATACAAATAAAGAGAGAACAAGTGTGTGAATGCAGTAGGAGGCTCTAACAGATCCATTCATGCCATTAGTATCACCTACTATCGGACCTGATCCTAACGGCACAAAAAAGTTGCTTGCTGATCAAATTTCAGGTTTCTTAATGTCATTTATTGCCACAGGTGACCCTAACAACGCAATACTCAACCAAAATGTACCTGCCTGGCCAAAATACAATCTTACACAGCCCACAAACTATTATTTCCATGAAGGCGACACAAACATCGAGGCAGATGATTGGAGAAAGGACGCTATTCATTACCTTAACTATGAAGTTGGACACCAATTTTATAACTAGTAGCTTGTATCCAAACCTTCCTATTAGTACAAGTATAGGCTCACATAACGAGCTTTAAGCTTGAGCTAATATTATTGTTCGTAATATTGTAAATTTTCTAACACACAACCACTCAGACTTTTATCTCTTTGAATAATTTGCTTCTAAACGATAAAAGATTTCTTTTGAAAGCCGTGACATCGTCTCGAGGCAAGATTTAAAATCACCTATATGTATCAATCATTCATATAGCCATTGTGGAGGAAAGGATTCAAATTAAATAATGCAGAATGCATTTTTTCCTTTTGTTGGCATTTCTTTCCAAACCCCTCACCCCCCAAAAGCAGTGAACTGCTGAGAAACATCATGTTCAGGCAAGATTTCCATATGGCATGGTCCCGCGGTACAAACAAAAAATACAACTTCCCATAGCCCGGAAGGCTGTGGTCACTCACAGCCAGGCAGCAGTGCTTCCCCACGGACAAAAATAGCATCCTGTAATGTATAACCTATTTCCTGTGAGACCGAGTTTCAGACTCACAATGCTGTTGAACAAAGTTACTGTACCTGGACAATTTCCTAGACTGTTGCAATTTGGGCAGCGCTTCAATGCTTTGCAAATTTGGCGCCGTGTAAAAAAAACCTAGGGGACGGTGGTAGAAAAGGGCACATTGAAACGTCAGCTTATTTTTTTGACCGCATTATGATATGAAAAATATTTTTGCAACTTGCATCATGAAGAAGGTTCCAGGCACTGGAGTCGATGACGCTATTAGCTTAATGGAAGTATTGATAGCTAGCATGAAGGCTGAATTGGTCTGTCGCCGTACGAACAAGAACTTTCAATATGGGTGTATCCTATTTTCCCAAGGTACACGATATAAGGCTGCGAAGCAACAGCCCGTACGAAAACGACAAAGCGACTCCGTTGTCAACTGTTCCTACTGCGGTTCCAACGGACTGAAATTTCAAGGTACGTAGTGCTAGTGTGCAGATTACGCAGAATTGTAACCTTATTGCAGTTTGATTGAATCGTAATCTGCACACTTTATAACGAACGTAGAATGACGCTATCTTGTGAAATTGATGAAAAGATACTAAGCAAGTTGTAATAGCTAAGCATGTTGACGGTCAATGGTGTCTAGATAAGGGGATCTATGGGGGTATATCAGGTTGAAAGCTGAGTGCATAGAGAATTTTCCGCATTGTAGATTTGAGGACCAAACGTCCCATAAAGAGTTTCACTTGCATCGTGCGATTAACCATAAAAGATGATAATGATCGGTGCAAACAAAAGTAAGGTTGCTAGCTTCTGTGCGAAGCATCCACCATATTAATGAGACACACACAACCTCTTTAGCAAACAAGCAATTGGTCGTTTCGGCAACTTTAATACATCGGTAATCGGGCGTTTCATATACAGCCGGATTATGATAGCTAGCATATACCAGATCCTGCCTGTCCGAATGAAATTCAAATAGGTGCCACTAAGCTGCGTTTTGCATAAATATTCAAGTGAATTTACTCTAATTTATCACATACTGGATTTGACTGCCACCTATCAAACCATGAGATTCACGTTTTGTGCTGTCCTGGCAGTGGCTGTCGGTCTTGTTAATGCATCTCCTCCCACTGCTATGACTGAGAAAGGCATTTATGCTGGCGAACATTTACCAACTTTCAATCAGGATATGTTTATAGGTATCCGATATGCACAAGTGCCTACTGGTTCTCTTCGTTTTCGCCCACCACAGCCTCTTACTAAATCTTGGAGCGGCCAAAAGACTGCAGTCAACTATGGGAATTCCTGTTATTCTTCAGAACCTAATACCGACAACAGATTCATAAAACAGAGCGAAGACTGTTTGACCTTAAACATTGTACGTCCGAGTGGTTACGAAGGACATAAACTACCAGTTGGAGTTTGGATCCGTAAGCCTTGAAGATCTGAGCCGAGCTATAAAATGTAGTGCAACACAATTAACGCTCTTAGTCAATTGTCTTCACAGATGGTGGAGGATTTACTTCAGGGGTATCATTCAGAGACATATATAACCTGTCTTATCCAGTTCAGCAATCTGTCGAAGGCGGCACTCCAATCGTTGCCGTTTCCATAAATTACCGCGTAGGACCACTAGGCTTTTTGGCCTCCGAGGAAGTTCAAAAGGAAGGAAGTTTAAACAACGGCTTGAAAGACCAAGTAGCGGCACTCATTTGGATAAAACAAAACATCGAAGCCTTCAATGGTGATTCAAATCAGATAACAATATGGGGCGAATCTGCTGGTGGAGAGTCTGTCTCAATGCTGATGTTGGCCTATGGCGGCAAGCTCGAAACGCTGTTCCATCGTGCCATTATGGAATCTGGTTTTGCAACAACACAGCAGTACCATCCCATCAGCCATTGGCAAGAAAAGTATGTGATTATCACGAAACTTGCGGGGTGTGATAAGCAAAGCGATACCTTGAACTGCCTTCGCCAGGTAGACATCAACAAGTTAGTGTTCATTACTAATATCGCCAATGAGAGGATAAAAAGACAATATGCTCCTACTATTGACGGCGATTTCATACTAGATTGGCCGAAGAACCTACTTCAAAGTGGAAAGTTTATGAAAATACCCATTATATCTGGCGCGAACATGGATGAAGGAACATCATTTGGGCCGGGAAGAGTAACAAACACCGACGAAGTTACAGATTGGCTCAGTACAACGTATGCAGGGCTCAATAGTTCTACCGTCCAAAAGATATTGACCTTATACCCCGACGATCCTAGCAAAGGCTCTCCTTTTGGCACTGGCGACCTTTACAGTGGGCCAATTTACGGCAGGCAATTTAAGCGCGGCTCGGCTATTAGTGGAGATATTGCCTTGATCGGACCACGGCGTTTGACTTGTGAAGTCTGGGATGAAGCCGGCATAGATGTCTATTCCTACAACTGGAATCAATCTGATTATGGGATACCTGATTTCATTGGTACCACACATTTCCAGGAAGTGGTCTATGTTTTCGATAATCCGTCTACCAGTTTCTTTCAAAGTGGAAGTAAGTATTGACTTCCCGCCAAGTGTCATGCCTATTTTTTTCTGATATGCCATTGTTTTAAGCTGCCCCCATGGGCCCTGACCCCACCGGTTCCAAGAAGAGTCTGGCACATTTGATATCTCGATTTTTCATGTCATTTATTGCTACTGGCGACCCAAACAATGCAAAGCAAAATGGAACCTATCCAAAATGGCCCAAGTATAGCTGCAAGAATCCCAAGAATTATTATTTTCGTGAAGATGATATTCGTATTGAAGATGATGACTGGAGAAAAGAAGCTATTAGTTTTCTCAACTATGGTGTTGATCATCAGCTCCTCACTTAGGAGTGATTCGACCACTGTATGATATGATGAGTGCAACCTATTTCCTATGTAAACGATATATCTCTGTCGACATCTACGTCTTATTGGAGCTAAAAATGAGAAGACGGAACTTGTGTACACAACATTGTAGAAAGAAGTTACGAAGAATATTGATATACGCAACTGGATAATATTTCTGCAAATGCGTGAGCTTGGAAATTTTACTGCATCAATCCTTGCAGTAATTTGCCTCACAAGGTGTACGTGTAGAACTGCCGATATGCATTTTATTACAAATTGTCAGGTTGTCGTCTAAATAAAGTCAACCTTTCGCTTTCTAGCGCATTAGAGTCTTCGCATTTTGTTGGGTCTAGCGGCTGGTCGCTTAAGTAAAGCCCACAGCATAACGGTAGTAGCTGCTGATAACGAATACCAGGTGATAATGTACTGTAAATGATGATTTCGCACTTCAACAACGGGTGACCTGCCTACAGGAATGCCCTTCCGTATCAATTCGTTTTCTTGATATAAAGCTGCGTCGCTGACTCTTTCTATAACAACCGGTTCAGCACCAGTAATTTCAGCCATGGTTTCCACATCCACCCAATACCACTGATTGTTGACAATATCGTTGTCAGGAGTGAATGAGTTTTTCTAAAGTGGACGAAGGTGAGAAACCCAATAAAAACCAATGGCTATCGTCCCAATCTGAAAGTATCTTACCATTTCTGTATGCCTCAATAAGCCTTCAACTTCTTGTACGTCTTGAGTCAAACTTTCTGGCCGAGTACTTGGGTCCTTCTTCTCTGTGGGAACCCATCCACGCTTTACAAGCACGATTGAGCCGTTCTCCCTAACCAAAGGTGTTATTAAGAAGTAGCCCGAATTGCCGTCTCCTCGAGTTCGTGGCCCAAGGAGCATCTCATGAGCGTGGTCATATACACCAGAGACCTTTACTCGGCGATACTCGAAATCCTTGACTGCTTGTGCACTAAGAATACCATGTTCAGGAGGTTTGTATACACAATGAAATGCAAGCAAGAAAATGTCTTACTTCACTCGCTTTGGAAGCGGTATGGGAGGTCTTGCCATTCTGTCTTCCATATCCTCAATCAAGTGCGTTTTCCATCGCAATCTTTGCACTTGCCAAGTTCCGAGGCCAAAAGTAATGAAGGGAATGGTGCATAAAGCGATGGTTCCTAGTCCGATTCGGCGTTTCGGTTTGTAAACCTCCTCTGCTTCAGTAGTAAAGAGCCGTGACCGAGTGAGAAGATTGGCTGAACGTGCATTCCAAGCGCTTCGTAACGTAGGGCGAGAGTACAATGCTGTTCGAGAGAGGCACTGCATGATCGTTTGTCGTGGCAAAAAGCGCAAGGGAGTCCCTGCTAACGAAAGTGACGGCGACTGACAGTTTGAAATTTGGACTGCTTTTTTTTAGCGGCCAGAAAACTTGACGGATTTTTTTTTCATTGAACAGCTTTAACTATGGTGGAGAAGAAACTTTCAAAGAAAGAACAAAAGGCGCAAGCTTTCCGAAAAAAGGGAAAGAAGAACGAAGCACCCGAGCCTGAAGCCTTCCCTGAATCCGATTTAATAGATGAGGATGCCGATTCCAAAGCTACCACATCTACTGGAAAGCGATCAAGAGAGGATGGCGAATCAGGCAAACTAGACAATGAAACGGGAGAACCAAGAAAGAAAAAGAACAGACGACCAAAGAAGAAGAACCAAAATCACACCGGATATATTCTCTTTGTTGGTAAGTGTTTGCACTATGTAGTCGGCGGTATCGACCAAGACCACTAACAATTGCCTTCAGGTAACCTTCCATTTGATACCACTAAAGCTGACCTCGAGAAGCATTTCGAGTCAGCAGAAGGATTAGTTTCAACTCGACTTATGACAGACAAGGACACCAAAAAGCAAAAAGGGTTCGCCTTTCTCGAATTTAAAGACAGTGAGTGTCTGCAAAGCGCCTTAAAGTTCCATCATACCTTGTTCAAGCGGCGGCAGATCAACGTTGAATTGACTGCTGGTGGAGGTGGAAAGAGCGAGGCGAGACAAGAGAAGTTGCAAGTCAAGCGAGAGAAATTGCGTACTGAGAGAGTAAGTGGACTTTGTCGGTAACTTTTGTGAATAGCGTCGTTTCTAATCAACTTTTTCATCTACAGCAAAAGCTTCATGAAACCAGTATAGCACCAGCAAATGCTGCTAAGGCGGCATCATCTTATGCTAGACGCCAAGCCGCTGAGCAACAGCAGGAAGAGGAGAAGGCTAAGAAGCGGGCAAAGTATGCTGCAACGGGTGTAAACGCCATAGGAGGAGGAGAGGTACAGATGCGAAGCTTCCCAAGAAGCGAAGAGTAACGTCTTATCAATTCATTTTTTTTATCATATAAACAATTGCATTATAATACATCAAAGCAATGGATTGAGCCCTGTATTTAAATATGTCATCTTAGTCGAGGTAACGTCCTGTGTGGTGAAGTGCTGGAAAGTGAGATTGGAGATGGATGGCCCGCTGGGACTGGTTTCCGGAAATTTCCCCAATTTCAATGAAAAATTGCCAGAGATTCATGCGTACGCCTCCCGCTACCATGTCGTCTACCATCAATCCTCGTGTGATTCTTTTTTCACTTATATTCACCAAACTCGCCTTTGACCGCATATGCTATCTAGCAAGTGTAAGTATACAATGCGTATATGACATGGGGTGGACGCCTTTGACATTTTTTAACTCATGTCATTTCACGAAGCTGGTAAACCCTTCTGCCGACCCGCAAGCTCCCATTCTCGATGTTTTGGAATATGGCCACCCTAGCTCGGGCGACGAAATATACAAGATGATTTCGTCTTATGGACCAAAAGGTTTTTATACAGTCATTCGTATATCGTGTGCTTTGCTACCCCGAGCCTCTCAATTGACATAACATAAACAATGAATTTAGGCAGACAGGCTTACCTCAGTCTGTCACTGTTCGACACGGGATTTGTGCTAATTAGAGTTATTCCTCTATGTGTATTTGCCCAATGGGCATATAACAAATACCCTCGCATTGCCAACCCATTAATCTACTTTTTCGCTGCCGCCTCTGTTTGGGAGGTTCTGGAAAACGCAATGGTATGGTTTGTTGTAAAGCAATTCCCCAGACGCTATGACGGAATTGCATCTCTTTTGGTTCATTGGATCTCTATCAAGTGGTATACACTGTATGTAACTTGCGCATCGCTCGCTATTGGTGTCCTCGTTGGTATCTACCATTCCTTCCACGCCCTTTTGGCCGACAGTGTTTTGATGGACAAGGACCGCACAAACCCTAAGCCTGTGGTCAAAAGACCTGTAGCTGGAGGTAGCGCACAGAGATCCAAGAAAGCAGATTAGACGGACGGAATTGATAGCTAGCAACATGTTAAATAGTTTGGGAGGAAGGGGAGGGGGGTTTTATCTTGCTTTCAGCATGTCAAGCATGCAGCATGTTTTAATAATATAAACAGTTTCTGATCTTTTCATAGATTGGCTTTCGCTTCGTTAATAACATCATCGACTTCGATATTTCTAGCTATCTTCATGGCTGAAAATACTGCTCGATCCTTTTTGATGTACAGTCTATGGTGTTGTCCTTCCTTCGCTGCCTTCAATGTGTCATCCTCATAGGTTTCATCTCCAGGATAGGCGAGGAACATTGCAAAACCTTCCTTTCCTTCAGCGGTATCTTCATCCACTGATTGTGGTTGTGGCATGACGGTCAAGACCTTTCCTGTTTTCGTTCTAAAAGCTCCTACGCCTGCTTTTGTTACGATATCCTGGTGTCGTCGGGTTTGTTTCAGGGTATATAAAGTGTACCACTGTGGGGGATACAATGTAATCTCTCCACGCTTCCATGAGTCCAAAGCTATCGAGAAGTAAATGTGGAGTCAGGGAACCGACTGTCGAGTTCATTCACCATTTAAATAACAGTCGTATCCTACTTACCTTCTTCAGGGGTGAACCAGTCTAATTGAATAGTTTCTCCACCATCAGCCTGAATAACGGCGTGTTCACTTCCTTTAACCTCTGGAATGACCGTAATAAAGAATTGTGTGTTGTAACGACGCTTTTCCATGACGGGGGTAATCCAATTTGAAAAGTGGTGTAGATCACAAGCGCTGGGTGCGATTTTATGTTCAATGCACAGCTCACGGAACTGTGAGGCATCTTGGTGGACCTTCTCACGCCAAGCGGCTGGCAGGTCTTGAACGGGCGGATTGGTCAGGAGCAAGCCTGCCTCTTCAAATGTCTCCCGAATGGCACATATTTTATGAGCTAGTGTCCTCTTCGACTCCCTACACAGATAAACCGAGGTGAATATCGTACAATTTGGCATGGATCCCATTCGTTTCCGCTTACTCATCATAATAGGCATGCCCGCCAGGGGCAATGATGTCGTTCCAGCGAGGATCATTGTCATGTTGATCGATGTTACCTCCAGGAAACACATGGGCATTGACAAAGCTGCTCTTTGCGTTTCTACGTCAAGGTTATATTGTTAGCTAAAGGGCCTGCCTTGAATGGGGATGGATCGGAGTATCAAACCCCACAGTAACCAACCTTTTCATCATCAGGACACGAAAATCACAGTCGCCAGCTTTGTTAGTCTCAGAGGCAGGTATAGGAGCCACAACAATCAATCTGTATATAAAATTTTGTAGGTAAATAAAGTGGATACTTGGTTCAAACGAGATTTTGGCGGCTGACATTACGTTGCGGAAGGGCGAATGGCGTTTGAGGTCTTGGACATAGTGCGAGTAGATATACAGAGGAACTTGGATCGCTGTACAGTATCTGGTAGCGGTTAGAACAAGGAAACTCAATTTTAGTAGACTTTACATACGAAGAACAGACTCACTAGTTGAAAACAGAAGGCGATGGAGGTTGCGACTTAACATTCACAATGGTATATGACTCTGAAAGCGGAACATGTGCCTTGCACACGCGGCTCGTGGAAAAATTGCTGAGTTTTCTGGGTTGTCAAGACCGATGGGTCAATTATTTTTCTGTTTGGGTATTTGAAAGAAGACCCGATGTAGTGATCCAGCTGGCCAGTAGACTGCGAACGGTGGGTCATTGCTTAAACAATCGGGTTACGTAAAGTTCATCCGAGATAGTATCATGGGAATATTTATCCCAAACAAGCATCGAGAAATTTTCAATATGACAAAGGCTTGAGCTTATTCCCATGATTTTGTATTTGTTGTGGGGTTATGTTTACCATAATTTGTATACTTTAAGAGAGCGTGGCAAGTTTGCAAGTGGTATATCGAGAGACTGTGCAAGCAGCGATTATGAATAAAATAATAATCCCACAGCCATGCAGTTTGTAGATCAGAGCCATTTATTGTCAGTAAAAGTACAGGTGGTAAGAAATAAGTTGGTATGGCGGTCAAGTATCAATGCAACAGAAAAAGGATATGGTAAGTTAAGAGAATTGTCTATTATACAAATGCTGGGGGGTTTGAGTGGAATGTGGGTGGAAAAAAGTCCAAGCTTCTCACAAAATTAGATTTTTGTTGGTAGACCCAACTGCAACAAATAGCAGTTTTTCAAATGGTAGCAGCAGACCAGCTAATATACATAGAGCACTGACTACCAAGATTTGCATCTTCGTTACTTTGGAGAGAAATGCGATCTTGCATACTTGCATACTCTGTTGAGAAAGTCAGTACCCTGTCACTTGTTCAATTATCAACTGGAATTTATTATATACCTCTGAAGCTCCTTGAGCCCAATTTTCATTAGATAATTTCGTAGGTGAGGATGGTGGGGTGAGTTGAGAAAATTTGGAGGGTGTTGGAGATCGAGTTGAGCTTTGGCTCAGTGTATGTGCGCGGAAACCACGCATCATGGAGCAGTTAATGAGGTTCTCAGTTATTCTCCGTCTGTCTAGCAGGCGCCACTAGACATTAAAATATGGGATAAATAAGGTACGTCAAGGTCACAAGGTCTACGTCAAAGGGATATTGACTTACAGAAGTGGAAGAGAGCTTGTCTTGAGCTTCGGCCGGGGTGAGCGGTAGGCTCTGAATAAGAAATTTGTCTTCTGGCATCACTTCCGAGTCGGACCTCACTAAATTTGGGGTCATCGTTGTTAATTGTTGAGTACGAGGAGCAACAGGTGATCTAAACGGACCAACCACACTGTGGTAACACCTACCATATACTTCCATGACCGCATTAGGAGCAAGTGAGGCAAGAACCGGCTTGACACTGTACCTTGCCGGAGCGTTGGTCTTAAGCTGTCAATACAGGGAAAAAAAAGGTCAGGTCGACGGTAGGTTAGGCTACGATGTATTGTATAGTTGCATCAAAGAGCTGCTCGCAAAACGAAAGTCTACCTTGAAACCAACAGGTCGATCTATGAGGTTTCGAATCGTAAGTCGGCTGATGTATCCAGAAGAGCTCCTTGAAGCTATGGGTAGATAGAATAGACAACATCAGTACCTATGCGACGAGTGTGGGGGGTGGGTGATTCGACGAGTGTCCTACCATAAAATTGAAATTCTGGAGGAGAGATTCGAATGGCCGGATTGGAGTTCATGTGTGAAGAAAAATACGAAAGAGAAAAGAAGAATTGGTGTTGCTTGACAACCTGTTTCCAAGTACACTTAATAGTTATTATGGGGGGACGTCCCCAAAATATGGTTGTTGTGCGGCGGACTATGAACTGAAAGCCGTGTCATGGGATAACATTTTGCTGTTTGAGCGCCTCAAGACGTTGAATATTACACCGAATGCAACACACCGTAGGGCGGATTTAATGTCGACTGACTACCGAATTCATCGTCTTGGTCAATGCCAAAGATATTAAAATAAGGAAATATAAATAATAGGAAGCAAAAAAAAACTTCCTGCTGAATCTGAATTAGCGTAGAGGGTCAAACAATGCTCAAACCATTTTTTTTTTTATTAATTACTGCCCCAGAATTCAAATTTTTAATTTTTTTTTGTTTTTGTTGGGTCGGTGGGGTGTTCTAGCCATACATCCAGTTTCGAGTGGCCTCTTGTTCTTCTTCTTTAACTTGTTCTTCTGTTTCGACGGTATAGCGACACATGGGGCAGGTATTATGAAGTTGTAGCCATGGGAGCAAACACTCTCGATCAAAAAAGTGGTGACTAAAAAAGGAATTGGATCGTAAAAACATTGCAGCGATTTGCCCAATGACAGTCATCATTCCTTACCATGGCATCTTTGTAACGGCCGATTGGCTTTCATGGAAATTTTCCTTGCAAATGATACAAGATTCATCACTGATCATCCGTTGTTTAAGTGTTATGAATTAGATGATGATGATTTTGGTATCAGTTCACTGACGTTAATAGAAAAAAACGGTTTTGGAATTTTAATACTGGAACATTGCGTACCTGGATAGCGAGTCAACCGATACACGTGGAAGACTTTGGATGAAACGTTCTGAAGCCGGTGGTGGGCCTTTGGCGTTGGTCTGAGCTTCGTCTAACAATTGCGATATCAGATTATCCAAAAATTGCTGCTGATTAGCGTCTTCTTGTTCAACGTTTTGCCTTATTCCCGTGAACATGCTACAAAAACCACCTCTATTCAGCCACACATTTCTCATCGTGGGATACAATTCGTCCAAACTATATAATTACTTTGCCACTCTCATGACGTTTTCTAAATAGTCTTGGTTGCCATAGCTGTCCACTGGCTCTCTGGGTGAATGCATATCCATGAAACTCGATATGTCGACATCCCGGTTTTGGCGTCGGGATGGAGTGGACGTTGTTATATTAAGATCGTCTACAGAGAAGAATAAATAGGTTGAATGGTGGAGTACATGTATGGCTGACTGTTAGACATTGCATACCGAAATAGCTCGACATTGTATAGTTGGGATAAAACCAAGGTTGCTGCTACACCTCTTGATGCAGCGGAGTAGCAGTCACTGCGGAACACGTAATCGCCATTATGGCAAAAGCGAGATTTTTATGGCAGAAAAAGATACAAAAACTATGTTACATTAAGAAAAGGTGTTTATGCTGTACTAATAGATGCTGGCTCCTCCTTCGTAGCAACGGCTTTAGACTTGATCGGACGACTTTTTCGAATATTTCGTCCATGGTTGACTGTCCATGGGCCCAGGCTGTCATTAGCATAAAAATCCATTGGATATATACTTTGCCACTCCGCATTCCCAAACACAACCGATGCCTCGTAAGGTGTGAGAAGTGGCTTTGGGAAGGCGTATCCCCAGTCGATGGATAAACGTGGACAAGCAATCTGGATCCAACTAGAAGAGGTAGATAGTGTGAGCTTAAAACATTCGTGAACGTGACCAGGCCTACGCCAAAACCAAACCAAACCGAGCCCAACGTTTCGGCTCACTGCACTTCATTCCCAACCCCAACCAAACTCAAATGTTTTAGTACGTACGCATCCACATCTTCAAACTGTGCCAGCTTTCCAGGGAAGATCTCCGATAGTAGAATGGTCACATAAGTCTTTCCAGCCTTTGTAATGCTCTCTTGCAAGTAATCCATGATCTTGGGACTACCTTGTCTTCCGAGTGTTCCCAATATCAACCCGAACGTCTTAGCTTTAGTAGCTGTCGCAATAGCGTGCTTACGCAATGAATGCATCTCTGCATGATCATAGCGCTCTCGCGTGAACTTTTTATCGTAGGGGTCATATCTGTATGGAAGTAGATGTTAAGTAAACACATAGAGCGGTACAAAAACGTGAAGCGGAGCTGACCTGAAAGCTGGTAAGTCGGGGTTGTGAATCATGATGGACTCCAAATGGAATCTACCATCGCCGAGGTATCTGTTAAATGGAGATGGCAGAGGCGTTAGTAAAAAGATGAAGCAACGGTAAGTCCATGAAACAGTGTAATGTTAATGTCATGCTTACATTATGGCATCCATGTCCGGGAGTCTTGGAGATGTGCAACCGAGTACTTCACCAGGTGATAACGGCTTTGCCTGTGGTACTTGTAATACATAGTCCTGCTCCAAGATTGCGCGTGCGGCCTGTAGATAACGTTGGTCAGACCCGATTGTTGGAGGCAGCGAAAATAGTATGGAAAGGGAGCTTACCTGCAGCGCTGTAACAAATTGAATGGTTCCAACCACCACAAGCTTCTTGCCTGGTTCAAAATTCCGCTTGACAGTGTCGATAAAGTGCTGGGTATCAATACCAATGTCGACAAATACATACAATGTATTGATAGGCGTAACATCAACAGGTACTACGGGTATTCATTGATTAGTGTACGGCTCGATGATGATTCCATTAAAATATAATTCACCTACCCAGGCAGCTGTGACCGTAGTGTAACAGAAAGTCACAACCTAAAGCTCTTGCTGAGAAATCATCGACACAGCATGCGCCATAGGTAACATCTCCCATCACCAAAGTCTCTACACCGCAAAACCTATAAAATACAAGTATCAATAAACAGAATATAATTTAGGTTTTCCTCGAGCCTCCCATATCTTACGCTTCTAGAATGTCGGAAATGGTGCAGGCGAACATGAGCAGTCCTTCTGGGAATTGCAAAGCGACTGAAAAAAGAAGGCTGTTAGTCCATTGAAGTTTATCTCGAATTAACCTTTGACAGCAAACCCACCCTTCTTTGCCTCTGCCTTTTGTATTCTCCATACACTCTTGTGAATCTCAAAGTTATAGTTGGCAGGTAGCTGAAATAGACGAACCGTATGAATATTTTAAAAAATCGAGTTCAGCAATAGCTACTGTGACATTATTCATACCTGCTCAATCATCTTATTCAACAAAGGGTTGTTCATTATTTCGTCTGGAATTTGGTTTGCCATTCTGCTGGCGGTGGATCGAGCGGCAGGTTCTGTTTAAAAAGTACGACTTCATGTGAGTTCCAGACATGAGACAAAGGAGACAATGGAAAAAGACATACTTGCGAATCCAACAGCACCATCCTCAATGTTGTTTGAATCGGGTACGGTGCCTTCTTGCTTGCGAGCCTTTCCTACGAACCTCTTCCTTGGCTTGGTCTGCTTGTCTTGGTCCATGTCAAAAAGGTACCCAAAAAAAGTCCATGACTGTGCTTTTTCCATCGATCGGGACAAGCCACGGGTTTTTTTGAGTCAAAAAAATGTCAGCTCATGTATTGTCCGCTCTACCGGGTTTGAACCTCTTTGTTACATCCAGGCCATGCAGTTTCTACGCACCACTGGCCGTGTGCTAGGAAACAGCACGTTACGGCGCTTAAATACTGGACATGTCAAGGTGTCCGCCGTCCCATTGCGCACATTCATCACCTTACAAGCACCCAGAGCTTCTACACTTAGAAGTACGCCAACTATCTGCAGGGCTCCACTTAAAAACTTCCAAGGTGTTTTCACCAAACGCTTTTCGTCAACCGTAGCTATTCCCCATGTTGAGAAGGTCAGAGAAGCAACGCAGGTTATTGCTTCGAAACCAATTGTCGCCTACTGGTTGTACTTTAACGCTGGCCTTATTTTCGCCATCGTCGTGGTGGGTGGGTTGACCCGCCTCACGGAAAGTGGTTTGTCTATCACTGAATGGAACGTCATCTCCGGAATGAAGCCTCCTCGATCACAGGAGGAATGGGAAGAAGAATTTGAAAAATACAAGCAGTTCCCTGAATACAAGATGTAAGTGTATACTATTTACACAACGCGACGACTTTTTTGACAGCTAACTGAATGGAATTTCAGACTCAATCGTCATATGAATTTGGAAGAGTTCAAGAGCATTTTTTATTGGGAATGGAGTCATCGCATGCTTGGTCGTTTTATTGGTACCGCTTTCATTATTCCCGGCCTATACTTCGCCTCTAGAGGATATATGACGAAGAAGGTTGCATGGCAGACATTTGGCATCAGTACCATGCTTGGGTTCCAGGTAGGTTTTCGATTGTAAGCAAGCAGAGGGTTATCAATTGGTCACGTATTAAATGACCCTTTTTCTTCACTAGGGATTTATGGGATGGTATATGGTAAAATCAGGATTATCAGAGGCATTAATGAAGGAACCTGGCGCGGTCCCTCGTGTTAGTCAATATCGACTTACTGCACACTTAGCTACAGCATTTGTCATATACGGCAGCACAGTTATGGTAGCTGCTGATGTGATTCGTCAACATAAGCTTGCTAATGGAACATTCGGCAAGGATTTGATCAAAGCCATTAACAACCCTGCTCTCAACCGGCTGAGAGCAGCCGCCTTGTTCATGACATGTTTTGTGTTTATGACTGCCATGACTGGTGGACTTGTAGCTGGACTGGATGCTGGCTTGATCTATAATGAGTGGCCCATGATGGGAGAAGGTATTGTTCCTCCTACCAATGAGCTTTGGTCCGACGACTATGTCAAGCCTGGTGACAATGGAAAATGGCGCAACTTCTTGGAAAACCCTACCACTGTTCAATTTGATCACCGCACTATGGTAAGAGGGAGGCAGTCATAATTACAAGTAATCTACATCCACACTTACATTTTCTCTCCATAGGCTGAAACGGCTGCCGTCCTGAGCACAGCATTATGGTATTATAGTCGCCGTTTGCCTTTACCTAAATCTGTACGCGTGGCTTCCAACGCTATGATGGCTGCAGTGGTTGCTCAAGTCACTTTGGGTGTTACTACTCTAATTTATATGGTTCCCATTCAACTTGCAGCGCTTCATCAAGCTGGGGCTTTAACCTTGCTGACTACCAACTTCTGGCTTCTACACACGCTAAAGAAAATCCCAGTAGCGTAATCGAGCTACTGCAACCGGATGCTGACACCAACCGCCAGGTTGTGATCATCACGAATAATTCAATATGAGATTTTTCTAGAATGTTTGATTTACTACAATATAAATGGAGTTATGATGTATAGAGAACGATTGAAGAACGAACATAAAAAAGAAGAAAAATTAACAAAACACTTCGAAATTGTACAGATGGTATTTTTAAAAAAAGGTCAAAGGGTGATAATGTGCGCTACTGAATCTACAGTGTCTGCACGTAATTGCTAGGTACGGTACCGTGGCCGTATGAGCAGCGATTTTGCTCGTCCCAGAGATCGGCTAGCCACCAATCTTCGTCTTCAGAAGGGCCCAAAATGGCCATGACACTTCCTTTTCGGAAACTGAGCTCCGTCTTGTCCCTTGCTGCATAGTCGTACTTCGCTACCGCTACAAAGTGAAATAGTTGGTTAGATGTATGTTTAAGCAAGCTATATAATGTGATGGGTTGGTTCTTACCCCATTGTAATATTGGTCGTCCGTTTGGAAGGGTTGTAGGCCGTGGTGCGGAGGCCGCTTGCATCATTGGCGAAACAGCACCATTTTGTATCATGGGTGATCTTGGCTGTATCATGGGTGACCTCATCATCGGAGACCGAGGTGCCATCATTGGCGACGCAGCATTCATCATAGGTGACCTGGGTGGATCAAAGTTACCATTTGTCGGTTGTGGTGAAGGCGTCATCTGCTGTGGTTGTGCGCTCAGCCAGGGCGAAGGAGCATTCACCATAGCCGGTGATGGCGGCGCATATGGTGCCATCATTGGGGATGATCCTCCATAGTTTGCAGGAAGGGTTTGGCTTCTCATGTACTGCTGTCCCTGGTTTGCATATGGCACGGCCATTTGTTGCTGCTGTTGAGATTGATGCATCAAGGGCTGACCTTGAATGGGTTGTTGCTGTTGTTGAGGCATCATGTGCTGACTTTGAGCTACATGCTGCTGTTGCTGGGATTGTTGGATCGAGTGTTGGCCATGGGTGGGCTGCTGTTGTTGCTGCTGAGGAAGATGACTGGTAGACTGTGATTGCTGAGACAACAAATGTTGCTGGTGATGCTGTTGTTGCATCTGTTGTTGAACCTGCTGCTGCTGCTGCTGCTGCTGTTGTTGTTGCATCTGTTGGTGCTGCTGCAACTGCTGTCGTTGCTGGTGTTCCTGCTCAATTGGAGAAGGAGAACTTGACACTTTCCATTCGTCATTTTCTTGCGGTGGGTGGTACGCCTGTTGCAAGAATACCGGCGATGGGCACATTTCTGTAGAGGAGGCTGACAGTGGTGGCGTTATGGGCTCAACTGGAACTTCTGCGTCAGGCAGCCTAGGACTCAGTTGTTGTGATTGTGGCCTTGGTGACTTGGGAGGAGAAAGAATGTCGGTTGAAGAGCTTGATGTGGGAGTTAGGGATCGAGACTGGGTATTAGACGGAGGTGGGGCAGATTGTCGACGATCGGCGGTCTTTACTTGATTTTTCTTCTCAGAATAATCGCTTTCCACCACCATAGATTGTCGATACTTCTCATGTGGACGTGGAGGTGGCATAGGTGGAGTACCTCCCTGGCGAACGCTGTGATTTGATCTGTTTTTCCTAGGGGCTTCTTGTGGTTGTTCATTACCGCCTTCAAATCTTTTCAATAGTTCCTCTAGTTCTCCAATAGGCTTGCTCTTTGACCTCAAGCTATCCTCAGACTGGCTGCTAGCCATCACCATGTCATTGTCGTTTCGAGTGGGAGGACTTGATTTCATGGGTGAGCTAGTGGAGCTAACTGGTTTACGCCGAATGTCCATGCGTTTATTTGAACCGAATCCTGGAAGTTCTTTAGCCACCGTTGGTTGCTGTCTAACCGAGTTTGTTTGTATCTTGGCCAAGGTCTTTTTGGTCACCGTAGGAGCTCGATCCGGTCGCGGTGGCAAAGTCTTATTTACAGGGAGTTGAGGCTCAGGTATTTCCTCAACTTCTCTTCCTTTTCCATTATGCTGAACATACTTTTGTAGATAGTCCAAAGGGGCTGGATTTAACCAAACGGTTAGCTTTAAACTTCCATTGTATGCCATATCAATTCTAGCCAATTTACCTGGGACTTCCCTGCCAGTCGCTTTCTCAGATATGAATGTTTCAATCTCATCTTGTATCTTGCACTTGTCCAAACTTTGTCGTATGCTCTCATAGGTCTGATGTAGAAAAAACCAGTTTAGATGAGAAAAAAAAAAAAAAATGGCGAATATGACTAATTTATATATTACTTACATCGTCCTCGCTTAACAGATTGGCGGAGTATAGATTGGCATACTCCCACATCTTGAGTATCAACAGCTCAATGCGCTGTTCCTCTAAATCTTGCAAAACCTATAGGGACAGTTAATACTGACTGAAACGTTCGACATGTTAGCAGTAAACCCAGTACTTACAGTGCAACAGTCTCCCCATATGTCGTGTAACTCCTTCACAGACCCTTCAAAGTTCGCAATCGCAGATTGGTATTCTTGATCTACGTCAACAACGCATAAGTGCCTTGTGCAAGCCATGACGGTTGCGGAGAAAATGAACACTTACGTATTTCTCGTAGTCGTTCTTGCGCAAATCTTGACGCTCTACTGTTTCTATCTGCTCCTAGTCGTTTTTGCTCCGCTGTAAATCGATCGCCCGTCTGACAAAAACGCGTTATTCGACGTGGTCTAAACCAATTTGCCCGTCATATGCACCTTTTTTTCTTTTATACAGACAACACGTACCTCAACTATAACAGCAGCAAACCTATCGCGGGTATCGCAAAGTTCGTCAATTCGGTTTCGGCATTCACTGACAAGGTCGATATAATTTTGTGAAAAGTTTTGTAGAGGACCGGCAATATCGGACTCAATTTTACGAGCCAATTCCAAATGTGATTGTCCGTTGGTGGCCATCTCGTTGCTAAAGACATCCAATGCCCTTACTATGTCTCCAGTTTCTCCTTCGTCGCAGAGGACGGTACGTGAAATAACCGATAAATGATTGCTGTAGTCAGCTTCGACCTTGGCTCTGGAACGGTCATTAGTAGCAAGCCTAAGGTACTGCGTTCGGTATTGATCGGCTTTACCTTCCCATGTATATAGCATAGAGATTCTCACACGTTTGGTGGCCAGACTCCATACGACGGAATAGCGTATCGATGCCATTTAATTCCTTTCCCTATCATCAGCAATTTTGTACGTCAGCTCGGCATGCGGTACTTCTGGCGACGTAACTTTGTAGCTTACCCAGAAGCTGTCGACAAATGACAACGACGATTCGTTGTGCGTTGAATTTGGAGTCATTGCGGCGCAGAAAGGAAAAGAAATAAGTGAGGCCTAGCTACGTTTTTTTCTTTCTAAACGAACATGTTGTTATTATTTCCCTTGCCATATATGGTAATTTAAGCAACGACAATGAGAAAAAGGAAAATGAACACACTCTCACATTTCCACCATTTTGATATAATGACGACCGCTTTATATTTCAAGAATATGTACAAGATGTTTTTTTGGGAGAATGGCAAAAATAAAAAACGAAAGGCAAACATGCCCAAGTAGAGTGAGTTTAGTTATTACCGTCTGTTCCATCCGAGTTTTGTTGTTGTTGTTGTTGTTGCTGTTGTTGCTGCTGCTGCAACTGTTGCTGTTGAGCCATAGCGTACGCCGCTCTCTGTTGCTGAAGCTGCTGCAATTGTTGTTGGAGTTGTTGATTAGTCAATCCTGCTGGAAGTTGCCCGCGCCCGGCGCCTTGTTGTTGTTGTTGCTGCTGCTGTTGTTGTTGCTGTTGCAGAGCATTATTCTGCATAGCTTGGAGTGCTGCAAGCTGTTGGTGGGTCAAGGGCTGGGCAACGCCGCCACGACCGCGCCCACGCATAGCCGCAAGGTTACGCTGCAGCATAATCTGTTGCAGCATCTGGGCTTGTTGAGGATTGAGCTGTTGCCTAAGCTGACCAGAATTAAGCATAGCAGCCGCACTATTTGCACCGACACCTTGTTGCTGTTGGTTGATAGCTTGGCCTTGCATTCCAAGTTGTATGCCATTCGGTTGCTGCTGTGGCTGCTGCTGTTGTTGCTGCTGCTGCTGTTGAAGTTGTTGTTGCAATTGTTGTTGTTGCAATTGTTGCTGATGTTGTTGTTGTTGCTGCTGCTGTTGTTGCTGCTGCTGTTGCCCACCAGGTTGTTGCTGCTGTTGAGCAAGTTGCTGTTGAGCAGCCAGTTGTAACAATTGGGCTTGTTGTTGCTGCAGCTGCTGCAACTGTTGTTGAGACAGTAGACCTTGAGATGCTGCAAGTGCCAGCTGTCTGCGACGCAAAAGTGCTGCCACTTGCTGCTGGCTAAGTTGAGGCATTTGAGGGTTGACTGCAATAACAAAAACAAAGATTAGCTTCATGAATACCTTCATTCTAGAACCGAAACGTCACTCACTCGTTTGCCCAGCTCCAGCTTGTAAATTATTTTGAAACTGTATAGCATTTGGCTGAGGAGCGACAACATTGTGCTGCTGTTGCTGTTGAAGAAGAGGCTGCTGCATAGGCTGCTGCTGCTGCTGCTGCTGAGGCTGTTGTTGTTGCTGCTGTTGTGGTTGTTGCTGCTGCTGTTGTGGTGTTGGCTGACCTGGCTGTTGTTGTTGTTGTTGTTGTTGTTGTTGCTGCTGAAGCCCTCTAGCTGCCAGCTGGCTAATGAGATTCTGAGCAGTGCTTCTCGGTATGGCACCTGATTGAAATAGCTGTTGAATTCTTGCTGCTGTGATTTGCTGTCCTACTTGGCCGGCAGGTGGACGAGCGTTTTGAGCATTTGCAGCCATGGCTTGCATGTTGAACTGCGCACTTGGTGATGGCATAGTTCCATTAGGTAAGACAAGTGGAGAGCCTGCATTCATATTGGATTGTCCTAGTTGGCCTATGGAAGTAGGTGACATTCCAGCAGAAACAGTAGCCATATTTTGCATCTGGGGGGTTGCTACTTGTTGAGTTTGTGGACCTTGTTGCTGCTGCTGTGAACCGTCATTTGCCGCGTTATCAATGGTAGCATTAGGATTGTTATTAGCAGCACCAGCGTTAGCTTGTCTTAATTGGGCCTGAGCCTGTAGCTGTGCCCTGGCATATGCTAATGCTTGAGCCTGCGCCAATTGAGCTCGTTGCTGTGGATTCAAGTTGGCTCGTGGGTTGATATTGAGTCTGTTAGCTTGACCAGCCGCGAGCTGTTGAGCTGCTTGGTTTGCCATTGGCAATTGAGCTTGCTGTTGTTGTTGCTGCTGTTGTGGCTGTTGCTGAGCTTGCTGCTGCTGTTGAACCTGGGGTTGTTGCATTTGCTGTTGCTGTGCTTGTGGCTGGGCTGGTTGCTGTTGTGGTACTTGGGGTGATCCAGCGGTCTGGATTTGGGTATTGAGCTGCTGTTGTTGTGCAGTAATAGCAGCGATACGCGAGGCCATATTATTCATTTGGTGATTGACCGTGAACGCGTTAGTATCAGATAGCAATTGGTTGTCGACAGAGAAAAAGTTTTTAAAGTGAATTATGTATGTCTCCATCAAATAAGAAGGACCGATCTGAAAGCTAAAATAAGGAAAGCAAAATTTGTAGATTGTGAATAAAATGGTGATATCGTTTGTAAGAGTACCGAGCAAGAAGAAACGTACTCTATATTGCCACCGTCAATGGAAGTACCAGCAGTAGTGCCCCATCTCAAGATACCAGAATAGACCTGATTTTGCTCGTATATGTTGACAGACGTGTATACCTTGCCTGTCGTTCACAATTGGTTATAGTTTTTGTCTATAAACATCCATACTTCAGGAAAAACTGTACTTACGATGCCCTTCAGATCGTTCGAAACGAATAGTGCGTATACACCGGCGTCCATCCGATAAAGTCGGTACATCCTGTGGACCTTTCTTGACTTTGTTCTTGCGGTCGTCCACAGTCGCCATAGGTTCGGCATCCATTTTTCGTTTCTTCGACATCCATTCTTGTAAAAATGAGATATTTCCAAAACGTGGCTCGAATGGATATGGACGTTTTGCACGCTGAAATCAGTAGTAAAACCCGTGAGTGAGAAAATAAATGAAATAGCATTCTGACCGATACCAACCTCATCCATCATTGCCATAAGAGTAGCATTCTCAGCTTTGCGTTCTTTACGGGCTGCAAGCTCATAAGAGTTGAGTTTTCGCTTCTTCTTCCTCTTTTTGTCACGTTGCGCGTATTGGATAGCGTTTGCAACTCGCGTTACTTGAAAACTTGGATCCAGGCAGAGCGGTTCTTCATTGAGTAGCTATTGGAAGGTGAGTAACGTTAGTAAAATACGTGGTCACCAGATACGATATAAACATGTACATACCAATAGTTTGGACTCTACATCCAAGGCTTCGCTTTCTGTCATATTAATGTTGGACTCTTCATTCAAAAGACAGATATCGTTCCATATGGATTGAGCATCTGGCTTCATCTCAATTCTCTTAACAGTAGGTGTATTGGGATCGAATACCGGTTCACCCTCATTAGCGTCTGTATTCTCCTTTGTAGCTTCGGTAGCATTACTGTCAACCCTAGGTTTGCGGTGATCTACTACTTCTATGACAATGACGCCGTTGTGAAAGGTACATCCAGCAGAATCAAAGACGTCAGTTAGATCAGGCGGAAGCCGTCTTTCCTTTACGTATTTGAGGAACTCCTGTATGCAAGGTTAATAACTATCGCGGTGAAAGCAAGTTGGGAAAATTGAACGGGCATAGAATATTACCTTGAACTGGCTCTTGTAAGAGAAGAAAGCACCGTTGTTTTCGAATTTAAAGTACGTTGAGTATAAGTGTATTTTTAAAGAGGGAGCAGGTTCTCCGTTAGTGTTCTTGTCAGTATCTTTTGTTACCGTCTACATAGCAATCGGAAGTCAATAACATTAGGACAGATTCAGGAAATGCAAGTTACACGTTGGTTTACGGGAATTGGCCAATGGCCGAACGATCAGTACCTGTGAAGGTTTTCCAGTGGGTATTTGAAGGCGCGCAAGTTGAGATGCTCGTTTTGTGTGCGCTGAAGCCATTGCAGCCATGGCGGCTTGATTTGCTTGCATCATGGCCAATTTATGACCTGCTGATGGGTTTAATTTTTGAGATGTTGTTGTTTGAGAATTTTTCTTTTGCAGCAGAGACATGGTGATATCGGGTTGCTTATTAGTCGTTGCTTGCATTGTTGTCGTGGAAATCTATAGCATGTTCTAGTGAATTTAGGGACGACGATGGGGTATTCGACCGAGAAAAGTTCCAGTTCAGCGAGTTTCAATAATACGATCTGAAAAAGCCGAGCGGACTTTTCTTCTTTGGCTCTGTTAAGATCTTGTGCCTTGAAAATGGTCTGTGAGATTCACCACGCGCTAAATTAAATGCTTGGAGAACGGTTATGCTTGCTTTATTGTTGTTGATCGCACAATTTAGGAATTGTTAATTAAACAAGTAGAAAGGAAGTATAAAAAAAACAACAATGTGAGAAATACACGAAAGAGATGCAAGGAGCGGTACGATTTATGAAGGAAGGGAACCAAAGAGAGAGAGAGAGAGTGGAGAGAGCGAGTGCACGCACGACATAAATGTGGGGGTATCTGCAATTATTTTTTAGGGTCGTACTTGCTCTTAAAGATCCATGAATTACCCATGATACCATGACCTTGTTTGGCTGCTTTGCGATAGTATTTGGCTGCCTTGTGTAGGTCTTTCTTTACACCTTGACCGTGGTAATAACAGTGTCCGAGATCATTTTGCGCATCGGGGTCGCCGAGGTCAGCGGCAATCTTGAAAAAATAAACGGCAGAGGTCTTGTCTTTTGCACACTAGTAAAATGAATAGAAAATTTTCAACACTGGGGAGACGACGCCATCAAAGTAGAAAACAGAAAAAGGTACTTACACCCCATCCGTGTCGAAACGAAACACCCAATTCATAAATAGCCATCACCAGTTCACCTCTAGCGGCTGACATGTTGACGGTGGAAGACAAGTTGTTCAAATCCAATACAGCGCTTTCGGCAGCCTTTTGTAGATACTGGAATGCAACCTTTTCGTTCTTCTTGCAGCCCCATCCGTGTCGGAGGGAAACACCAAATAAGAACATACCAAGAGGTGAACCTTGTTCAGCAGCTAACCTGAAATTATCAGCAGCTTTTTCTAATTGACCAGCTTCATGGAATTTGATACCAGCATGGACAAGATTCTCGGCAGGGTTACTAGCCACGACAGATTCCTTCTTCTTTGACGAAGTCTTCTTCTTGTCTACCGCACCACCTGTTGGAGTAGACTTAGATGGTGACATAACCGGGAAGGGGCTTGGTGGTAAAGAAGTTTGCCCAAGAGGAGAAGAACCAGCTGTACTAGGAGACGGCTGTGGTGAAGGTGCCATATGGTGCATGTTGGATCGAGATCGTGGTGATGAGCCAGCTGTATTGGGTGTAGGTATCATGTGTCTAGAGGAATCATTATAAAGAGAGCTGGTGCGTGGTGAAGTAGCTTGCCAAGGAGAATCAGGAGTGGAGATGGATCTGACCGGCGACGGGGGAATCACAAGAGGTGGAAGTGGCTGTGGATGGCGGCTAGCGGCAGAAGGACGCGGGTTGGGCGTGAGCTGGTTGTCTTGATCATCATAGTAACTCTGTTGAGTATCAAATACAGCTTTAGAAGGACTTGGTACAGGAACAAAACTATGATGAACGACAGCTTGATGATGATGATTTTGTTGAACAACCGGTGGCATTGGTGGGGTAAGAGCACGTATATGAGGGTCCACCATCTCACTTTCATTAAAGTATTCGCCTCTAGATGCTAAATCCAGTGGTGATGAAGGAGCTTTTGCGTGATGATAGCCATACATATCCGTAGCAGCGGGATCCAAGTAATGGTAGTCACTATATATACTAATGCTCATGGGTTGAACAACAGTCTCTCTAAGGCGGGACATATTTGGCTCTGCAAAGGAAAAAAAAAAAAAGGTTGGACAAATAAATACCTTAATGACCAGGCCCAAGCTATTATACATCATAAGACTTATGGATTCGGCCCACTACAACTTACCAATATAAGTATCTCTAGGCACGGCGGCTTCAAAAGCCTCATACTCCACCGAAGCTGAATCCGGATCAATGAGTGATTCTCTTGCAGCATAAGTCTCATATGGAGAAGAGTATCGGGGGGAGTTGTATTCAACGGAAGGGATGCTGTCAACGGGAGAGGGTGCAGATCGGTTCTAACAAGATTATAAAACAGATTAACACAGAGATCGATAGGGTGATTGACAACGTGAAAGAGGGGGTACCTGTGACGATAAGTGCCGCTCTAAAAGACGTTGGCGGTATTCCTGAGACATCTGTGTATAAAATTGACTTTGATGAGTGTGCCTGAACATTGCTTATTTTGGCAGATAGCACGCGACTAAACATACTTGATAACCGTTCATAGGGTAACCTGGCGATTGAGGAGGAAGCATGCTATGCAACAAATCAGTTAAAAATGCTGCACATAATTCAAGGTTCTCGAGTTATCATACACACCGAGAGTTTGGGGTTGGCTTGGGAATAGTGGAATCATCTCCAGATGGCTGGCGGTCATTTCGAGTTTGCAGCTTTTTGAACATGGTGAAACTTCAACCAAATAGGCGTTAGTTGGTGATTGACAAGAAGTCCACCGAGACGGAATGAATGGAGAATGAAAAAGGAATGGAAAGGGGGAAAAGCGCTTTTGACAACCAAACGATACCCAAGGGAAGTAGAGGAGGAAAAAAAAAGAAAAGAAAATTTATGGAGGGTGGGTCATAGGTTTGTACTGCCATCCGTGTAACCTTCAATTCAATGTGGCCTTCGAAAGGAATGAAATCAGATCCGACATATCAGCCCTCTCATTCAGTACGAAACGTAAAGACTTTTGAAGTGAAATTGGTGTACTGGAAGCTACACAGACAGGATGGTTTGCAAGAATATTGGTTTGCCACCTCAAGTAAGAGATCACTTTAAAGTCGCCTTGCTGATCTTGCAGAGGATCCGCATTAGAATATAAAAATAGATATGTCTGGACTTGAACTCGTCAACTCTCCACCTTTTTTTGAAAGCTCTAACGAGGCTATTTTGCGATAAATCAGCCGGCAGTGAAAAGAGAGCACACATATGTGGCCATCGTGGCCACTAAAAGATACTCAACTGTTCAGTGAATGAATTCACTTACAGTGATCCAATGTCTTATCCATTTAGTATCATGCCTTAGAGAAATGAAAGGTTTGAACGAAAATTTCGAATACAGCAAATACAACATTGATTTTCAATGCAAGCACTTCCTTTCGTTATATCGTCTCGTGTATAACGATGGCTATGCTGATCATAATCAAGGTTTTGATTGGAAATAACTGTTTGATTTCAATTTGTCCATTTTATTGCCATGGACGATGCTGACCTTTAAGAGTTATTATTGAGGCGAGAGCCCAAAATAGAACATGGATGCGCGACAGTATACTTTAATTTACTTTGATGAACCTGACTCAAGCTGCGTTTGATTCGCTCAAACTCTTTCTGAAAAGAACTTGGAGAAGCATGGTCTGAACAGTATAAGACATATTAAGTATATAGCTCAGTGCGCTATAGTCAAAGCGTTTCTTCGCGAAAGCATGAAGTATAATTTCCGGTATCGAATAAGAGCAGCCACCCTCTACACTTTAAGGCAAAAGGCTAATTATCTATATGCACACGACAGAACTAGAAGCTTATAATGCACATTATTCAACCAAAATAAAGCCCCAAGTGTAATTCGATAAATTAAATGGTATTTCTTCTTTTTAACGCGTAGCATGTTTCTATGGTTATACGGTTTGCTCGATAGTTGAAAGAATCTTTAGAATCAAACCTCAGTGACTTTTGATGTGCAGGACACTACTGCTTGCATTTACCTCACCGACAGTTGAAGTTTAGTTCATCGAATCAAACGGTTTTTGGCGTTTTCTCGAGCGATTGCTACTTTTGTAAAGGCGTCTTACTTCATAAACAAGCCGTAAGACTCTTCGTTGTCCATTTGCAACTCAGGCAGCGCAGCCTTTGTCAACGTTTACCAATCTTTTCTCCAACTCCTCTATATTTTACTCATAATTCTATCTCATAAGTTTTTCCAAAATGACTTCGTATACACATGATCAAAAGGATTTGGAGCTGATGAAGATGGCCATCACACAAGCCAATATCTCCGAACCTGTGGAATCAGCATACTGCGTAGGTGCCGTCTTAGTGGCAGCTACTGGTGAAATTCTCTCTACGGGTTTTTCGCGCGAATTGCCTGGCAACACTCATGCCGAGCAATGCGCGCTCGACAAACTGCCTGATATCGGTTTGATCGAGAACGGAATATGTTATACCACTATGGAACCCTGTTCAACACGTTTATCTGGGAACAAACCCTGCGTAGAACGGCTCATTGCAGCCAAGGTGAAAAAGGTTGTTATGGGTATCAAAGAGCCTCCCAACTTCGTCGAATGCAGCGGAGTGGATTTACTTCGCCAAGCGGGTATTGAGGTGTTGGTCGTTCCAGGCGTTGAAGAAGAATGCCTAAAGCCAAACCAACACATTTTACAAACGAAATAAAATGAAATGTATTCTGCCTGACGAAGAAAAGCAAACTAATGTTGACTATATTCTCTGGTCGTAATTGTGAATAGCATGTTGAAATGAGCCTTTTAATTTTTATTTGTTAAATTCCTATCTACAGGAGGCTCGATGACCGGGTACCGGATAAAGAAAGATATAAAATTCCATATTACTATTACTACAAGACGGTGGTTACCATATCAAGAGACCGGTAGAGATGGGTTATCCACGTTTAAACGATGGAGCATTTAAACAGAGTTGGAGGGGTAAGCAAAGCCATCAATCTCAACAAAGTTCTCCTTGACAGAGCGGGCAGAGACAAAGCGAAGAAGCAATGACCAGCTACCAGCCTTGTCGTTAGTACCAGATCCTCTAGCACCACCAACTGTAAAAAGCAAAATAAGGAATGATGAGTGACTCATGTATGGGACCAGAAAAAAATTATGGATTTTTGAACCCATCTGGTTGATGTTAAAAACTTACATGGTTGTTGACCGACGACGGCACCAGTACACTTGTCGTTGATGTAGAAGTTACCTGCAGTGTTACGGAGAAGGTTGCTGCCAGCAACAATTGCTTCACGATCCTTAGCGAACAATGCACCAGTCAAGGCATATTGTGTAGTATCGCTGACCATCTTGCAGGTGGCCTCGAAATCAGCATCTTCATAGACATACAAAGTGACAACGGGACCGAAGATTTCCTCCTTCAAAGTCTTGGCATCCTTATCCTTGGTGACGATGACAGTAGGCTGGATGAAGTAACCTTCAGAATCATCGCACTTACCACCAGCAATGACTTCGCAGTCATCGTTGGAAATAGCGTGATCAATGAATCCCTTGATCTTGTCGAAGGCAAATTTGTTGATAACAGGGCCCATGAAGTTTTCCCACTTGTGGATAGGACCTTGCTTGATCTTGGCATGCTCTTCAACAAGAACCTTCTTGAAGTCAGCGAACAAGGACTCTGGGACGTAGACGCGAGAGCAGGCAGAGCACTTTTGACCTTGGTATTCAAAGGCACCACGAATGGTCTGGAGAGCAGCTTGACGAACACCATCGGCATCCAAGCTCTTGTGCAAGACATGGTAGTTCTTACCACCAGTTTCACCAACAATACGAGGATAGCTCTTGTAGTTGTCGATGTTGTTACCAATTTGCTTCCACAACTTGCGGAAAACGTGGGTAGAGCCAGTGAAATGCAGTGAGGCAAATTCTGGGTGAGCCAAGACGACGTCACAGATTTCTTCAGCTGGGCCAGGAACGAACTGAATAACACCAGCAGGGAGACCAGCCTCTTCCAAAATCTGATAGACAATGTAGTTGGAGTAGACAGCTCCAGGAGAGGGCTTCCACAGAACAACATTACCCATCAATGCGGGAGCACCTGCCAAGTTGCCACCGATGGCAGTGAAGTTGAAAGGTGAGACAGCGAAAACGAAACCTTCCTAGAGAATTCAACCAAGGCATGTTAGATTATGATGGAGTTCTGGGGCGGAAATGGAGGGGACCTATCTTACCAAAGCACGGTATTCGCTACGGTTCCAGACACCAGGAGAGTTCTTGGGGGGTTGTTGCTGATACATTTCTTCGGCATACTTTGCACCAAATCGGAAGAAATCGCACAATTCAGCGGCAGCATCAATCTCAGCTTGCCATGCGTTCTTTCCTTGACCAAGCATGGTAGCAGCCATCAACTTGTATCTGAATAAGATAAGATAGAGAATTACAAGGGTTAGAGGAGTTTGAAAAATCTTAGCGGTCAAGTCGGTCCACTTTGAGTTTTTGGCGGGGAATACCGGGCGAGGCGTTTCTTCCGTACCTGTATTTTGTAGCAATCAAATCAGCGGCCTTGAGGAAGACAGCAGCACGATCGTTGAAGGGCATAGCTTCCCAACGAGCCTTAGCTTCCAAGGCACCATCAATAGCCTAAAGGGGGAAAGTGCGCCAATAGGAATGAGTATTTATCGACTTAGCGCATCATATGGGCATCCTGCCCCCCCTTACTCAAATCGAGTATCGGAAAAGAATCTTACCTTCTTAATCAAAGAAGCATCGGCTTCATGGTATGTGCATACAGTAGTCTTGTGCTCGGAGGGGTTGATTTGCTTGCCGGTTTGGCCAGTCTTGATCTGCAAGTCATGCGTACAAAAGAGGTTTAGCGGGTGGTCCGAACCAGCGGGATGAGCGGCCTTATCATAGACGAGAAATGTACCTTTTCACCGTTGATAACAACAGGAATTTCAACAGGGCCGGCAGCACGCATGTCAGCAACGGCCTTCTCAAGCTTAGGTCTCTCCTCAGAGCCAACAGCATAGGATTTCTAAGCGCGTCAAAGTGTGAGAAACTAAGGGATGGTGTGACGCGTAACAAAAAATGAGACCCTTACCATAGGTTCATTGTCAATAGCTGGCAACTTGAAGTGTGCAAGAGATGGAGTGTGCAAGACGTGAGCCATTATAGATTTTATTTACTTGTAAGAAGAGAGTACTTCGTTGAACGCCGAAAATAGTGGAGGTTATTGCATTTTATATTTTTTTTAGCCAGGCAAGCTTTGTGACGGGGAAAACATTTGAACCAATCCGAATGGGCGGAGTTCAGCTGTCAAAAACAGAATTCTCACGATGGAACACAACATGCTGGCCCATTCCGTTGCTTTCAGTCCCAGTTTTCTTTGAACCTGACACAAACCTCTTTCTTATCGAGACATCTCGTCATGTTCTTCATGGTGATATAAGTACATTCAAGTGTTTATAACAGCACTCACTTTTGGCGTGCCCTGAATTTCATGCCAGCACATTTATACCGCGCTGCTTACAATTTGTGTTCGCCGCTGGAGGATCTTCTTTCAAATTGCCATCCAGCCAGCCACCGCCCAGAAAATAAAAGTGGATGTGAACCGTTTTCTAAACGCTTTGCTCCACATGGCTAGCGCTGCCAACCATAAGACACGGTGACCATCAGCAGTCACTTACCATGCAATCTTCCTTTTCGCTCTGGACCCTATGACTTGAGGGCCCATAAAAGCTGTATGCGACGTGCCGTTTTCTATGTTGTCCCCATCATGGTTCTCTCTCTTTTCCCTCTAACTACCATCATCCGCTTCTTTAATAACATTTGATCGTCCCTGGCAGCGTAGCACGAAGTCTAGATCTCCTTCTGACTCCAAGATCTAACGCAAATGGGGAAATACGGTTCAAATAGCGAGAAATCCAAATACAGATACGATAAAGTTTAGAGGCTTGATTGGAAATTACCAACTCTTTTATTTTATAATATTATTCAATGCTAAGTGAAGATCGTTTTTTGGGTTTGTACACGGTTATTGTTCTTTACTTCCCTGGTGGCTTCCGAGACGAAGAGAGCACTTATTCGTCATCAACAACGTTGGTTTCCAGACCTAGATCATGAGCAAGGTCTTAGTCTCAAGTTTGAGTGCGCGTCACAGATAGGAATGGGTTCAATTTTCAAATGAAAAAAGAAACCGCAATTCCAACCTCGGGCGGGTAAAGGCAGCTGGAAGTCAGCGACGGAACAAGTGTACATGTAAATGTGTGCTACGGAAACAGAGTTCCGACAGCAACACAAGAACATATATCACATTGTACCTGGTGCTTTCTACACAGCGAGCCTGTAGGATAGTACAGCAAAAAATGACAGAAATTTGGCCTTACCTTTGAATGATGCGACAGGGACATAGGACACGTGGGAGTAAAGCTTTTCCTTGGCGTCCTCATCGTCATTTCTACGTCTTGAGATTCGAACACGGATGCGGAATGGTACATTCTTGATTCCGTGGGACCAGATAGCCTTGTTCACATTGACGTCAAGACGAACATCTTTGGTTCCCATCTGCTTGCTAGCGAATTCTCTGATGGACTTGATGGCACGAGGAGCTCTCTTCTTGAAGCCCATTCCATGGACGCGCTTGTGCAGATGAATGGTATATTCTCTTGTAACAACATCAGCAAGAGTAGAACGCTTGTTTTGCTTGGTAGTGCTGCTTCTGGCCATTATAGATAGATAGATGGATGGATGGATGGGTAGAAAGTCTAAAGAGGGAATGGATGGATGTTTTGGCAACGTTAAATTTGGCAGCTATTCAAAAAGGCAGGGAAATTTTCAGCAGTTTAGCAGTCCCATGCTCAGTTTCAGCTCAGTTTCCAGCACACCTGCCCAGGGACCAACGCAAAAATGTAACAGTTGCTTTGTTATTACAACAAAATAAGTCTACTCATTATCCATTTCTAAATCCGCTAATCTACGTCCTAGAACATCTTTCAGCTCGTAAACCATTTTCTGTGAATCAGCTTTGTCTTCCTTTGCCCTAGCATCCACTTCTCTTTGTTCTTTAGCCTGAGCGATCCTTTGGGCTCGACTGAGTTTGCTCCGAGCTTTCTCGGTGTTGACCAATTCCGCTACTGTTTCGAACACTTGCGCTCGAGAAGCGTGAGGTAGATCAAACTGCTCTTCAGACCCTATGACGGGGCCACCAAGCTTGCCTTCATCAGTCTTCCTTTCCAGTATCTCTAATTCTTTCAAAGGTCTTTCATCGGTTTTCTCTGCTGCTTCACTTTGGGTATCTATTGGCTGTAACATCAGTCGCAGCGCTTCCTGTCCTTGCTGCCACTCTTTCATCATCAATTCGAAATCTTGTGACATGGACATAAATTGTTGAGTGAGTTGAGCATTACGATCACCACTATCATCTATCGAAAATAGAACACTCAGTACGATGTGACCTGCGGAGCAATGTACCTTTCAGATAGTCTACAAACCTTTCTCAAACTTTTGTGCATCCTCGTGGCAAAGATACATCTTCGCTTGCAGCGTCCGAAGTTGCTGTTGCAAACTGGACAATCTCTGGATGAAGACATCGGCGTCCCCTTGCTGCTTAGTCACCTTGCTTGTCTGATTAGTTTCCTCTGAATCACCCGAATCTGTCATTTCAAAAATTACATTTTAGCTATACAGCCTTTGTAAACCACGGACTGCATTTATCGTCGTTGGATGACCAACCCATGCATGCAATATCACTGCGATACTTACAAAGCATGTCATTCAGAATGTCCGTGCTCTCCAAAGCTATGTTCTCAACTTCCTGTGCTAAATGACTGATCTCTTTCTGGACTTGAATCCATTCTTGGCGATACACGCTATCTGAGGGTGATTTGCCCATATTGAGGATTCGAAGGGCGAGTATTTGTATCAAAAATTCTCGACGTCGAATATGCATAGCCAAACATGTCTGCTTGAGAAACTCCAGGGAGAGTTTGCTTGCATCTTCCACTTGCATCATTGATATCTCTGGCCCTGACTGTGAACTTGGATCCAACTGAGGATGAGCGTTGTATAGGTCATAAAGATGTAACATGGTAGATGTGTCCACGATTGGCGCCACATTCGCAATACTACAATTAAATTTGAAGATGGCTCGGTTCAATAATATGTACAATTTCTTTCTTGCTTCTTGACAACGCCGGTGCTTTGAATTTTGCTCAATTCGGCTGATGGGTGCGAGAGGTGTGGTGATTCGATAGCCGCGAGAGACAAGCTCAATTTCTTGTATCATATTCAGAACTCTATTTATCCGAGAATCCAGCACGCGACATTGCTTGATCAGATGTGATAGGCTTTTGAGCGTTATGGCATGACATTGCCGAAGTGATTGTCTCTTCTACAAAGTCAGGTACCGGTGAAAATGTCAGGTGCTGATACATCATTGCCAAACGTCACCCCATTGTATGCTGTGATCCTTACCATATTTCTATAAATCATAAATGTGGCAGCTGCTGACAGAGATGAGGTAATTGTTGTGTGCAGAGTTCGACGCATGTTGGGTAAGTGGTTTGCAAATGTTCGATTCGCTCCTACCATGACCAAGACACCGAATCCGTAGGCTGCAGCGTTCCAGCGCTCGACATGCTCGGACATACTGGATGTGGAAGGCTCATTCATTCTTATAACCGACTTGGATCTCACAGATACATTGTCGTTGAGTAGAGATGATGTGACAATAAGGTACTTAAATTCTTCGGTGAAGGCTATTTCTGCTGCTCTCGGTAACCGGGTTGATATAAAATCCTAGAAGCCATATGTTACACTTTTATGTTATATGTGTATTCAATTATCCAATGTGGCTTGCTTACCTTGATCAGCGAGTGACTATCCCAATAGTCATTTGCTAATGTGCGAATCTTGTCATACATGGTGGTAGGAGTGCCTGTTGATACCGAGGCTACCATGTCTTCAGAGACATCTATCTCTATAAGACACAACTTGCTGGTCACATAAACAGTACTCAAGAGGTATTTCTCAACGTTTATTACCTTGTAGATACTCGGCGAAGGGAGAATCTTCATATACTACGAAGTCGTGCATGCAATTCGAAGTAAGTCAGTCAGTGTCACAAGAATAATGAAAACGGGGACGTTTTGACCTTGATCGGAGTTTCGATAATGCCAATTGGTGTGAAGACAGGAGGCTACAAAGAAACAGAACATAGTCATACTATCGCGTTTTAGTAGATGTACAATGTTATAGCCATAAATTAAGCGATTAGATTGTCATATGTAGTATACAGTTTCAGAACATATGTGTCCAAAGCACAAACTACGACTTTGTTATATTCCACATGGATACTTCAACGCCTGCTGCCATGTGTTACTCCTGCGAGAAGTGCTTCCGATTTCCGTCTCTGCTAGCAAGACCGTGTAATGTTGCATGGTATCCACTCGTTAATGGATATACCTCGTGGACCATAGCCATCCAGAGCTTTTTTGTCCTCATTACTGGGATTACATTCATGTTGGTTTCCACGTGAAGCAAAATAAGCACTACAGTTAGGTGATGTGATTTTATTCCGAATATTATAAAATAATAAAAAAACTCGTAGTACTCTGTGAATCTATTTTTATTACTGGTGGATCATGTTCGGACGAACCTCCGGAGGTGCCTGTCAATCAACCGGTTCTAAGAGTAAAAATCAGAAGTCACGCACACACGTTATCTATCTCGCTTTCCGATCTTGTTGATCCTAACGTCTAGCATGTCGGCATTCTTTTACGGGACTTTGCAATCCGAAACTGTCCTTTTACGTGGTATGTACTATGATGTTTAAATAGCTTTCCATTGATTGAATTGGCTGTTCTAAAGCTCTTTCCAGTGTTATGTGGGGCGGACGTTCCCAACGAAACATTGGCTTCGAAGCTATCGACCCTCAAGCTTCGGCCAGCTGTTCTCAAGGTATGAATATCTAGTTGGCGCAATATGGATATATGTGCAACTCATTGCTAGCATTCAGTATGACGATACTGATGCATTTTTACGATAACGTAGGGCTATAGACGCCATGCACTAAAAGGCTTGGATTATCCTGGGGTGGTCAAGTCCGTGAGTGCCGAAAGTTCCGTTCTTGGATTACTGTGCGAAGGTCTTAATCGTCACGATATATTGAGATTGGATGCATTCGAAGGCGATGTGAGTTTGTTTACAATTAGATTAAGATGTTTTTGTTATCAACCTATACATTGACCATTTTTTGGGGGTAGGAATACGATCGTGTTACTGTTACCGTGTCTACAATTGGAACAACAGAGTATCCAGCAATTGAGACCAATATACCAACACAACTGTACCTATGGACGGCCGGTACCGAACACTTAGAAGATAGAGAATGGGAATTAGAAAAGTTTATTCAAGGTGCCCAAGTCGAATGGATGTCAGATCGATGTGAATTCAAAATGGTAGATCAATTGGTATGAGCGTCTAAATTTCGATCTTTAGCACCATTGGACATTGTTTATTTCTATCTATCTATGAATAGCCGACTATTCTGCTTCATTCTATGTATAAAATATGTCGCTCTTTTGCTTCGTTTACAACCTTTTTTGCGATGGCGTCTGTGGGCGGGTCGATAGGAGCAACAATTACATTTTCCGTGCGCTGGTCTGGCTCTTCCAAAGTATTTAATTGAGAATTCAGCATTCCCGCCAACATGAAATGATTGTGTCGTGCGGCCATGCGGGCTTGCAAAAGTTCGGGAGATCCCTTAAGATACACAAATGTGACTGACACCTTCGTTGCATTGACTTTGGACAACAGCTCTCTGTAGGATCTTCGCAAAGAAGAGCACGTTACCATTACAGCTCTTTTTGGTGACTTTTCATCAACATCTGGGTTATCATAGAGCGCTTCTGCTCGCTCGGAGAAGGCATCCCGGATAATATTTAACCATGGCCATCTATCATCATCCACCAAAGGAATACCTAAAGAACGATAGTCACTGGCGAGTTAGTTACAGTAACGCATCCGTTGATCGCATGAACCCTCTTTTCTCGACAGAAGATCTTCAACGTCTTTGCCAACTGTCATCCCTCGCCTGTCCTTACCTTTTGACATTTTGTCAATGTTAGCCTTGGGATGCAATTCATCGCCCTCAAGGACTTCGCATCCGAGAATCTTTTGACATGCGGCAGCAACGCTAGACTTTCCGCAGCCTGAAGTTCCCATAAATATAAATACTGGTACCGGTGGTTTGTGATAGTTGGCAGTCATTGTGAAGAAGGTAAAGAGGCTATCGGATCCATATTCCTGTTGGGGAGAAACTTGTTTGCTGAGATCAAAATGACATGTCCATAAAGTTTGACTTGTTGTCCGGTAACTGACTGCAAGCGGGGTAAGGTGAGTTTTCCGCCAAATTTCACTATCTCCGTAAATGCGTGGACATTGGGGTAATATATTGTCTCCAAAGAAAACGCTAATACCAGCATACTTTCTATCATAAATTTATTGATGATGCAGGAAAAAAGCAGGCACAAGGGGTTAAGCAAATTACTACTGCCAATTGCTCACTATGGCGCGCCGATGAAATACGGAACATCAGGTAAGGGGCGACAGGGATGGGCTGCTGCCTTAAGTATGGTCATATTGGAACACGTACATCTTTTTCGTCTTTTCTAGATTTCATTATTGTTCACTGACAAATGGCAGTATTGGAATTTCTTCGTCAACGCCACGTCCAAGGCTTGAAGGTGGCCCAAACGCGAGAGCTGGTCGATAAAATGTCTCGTGACAACGAAGAACCCAAACAGTCCGACGACGTGAACGAAAAGCTCCAGCCAACTCACGCCGTTAACCTTGCCACCCTGGCGCAAGCAGGCACATATATGCCCTTTCAAAGATTCTACGACCTTTCTGCCACACTATTGATCACAGCCCTATCAGCAGTCGTACGCATGTATCGCATTGATTATCCACCACAAGTTGTGTAAGTAACGTTGCTTTCATGCAGCAACAGACAAAAATCTGCGCTTCTTCCGCCAGACTTAATGTATTAAGATAGCTTTGACGAAACCCATTTTGGAAAGTTTGCTGCCAAGTATTTAAATGGTACATTCTTCTTCGACGTACATCCACCGGTGGGTATGACTGATCCGCACAACACCATATTTGAAATCATTCGTTGACAATTTGAATTCAAAGCTTGCCAAAATGATGATAGCTGGAGCTAGTCATGTAGCTGGATTTGATGGAGCTTTCGAGTTTACAAACATTGGAGAGTAGGTTATATAATTTATGGGGTTTGATATGGGCTACAACTGACAATGTTCAATTAGTGAATACGAAGGAAAAGTGCCGCATGTTCCTATCCGGTTGTTCTGCGCAACTTTTGGTGTGCTGACTATACCCATAGCTTATTTGACAATTCGTGCTGCTGGATTTTCGAAACTGGCCGGTCTTATGGCGGCTATCATTGTATGCTTTGGTAGGCTTGACTTTCTTTGTCATGGCGATAAAAACGTATCCTCACATTAGCACACTGCGTCTTACTGATCATCATCAATAGAAAATGGATTTGTCACAAATCATCGACTTATACTTCTTGATGCCCCTCTCCTGTTTTTCACGGCTTCCACCGCTCTTTGTTGGTTAAATTTCCAGAACCAAAACCATAGGTATTGCATCATCTGAAGATCATGTAGCTTTCTTATAGGCTTTATTGACGTGGTAATCAACAGGAAGCCATATGGTTTTTGGTGGTGGTTTTGGCAAATAGGTACTGGCGCTTCTCTCGGCGCTGTGGCTAGCATAAAATGGGTCGGTCTCTTTACCATCGCCACTATTGGTCTACAAGTCATTGAAGAGCTATGGTTAATGCTCTGTGATAGAACTGTAACACCCGTAAGTTGAGTGCTGTTTACTCGCCTTTTTTCGTTTTATTCCTTGAGTTCTTACACACAGTTTCAGATGAAATTTCTAAAGGGGTTTGCTTCTCGAGCACTCTGCCTCATCGCTATTCCAATCGCCCTATACCTTGCTTGCTTCTGGGTTCATTTCAATATCTTGCCTCGATCAGGCGATGGAGAGTTCATGATGAGTGCTGCTTTTCGGTACAGTTTGAAAGGAAGTGCCCTCAAAAGCTCGTATGCAGGTATGTGTAGTGCATACTGATTCCAAAAGTTTATAGTAAATGGGCTCTGCCCCGTAACATTTAATGTCAGATGTTAGCTACGGTTCCAAACTCAACATTAGGCAAAACAGGGAAAGTGGTGGCTATCTGCATTCCCATCCATTATTCTATCCTGTTGGAAGTCTACGTAAGCTTCAATCATATTTTGTTTCCGGAGAGCCAATGCCTACATACGCTAATATATGTTATTACGTTTTCAGAACAACAAGTAACCGTATATGCGCACAACGACTACCACAATGACTGGATAATGATCCCTGAGCATGGCACGGAAATACCGGATCCTGAAAAAATCACGGAGCCGCTAACATGGGTAAAACATGGAGATGTTGTACGGCTACTTCACCCTGTTACCAATACTTATCTGTACAGTAAAAACATCAAGGCTCCAGTAACGCAATCCGACTACCACTTTGAAGTTAGGTACGATTCATATATCAGCAGGCATGAGACTAGTTTAGAGGGAAAAAACTAACGAAATGCTACATTTTATAGTGCATTTGATGTTTTCAGTGATACCAACAATCTTTGGAGGGTGGAGATATTGCGTGGGTCCAGCGATGATGATCAATCTGGTGGGCGACTTCGGGCTCTCAGAACGTTCTTTCGCCTTATACATGTCAACATGGGCTGTGCCTTGTATACGCGGGATAAAAGGTTACCTGAATGGGCATCGCTTCAAAATGAAGTGACATGCATGAAGTACGCAAAGAAGGATGAAGACACGACATTTTTTATTGAATCAAGCCAAGACATGCGATGTAAGTCATGTGTTTACATCCAACATTAGAAAGGATACGTTGGGTTATTTACCTCGAAAACATATTTTCAGTTACGGACCAAAATCCCGTAGTCGAGTATATGAAACCATCATTCTGGCAAAACTTTATTGCTTTGAATACAAAAATGTACAAGTCAAATGAGGCCCTGACCGCAAGTCATAACTATGAGTCGCGCCCTGGTGATTGGCCCTTCTTACACCGCGGCATCAATTACTGGTCAAAAGACAGGAACCACATTTACCTCCTCGGAAATCCTATTGCTTACTGGGCATCTTCTATTGCAGCAGTAGCTTTCCTTTTAGCAAAGCTGGCCATCGCCTTCCGGGAGCAGAGAGGTGTAATGTGTACAAACCCGACCCTGATGGTATTTTATAGTAGACCGACCGTTTTCTTTACCACAGCTTGGCTTCTTCACTGGCTTCCTTTCTTCTCTATGAAGCGACAATTGTTTCTGCATCACTATATGCCATCACTGTATTTTGCCATATTGATATCCATCGTCGCTTTTGAATACTCTACCAAACATCTGTCGAACAAATATCGCTACAGCGTTGCAGCTGCTATTGCTATCGCCTATCTGTATGTATTCTGGCGTTTTAGCGCCATCACCTATGGCTTGGATTGGACAAACAATAGCTGTTATGAAAATCGTCGTCTCAGGTCATCATGGGACTTCAACTGCGAGATGTAAGTACTGAAATTCTGGTTGAATTATGTCATTTAGAAATGTTGGGTAACCGAAGTTTTGTCCCAATGATGCTGCTTAGCTATCCATAATAGCCAAAATCGGCTGCAGGCCCACACCGATGGCTACCATGTTTGTCAACCGGGTATGTCAGAGAGGGTAAGACTATCCAAGTATTCGGTCAAAGGAACGAATTTATTAATTCGACGGTTTTTGCTATCGATAAATTCAAATAAAACTGAGAGTGCTAAATATGTGATAATCAGTGTACTTGTGATTTGGGTAGTGACATGGTCATGTACAATGGTGTTTGGTTGAGATGTATTATAATGTTCAGAAAAAGAACCTGCAATACGAAATTATCATGGAGGGCACTTAGTCAACCTTGCGTGACTTTCGTGTTCTTGGAGAAGACGGTGTCTTGGCTCCGTCTGATCTGGAAGCATCTTCATCCTCTTCGGACCCCATGCCCTGGGAGGCGGCAACACCAAAGCTAACAATGATCAAAAGGATAGTTACCGCCAAGCCGGTGTAGACAGCCCACGGAGGAAAACTGCTGAGTTTCTTCATGAATATGCCGATATAGCCAACACCGGTTCCACTTTAATTTCGTTAGGTATGGTGATTGATATTTTGAAGGACGCAACAGAACACTTACACTATGCTAAAAGGTGAGAAATACCCATTCCACACTGGTATATTCTCCCATTGTTTGTCCTTCAAGAAAGCCACGATGTCCTGAACATTTAACTTTGTGTCAACCTGTCTAACTATTAACGTCAAAAACGATGACGGCGAGTGTAAGTTAGTAAGACGCTTCAAGCCGCCACGTGTTAAACAAATGGATGAGAGTCGTCTCAACGTTTTCTGCTTACCCTGATGATCCTTAATATGGAACAAAGTTGGCAGCCTTGTGACAAAGAACTTGCTAGCCAAACCAGGGCTGCTATCAACATCAACTTTGGCAAGCTTGACGGCCAAGTCGCCTGGAAGGGTTCTGGCAACAGCTTCATAACGGGGGCCAAATTGCTTGCAAGCACCACACCATGGGGCATAGCTACAGGTTGTATCATAGGAACGGTCTGAAGTGAGAATTCAAATCGATATAGCCATTAGACTCTTGCGCGGTCAAGGAAGAACTTACAATTCAACGAGCCATTCGTCCGAGGTGCCGACGATAGAATCAAAGTTTCCATCAGTCAATTGAATAATTTCTTGACCAGCATTCTTTTCGCAAAGCACAAATGCAGCGAGAGACAGCAGCAAAAGGCCGTAGGTAGTGAGCTTCATGTTCAACTTGTGTTAAAGCCAGACTTCCTCACAATGCCTTTTCAACAGACAAAAAAGATTTGTGACTGCAGAATGGGTTGATTTTGTACCCTTTTTTTTGGGCTCGGGCATGAGATTGAGTGGTCATAATATCTTCTACCAACATCCATATTTTATATGAATTTCACTAGTTACATCTCGTTGCATGATGGCATATATTCATCCCAAATAATACACGTTTATAAAACTTTAAGAAATAGTAATAAGGAGCTACAATAGTTATATGTATACTGTAGATACGGTTAATGAATCAGGCAATGCTTTGGAAGAAATTGCCAGGAATCAAAGCTCGTTGTAAGTTAGGGTAGGCCATAGATTGAGCCTCCCACCATCCATCATCTTGCTTGTTGACTACAGCCATTACGTCTCCTGCTTGGAAGGACAATTCGGTGGGGATCTGTAGAAAATGAAATTCAACGTTAAGTAAACCAGAGCCGCAATGATAATGTGGCAAGCTATGTAATCTTATTTGTAGTTTACCTTTGCAGAATAACTCCAAAGGGCGCGGGCTGAAATAAAGAGAGATCATTCATATTAGCATTATGTATGAACACTTTAATTCAAATATACGTGATGAGATCATTTACCATATTCAAGCACAGGAGTGCCGTCATCCAATTCCTTTGCTCCTCCCTTTGCAGAGGTTGGTGGAAGAGAAGATTTTTGTGATAGAGATTGTGAGGTTCGTGGAGGGTCACTGACATCACTGTATTGCTCACGCTGTTGATGCTGCTCACGTTGCTGATGCTGCTCACGTTGCTGATGTTCACGTTGCCATGAAGGTGAGTTCATGTCAGACATGGAAGAGAAAGTCTGATTGTTGGTGGGATATGACAAGGAATCTTGACGAGGATTGTTCATAGCATATTGGTTGCCACCCACTCTTCCAAGAGAACTAGAACCAGAGATTGGATATTGTTCGCGATCTTCCTTGTGCTTCTTGGATTCCTTGTCTTTCTTTCCAAAGATGGCTAATGAGAATCGACCACCTTTACCCTCCTTGTTTGAGGAGGCTTTCTCAGCTGGCAGGCTGCTTCGCTGGTTAGCCTTGTCCGCCATGTTGGGACTGGCATTGTCTGGCCATCGTGGATCGGTAGGATTTCTCAGGGCGATCTTCATCTTGTCCAGTGGTCCCATTTTGTTGGGCTTACCAGTATTCATATTGGCATCGAGTTCATCGTTATATGCGTAACCATTGTTTGGTCCATACATGTTTCCTCGTCCATTCATATTTTCCGGTCCACCCCAGTCTTGTCTCTCTTGTTGTTGTCCAGGAGCTGCCAGCTTCATAGAGAGTAGCTCTGATGGTGGCAACTGGCTTCCCTTGGATAAGTTTTGATTGGGCATACGGGGTCCACTCACGCTTTTCATTCTGCCAACGTTGTTTTGCGGCTTTCCATTCTGTTGTTCAACATCCTCCGATGGATAACTGGTCAGATATTGAGACATGGGTTGTTCATTACCGTTTTGCGGATGTCCGTTTTGTCTATCGGATTGTTGTTGCCACGGTGGTGCTCGAATGCCCATTGTCTGCCCTTCCATACGTCCTTGTTGATTATTATTCATATCGTGCATAGATTGGGGTGGAGGTATTGAGCCTTGACTAGGATACTGTTGTTGCTGAGGACCGGGTGGAACGTTATTTTCTCGGCCAAACATTCTCATCATGCTGTCTCTAGTACCGTTTGTACCGTCACTTTCAGGAGATGATAAGTGAAGCTGGTTTCTTACGTTGCTCACGGTATCGTTGTTGTTATTGTTGATATTTTTGCCTGCAACGTCCTTTTGATCGTTTACAGATTCTCGCTTTTGACCGCCAGGAATGGCAATTTTGAGATTAGGTTGCTGCTTGCTATGGCGATGACTGAACGCATCATGTTCATCATTATATTCAGGCTCATTTACTTCACTGACTTCTCTCATGTGAGAATTACTGTTTTGTCTTTGCTCTGGCTGTTCAGAGTACCCGCTGGTAGAGAAGGTCTGATCAAAAGATGTTGGCTCGGAGACAGGGCTACTAACACTTTCGTACATTTTGGCATTTTGTGCTCGGACGGGAACCTGCTGGGGTCTACGAATGGAGCTGATCACCCATTTTTCATCCTTTGGAGGTGGACGTGGTGCATCCTTTACAGGCTGATTGTCGTCACTATCTTCTCCTTCCTCCTCATACTTTGTGTTAGCTGGTGCTTGCGCATAATTCTCATTTTGCTTCTGTAAATGCTCATTTGCTACACTGGGACCGTTGTCACCGTTGATGTATTGCTGTTGTTGTTCCAAGGAAGAGCGGGAGGTAGAGTGCTCAGAAGATCTCTCCTGGGTGTGAAGATACTGAGGGTTGATCATTGGTAAAAAGCTGTGTCGTGTATCGCTGGTGTAAGAATTGGACGGTGACATCTGAGGTTGTTGACCTTGCGAATAATTTTGCTGGTTGTCATATGGTGCCCCAAACCAATCTGAAGACCTTTGCTTCACAAAAGAGTCAGCAATGGGTGCCCGGTTCACAGACTCGTCTCTCAAACTGGGCGACATGATGGCAGAATGGCGATCAGAAGACGGACTGGTAGCAGGAGCACCCAAGGCAGGGCGAGTTTCCTTTGTTGGTGAGGTAACATCGTCTAGCATGGTCTCAACCTGGTGAAGAGCGATAGCTATAGCTTCATGGTGAGATTTGAGCTCATAATCATCCACAGGCAATTCTTCCTGTTGCCGAGAGTTGCGATTGATTGACTCTAGCGAGCTTCTACTTTCAGCCTTCGTAGCTGCAGTGGCGGCGGCGGCTGTAGCAATAGTAGGTGCCGAAACTTCACTAGCTTGACGCAGGCTGGCGTTTCGCAGCTCTTCTTCATCCGCATCCCGTTGGCGTTGCTCTTCAGCAGCTTTCTGTCTCTCCTCTTCCTCTTTTTGAAACTGTTGCTCAAGTTGCTCAGCTTGGTTGAGAACGGCTGTAGCTTCTGCATTTGTGTCAAAATAATTTTCAAATTTAACATGTTCTAAAATATTTGTGTTAACAATAAGATGAAGATTTACATAACAAAAATCTTTTTATGTCAACCTACCTGGCAACTGGTTACCGGTGCTTTTGTTATGGACGAAGTTGTTGATATCTCTATCGACATCGGTCGATTCCAAAGCACTACGAATTTTTTCACTTGCCTAATACAAAATAAATACGTGGTAAATGACCAAATTCAAGTAATAGGTGGTAACTTACTTGATCATTGATGATGAAAACACTAGAAAGTAAGTTTGCATATCTGTTTCAGAAAGATTAGGGTGAGGCTGAATTTAAAGGCTTAATGCAACAAAGAAATAAACGCCAGCTTACGCAAACAATGAACTTCGCAGATAGTTCAACCGATCCTCTTCCATAGATTGAAATACGTTGCAGGTTGTTTTGTGATCTTCTATCCACTTGCTGGATATGGAGGATAGCACAGACGTAGCACGTTTGTAATCTTGCTCTACATTTCAAAATAATACAAAATTGGTGAATGCACGTCCTTTTCCCAGTTATGAAGCTGATTTCATTTACGTACCTGCCATACCCATCAAGTCTTGAACATCCTTGATCTGTTGCTTTGTCTACATGTAAGGTCAGCAACTGATAGATGAGACTGACTAAATTCCACTCTACCTTACCTTTTCTACTTCTGCTGGAGTCATGCTAGACCTCGTCTCATTGAACGATTTCTGCATATCAACATATTTTTTGCATTCCTCTTCGTAAATCTCCTTCGCCTATAGAATTTGATGTAAGATTTGATATGTAACATGGAAGAAAGACGATAAAAAAACCGCTGGCCAACCTTGGCAACATTAGCCATGTGAAGCTCTTTTAACTGACGACTTTTCTCGACATGAGACAAATTCTACGCCAGTGGTGGTCAGTTACTGTTTCCGGTGTGATGTACTTTAGCTCATTCAAAATACACTTACGGCTTTTCTAGTATCTTTTTGATCCTTCACAAATCCAGCTAGAGGGAATTCCAGGAATTTCTTCAGCTTTTCTGATAGATCCAAATGAGCTCTAGCGGTAGCTTCCATTGCGCTTGGGATTTGCGATAAAGACTCAGAGAAAGTGCCTTGTTCAACTGAACCCAATGTCTGCTGTGATAACTTTAACAGTTTTTCACCGTACTCCTCTTCTATCTGAGCTCTGTAAAAATGGGAACGTCGGCGAACGGGCCACTTGAGTTTATAATTAGGGCACTGGGCATTTAGTCGAAATTGCCAACCCACCTCGTATCATATATACGTCGAAGCTCGTCACAAGTTTGCTTGGAGCTGCGTAGCTTATCAGCTATTACATCAATTCCGGAGTCGTCGGCTCCCTATTCCCGAGATCAAGAAGCATGATTAGGCAAATGGTGGCGGGCTGGCTGCAAACGTATTGACAGGTCACATTTACCCAAAAGTTGTTAGCAAATGTCGCTTCGGACGACAACTGAGAAGCGTCTTCATGCATGACGCTAAAATTGTCTGTTGTTGAGAAAGATTCTTGGCAAAGAAGTATGCGCTGTATTTTTAAAAAACTTTGGGACGGAGCTAAAAAAGGGATGGTGTTCATCCTACATCATTGAGAACACCTGTGTCACCTCCATCCAACGTCATGTTTAACACATTGCAGCCATCATAAACTTCTACTGGCGAGTGAGGCTATAAGATGTTGAAGCATAGCAGAAGGTCTAGTAACAGCAATAAAATGGAACATGTATTCGTTCTGTTCCCTCATTTTTGCGAGGGGTTTTACTGCGCTGTGACACATTTCTTTCAAGCATCCACGTTGGAACAAGTCAAATTGGGAATACAAATTATTCACACTGCACGGAGCTATTAAAGCAATTTTAACAAGATAAAAGAACTGAATGGGATCCACTACAGCTGAACAGAATAAAAAAAAAATAACGAATGCTTTACGACTCCATGGCGGTATCTTCAGCCTATAAATAGAATTAGCCCTTCGTTCATTTGGCAGATTGTTCTAACATGAGGATACTTACGGGTGGTGCTTGCATATAGTTGTCCATCTCAGCATCAAGTTCTTCTTGAGATTTCTTGGGTTGACCTTCTGATCTACGTCCACCACGGCCACCACGACCACCGCGACCACGTGAGTTACCTCCACGAGTAGAGCGAGGCTGGGATCGGACAGGTGCGGCTACAGCCACAGGAGCAGCTGGGCCAGCGGCATAAGCAATTCGCATAGGGCGACCTATACAATAAAATAAGTCGGTTATTATTTTTCTTCTTACAAAAAATATCAGAAATATTGGAATTGAAGTCTCGTACGGTCCAGTTCAATATCGTTGTAGGATGCCAAAGCTTTATCAGCATCCCGGTTGTTATCAAAGATAACATCGGCAACGCCAGTGGACTTTCCAGAAGGGCCTAGATGAATGAATGCTTTCCTCACTTTGCCAATTTGGCCAAAGAGATCCTTCAGCACACCAGAAGCGTCAGTGGTGGGGTGAGATGAAGAAATGGTGTCAAATTGATGCTCACGTAAAGATCCTTCTCTGTGACTTGGTAATGAAGATTTGAGACGAGCAAATGGTTGCTTCTTGGTGGTTGTGCACGAGCGTTTGCTACAGGACGCTGGATATTCGGCAATCAAAAAATTGAACATGAAAAGAGAAAGGGGAGAGAGTGGACGGGTGAAGGGAGTTTGCAAAAGTCAGAACATCGATCGATAGGCTTTTTTGTCATATCCAAGCGAAAAACAAAAAGACACGATGGTTTCCATGTACGCGAATTTCCGGTCGTCGTATTACAAGATGAGTTCTGCCAGTGGCTACGGACCCATTGGGACATTTGTAGTTCTTGGAGATCATCACGGTGGAGCCACCATTCACAATTGTTACCACGGCATCCGCGACTATGATTGATTCATAACGGATGATTGCAGCAAGCCAACTACAACTCTCTTTTCACGTTCGGAAAACCTTGGAGCGTCTTTTCGTCACCTTTTTGTACTTTGATCAACGTACCGAATAGGGAGTGTTTCTTGCTCTTGGCGCACCACCACTGCGTTTGTTGACTCCTCCAGAGGGTCCACGTCTAGCTCCACGTCGTCCAGCCTTGTTGGTAACGATGACATCGTCGAGTGCCATATCTAGAGCTCCGTCGTTTGACATGATGTTGTGTTAGAAGTAAAAGATTTAAGTTAAAGGGAAGGGAATGTGGAAGTCGCAACTGCTTTTGTTGCCACGCTCAATTTCCAAAGCTCAGCCATTGGTTCACGTCACAGAAGATCACGTGCTCATCGTCCATTCTGATGAGATATTTGCCTTTCTCCGGTTGCGATCATTACTAGGAAGTGCTTCTCTTAATTGAACAACGTTATAAACTCAAGGTTCGAAGGTTGTTCAATATAATCAAATATACAGCTGCACTTCTTTGCGAACGTTTATGCTACAAGGAAAGAATTGCTGCACCAAAATCAACTTGACACTCAGATTGCCTACGTCACGGTTTGTGCATGCCCTTTTTTGTTTTCACTCTCAAAATTTTGAGGCTTGGTTTCCCTACCTCAGCATAGCTTCTTCATAACACAATGATCAGGAACCTCGCTCGCCTGACAGCTTTCCGCGCTCCCGTCGCTGTGAGTATTCACTAAACTTATTGACGCCATATATGAGATAGACATAGGGAAGAATGCCACGAACTATCGTCAATGCCGTTGAAAATGGGCAATATGCCAGTACCTCAACATTTCATATATCAAAACCTCGACATTTCACCTCCTTTTCCGTATTTTGACCTGATTTATCAACAATTGACAACGGCACATGAACCCTATCATACCAGCGAAACTGTTACTAAGTCATGTTTGTTTATTTCCATTAGGCTCGTCTTAACCTCGGTGCCGTTTCCGTTGCTGCTCGCAGCTACGCTTCCGCCAAGCCCCAGACCTCTGAGGTCTCTTCCATCTTGGAGCAACGTATCCTTGGTGCCTCTGGTGATGTTGACATTCAGGAGACTGGTCGCGTTCTTTCCATTGGTGACGGTATTGCCCGTGTTTATGGTTTGAAGAACTGCCAGGCCGAAGAGATGGTTGAATTCTCCAGCGGTCTTAAGGTACTGAATATGTTTTCACCGTGTTTATGATTGAAGAAGTACAATTACTTATGCGTTCTTTGTGTTATAGGGTATGGCCCTTAACTTGGAACCCGACAACGTTGGTATTGTCGTTTTCGGTAACGATCGTTTGATCAAGGAAGGTGACACCGTCAAGCGTACCGGTGCCATTGTCGATGTTCCCGTCGGCCCTGGTCTTCTCGGACGTGTCGTCGATGCCCTTGGTAACCCCATTGATGGTAAGGGTCCTCTCGACAGCATTGGCCGTACCCGTGTCCAAGTCAAGGCCCCCGGTATTTTGCCCCGTCACTCCGTCCGCGAACCTATGCAAACTGGTATCAAGTCCGTCGACTCTATGGTCCCCATTGGTCGTGGTCAGCGTGAATTGATTATTGGTGATCGTCAAACTGGTAAGACTGCTGTCGCCCTTGACACCATCCTTAACCAGAAGAACTGGAACAACGGTTCTGATGAAGCCAAGAAGTTGTACTGTGTCTACGTTGCTGTTGGTCAGAAGCGTTCCACTGTTGCTCAGCTCGTCAGCACCCTTGAGAACAACGATGCCCTCAAGTACTCCATCATTGTTGCCGCCACCGCTTCCGAGGCTGCTCCTCTTCAATACCTTGCTCCTTTCTCTGGTGCTGCCATCGGTGAATGGTTCCGTGACAACGGTCGTCACTCTTTGATCATCTATGACGATTTGTCCAAGCAAGCTGTTGCTTACCGTCAAATGTCCCTTTTGCTTCGTCGTCCTCCCGGTCGTGAAGCCTACCCTGGTGACGTTTTCTACCTTCACTCCCGTCTTCTTGAGCGTGCTGCCAAGATGAACAAGGATTTCGGTTACGGTTCCATGACTGCCCTTCCCATCATTGAGACCCAGGGTGGTGATGTCTCTGCTTACATTCCCACTAACGTCATTTCCATCACTGACGGTCAGATCTTCTTGGAAGCTGAACTTTTCTTCAAGGGTATCCGTCCCGCCATTAACGTCGGTCTTTCCGTCTCCCGTGTCGGTTCCGCTGCCCAGACCAAGGCCATGAAGCAAGTTGCCGGTTCCCTCAAGCTTTTCCTTGCCCAATACCGTGAAGTCGCTGCTTTCGCTCAATTCGGTTCCGATTTGGATGCCTCCACCCAGTTCTTGTTGAACCGTGGTGC